CCGGCGGGGAAGTTGCGCAGGGCGCCGAGGATGAGGAACATGTTCGTGTCGGCGGTGGCGTCGTTGACGGCCGTGGGGACGTTGGAGACGCAGATCTCGCGGGCCGTGCAGGCGTCGACGTCGATTTGGTCGTAGCCGGCGGCTTTCTCCCCGCTAACCGTCAGCAATTTGATTCTTCGCTTTAGAGGGTAGAGGGAATGGAGTGGGTTTACCTCTGTGGCAGATGAACTTGATGCTTTTGGGGAGAGCATCTAGGAAACCGACGTCGACATTGCCGGTGATGGCGGCCGACTCGCCGGTGCGGTAGATGGCGGACACGCCGTCGAAGGCGCCGCTCTTGCACTCGGCCAGGAATTCATCTCTGTTGGTTGCCTTGGGCTCGACGATGTCGGCGGCATCGGTGACGGCTTTCCAGGCGTCGTGGGCGCTGGTGAAGGGGGAACGGAACAGGCCGTTGGTTAGTTTGCGAAGAAAAGTCAATGGGCATATCTGGGTAAACTTACTGCTCTATTTCGCCTAGCAGCAGGATCTTTGGACGGGCCATGATGGAGTAAAGGTGTGTGTCTTTAAGGTTGGCTTGGGGGCTGGCAACAAACGCAATTCAGGTACAGGCGAAGCGGAGAGAGAAGAGAGGAAGCCAGACAATAGCAGCAGGCTAAAAGGGCACCGTAAATCTGCGCGGTTCCATGACAATTCCACTTCTCGGATGTTTTGCGACCCAGCGATAACCCCCCTGCCAACCAAGATGGAAGCTCGATGTGAATCTGGCCTGCAATCCATCCCAGGCGGGGGCGGGGTTGCATCTGCATTCCGTCATCGGTCCCTGATCAAGGTTACACGTGCGTCTCCCGCGGCCGGTGAGCGGTCCTCAACATCGCTGCTCGCTCGCCCACTCTCCGTGAGGTCGTGGACAAATGTTCCTTAAGATATTCTGGTTGGAAAAGCAGCCATTCAGCCCAGCTGCTTTGGCCCTGTAGTAAATATGTCTTCTTCTGTTCCAAGCCCTCCGAGGGCATATGTGCGTCTGTAGTGATTATAGTGTATAACGACAAATGAAATACTTGGTCATGTCCATGACATCTTCCATCAATCAACGCAAATCCCGAATCAACAATGGAAAATGGATATACGCCGCCCTCCCCTATTATCCCAATCCCTACCCGTATCACACATCTATATACACCCCAAACTCCAGCATGCCCACCCAAATTCCTCACATGAGCAGCCTCCAAGCACCAAGAAGCAGGGCCGCAAACCCGGTGCACACGCCCATCAGCCACTGCAGTGTCTGGAACTTGACCTGCTCCAGCTTCTCCCGCAGCGCCGCCACCTCCTGCTCGATCCTCGTCTCCGTCTCCTTGAGCTTGAGCTCCTGGCCGACCGCCTCCTCCCGTATCCGGCCCTTCTCGAGGTTCAGGTCCAGCCGCACGCTGGCCTGCGTCCGCCCAATCTCGTCCCGCAGCCGGCTCGACAGCTTGGCGATCTCGTTGGCCAGCCGCTCGTGCGTGATGCGCGTCGTGTTCGACTCGGTGCTGTCCGCTGAGAGGAGCTCGGAGCGGAGCTTGGCGAAGTCGACCTTCTGGGTGTAGGTGGCCTTGGCGGCGTCTTCGCGCAGGACCATAGTCCGTGTGAGGTTTTGGATGCTGTGGGTTGGTTTGGTTGGCTTGAGTCTCGGAGGGGGAAGAAGACGCTTCGGGGAGGCCAATTCTAGCAAACATACCTCTCTTCAATAACGTCGTTCAGGACCTTCATCATCGATGCTGCCTGGTCCTCGGTGAACCCTTCGCTCTGGAGCCGCTGGACGAATTTCAGGGTGTCGAAGTGGTGATCTCGCTGGCGTCGGGCCGTGGCATGGAAAGCTGCCACGCCAATGATCGGACTGCGCCTTCGTTGGGGCACTGCTGGGCGGTGCTGTGCTTGGAACGGCGATGCTTGCAGACGCGACGCCAGTGCAGTATGTTGATGCCGCCTCTGGCCCGAGGATCGGCTCGAGACCAGCAGGGGCGAGGTGGCCTGCCAGCTCAGCCGCGGGAGCAGAAACTTGGGCAGCGCCTCGACCGGCACGATTCTGGAGGCAGGCATTGCGTTTCGGTTGATGATGAATGAGAGACGATGAGTTGGGCAGGGTAATGAGAGTCAGGAGCAGGAACCGATGGTTCTGGTGGTGATTGTGACGGAGTGTTTCGGTGCGCTTCTTTGAGAGTTGGACCAGGGCCTGGAATGCCGATTATCACTCACGACGCTGATTGGCCATGACGCGCACGAGCCCCACCAGAGCAAAATGACATAATGACATGAAACAACTCCAACAGCATTAATTAATTTCCATGGAATGACCACACATTGTTACTCTTTTTGACTTTGAATCATCTTGATCGTCAGGGAACATATGCTAGCACCATCACAAACAAAATCTGCCATGTAATATTAGGAAACAATGATCATGCAGTGTGCTCGAATCCCAGGTGCCAAGAATCGCTCAGCAAGCACCAGAACATGAAATTAGCTATTAATACGGTTGGCGTATTGGATATCTACGATACATCGTAGATGTAATTGACTTCAGCAAGATTTAAGAGTGATTGGGAGACAGTGAAATGTTATTCAGCTACCTGTCAGGCAAAACATGACATGTGAGATATTCCCACTGCTCAAAAAATTGTCACAACATCAGAGACCTGGCCCCCTTCCTTTTCTTATCCTCCCCGAAACCCCCAATCTGCGTGGCAAGATTCTAGTCTAAGAATGTGATCACGGTTTCAAACGTCTTCTTTGCGCCCTCCAGCTCCTTCTTGAGAGCCTCGCGCTTCGGCTCGGGGAGGCTTTCCACATGGGCCTCGCACCGGCCCTTGAGGTATGCAAACTTCCTCTCGAATTCCTCTTTGTGCTTTTGCTTCTCATCGCTTATCATGGGAGTCTCAGCCAAATCAGTTACTTGTCCATTGAGATTCACAAGTTGTTGGCAGGCTTCGATGCAACATCCGTGGTCCACTTGGTGTTCAGCTGCGTCAATGTCATCTTCGACGTCTTCCACCCATAGCTCGAACTCGGAAAGCATCTTGAAGGCTGGTGTTGTGGCAATGACAGGTTGGGAGAAGATTTTGGGAGAAGGTTGTGTCTTGTTGGTTTGCAGTATGGTGCTTTGCAGTGCTTTGAGGTGTGCAGGTTTTGAACATAGGAGGAAATCCTGGTGTCAAGTCTGGGAATATGGGAGGTATTTTAATGTAAAAATTGGCCATGATTTCATTTTGTGTTCACCCAGCAAAAACTATCTGGCTTTGTTTGATATATTAACAAATTTCCCTTAGGAGCCAAGGATCAAGATGCTAATTACAGACAGGGATCAGCACAGCTAGCGGACAGAAGTACAAGGGAAACTCCAGGCTGCTGTTTTTAGCGAGGTGCGATTTACTAAATACAGATGGGTCAATTCACAAGGCAGAAACCGCGATGCTGTGAGTATGTATTCTAGATATAGAGACGAAATGACTGGGCGTACTAGAAACGACACCCTAATTCCTGCCTGCAAACAAACTCAGTGCAACAAACCTGAATATTCAATTATGAGCTTTTGTTTTCCTCGGCTCTCATTGTGTTGAGATATCAGGTCTGGCATCTTGCATTACTCTTTTTAACTTTACACTCGAACTTTCATATCTGTTTCTCGGCTCCTTGATGGGTGAATGCGCACCGTTGGTGGTGTTTTGGACAAAGTCAGTAACAGGGTAGACCATTTACTACATAAGATGGAATGTCTCACAAGGTCCAAAGTAAATCCTTTTACATTGGACGCATTGCTATATCATCTACCAAGTCATTAGTGAAATCTATCAAATACTTCGCCGCTCCAGGGTTTTCGAGGTTGGAGCACAAGGGTGATTCTAGTCCTCAAACTTCGAGAACAACCCTCGATCCTTGATGAGCTGTGATAACGGAAAGCCCTTAGTTGAAATTGATGTCAAGGGTAGTAGCACGAGTATCTCCACAAATTGTAATTTGGTGACCGTTTGCATACCAGCCAAATGAGTTAGTCGTGGGCATTCCTCAGACTGCTCCCAGATTATTCATCATCCCTTGATGAACTCCAACACGTGCCACTGCGATGAATTCTCTTTATGGGCAGTTTTATCACCTGCACATACATACGTATACCATATTTTATAACATATTATTGTTTCCCCCTGAGGAACAATTGGAGATGCACTGATCACGAAGGAAAAATTGTCGATGACGTCTCCCTCCAATCCGTTGAAATTGACCACAGTGCCGGCGCTAATAAAGTAAGTTTGAGTGCATACTGACTAAAGTATCGAAATCAGGTTTAAAAATACTCGAGAACGGATGCATCGCTTGTTCAACTCATGGAAGCGCCGGAACGGGAGGATTTGGACTTTTGGACCCATACATGTACGATAAATGCAGCTCAGTTCTTACGAAGTCGAAAACCATTCAAATCCGTATCATAAAGGAGCCCCTGCCCACGTGGAAAGCCCGGATGTTCTGTCTGGGATGGGTAGATATGAAGGTGACGGGGAACTTCCTGTCCCAAACGTTCCGATCTCTTCGCAATCGATTAAATCTACACATATCGTTTATCCGACATCGCACTAATGGGAACAGATATCTTCTGCATTAAGAGAGGAGGAAGAGCAATCATGGACTTCGATCAAAGTCAAGAGACAAGAAACTTCTCTCGACCCTCAGAGCATCTTGTGAACCAATCTCTCTCCCTTGCCATGGACTACACCTGGGACAAGATGCAATTCGATGAGCACTGGAGAGATGAGGCTCTTTGCAACGTTACCACAACCGCAGAACACGTCTTTCTTTTCCAATGCCTTGGAAGAACTCCCATCCCGGATGCGGAGCTCTACAAGCGCTACATACTGTCAGAGCAAAAGGAAGATGGTTCTTGGCCTATTGCTGCGAAGTGCCATGGAGACATCTCAGCAAGCTGCGAGGCCTACCTTGCCCTCAAAATACTAGGCATGAGCGCGTCGTGCCAAGAAATGACAAAGGCGCGCCAGTTTATACTCAAGGCTGGGGGTGTTGCCAAAGCCAGGATACTCACCCGGATCTCTTTTGCACGGTTTGGTCTCTTTCATTGGGACGCTGTCCCTCACCTGCCTGCTGAGTTGATACTGCTCCCGCCATCTTTGAAGTTCAATGTCCATCGGCTATCGCCCTGGGCACGTTCTACATTAATTCCGCTCTTCGTCATCACTCACCATCGACCTACTTACGCACTTCCTAACGGGAGGTCGGTCACCAATAATTTTATTGATGAGTTGTGGGTTGATCCAACAAAGAAGATGACTTCTCATTCATCACTTTCCACGCCCCGTCAAATCGATCCTACTGAGCTCCTTTTCTCAGGACTAGATACAGCTCTATCCTATCTGGGAGGGCTGAGGCGCCTTCCTCTTCGAAAGAAAGCCCTAAGATACTGCATTCAGTGGATTCTCAACAACCTGGAGCCATCTGGTGACTGTCCGGAGATCTCTCCCCCAATGCACAACAACATCCTAGCATTAATATTGGAAGGATTTTCGCAAAGCGATGCTGTGATAGAGATAGGCATGAAGGCTATCGAGAAATTCACATTACAGAACGAAACTGGCAAACGGCTGCAGTCTTGTGAGTCACCGGTCTGGGACACTGCGCTCATGATCCGTGCTATCTGCGACTCAGGGTGGGATAAGCACGATCCCCGTCTTGAGAAGTCGATAGATTGGATTAGCAAGCGGCAGATACCTAACATACGTGGAGGCTGCTCAGGCTTCCGTCCGCAAAAAGTCTTACGAGACTTGTCTTTCCAGCACCGCAACAGTCTCACGCCTAGTGTTGACGATACTGTGGCGGTTCTCCTCTCAATGTTGCATCAGAACTCTTCAAATATCGAGTCAGACACGGTAGCGAGAGTCGCAATGTTGATTTGCAGGATGCAAAATTTTGATGGCGGTTGGAGGGCAATTAGTACTGACAACTACAAACAGTGGCTTGACAAGTCTCCGCTGAAATCTTTACGCCATAGCTCGACGGCTGATCTCACAGGCTATGTTCTTGAGGCGTTCGGCATGGTTCTCAACATAGCCTCACAGAAGAGCTATGAAGACCTGAGCTCTCGGCTGGCCCAGACAAAAGTACTTGGCGCGATCGCAACTGCATCACAGAGGGCTGTACGTTATTTGGCTCAGGAGCAGCAAGGATTTGGCGGGTGGTATGGCCGCCGGGGTGCGAGTTATCTCTATGGTACCAGTGCCGCAATCTCCGGCTTGGCTTGGTTTGTTGATGGTGATAACTGGGTGAAGGACATGATAACATCCGCTGTCTCATGGGTCAAAGAAGTCCAGAACTTGGATGGGGGGTGGGGAGAGTGTTTTGAATCATGCAATGATCAACAGATGGCTGGAAGGGGCCCATCCACACCATCTCACACAGCATGGGCTATTATGTGCCTTCTGGAAGAACTGGATCCGGATGATGCCTCGATAAGAGCTGGGATAAACTACCTCTTGGCTGAGCAGCAAGATGCCTCTTTGAAGAGGGAAGGGGCATCCTGGGAGGAAGTCTACTACACAAGCACGGATTCCCCGGGGTCTCAAAGCCTCCGATCCCAGCTTTCCAGTCATTACTTTCCTATCATGGCTCTTGGGCGATATAGAAAAGCAGTGCATTGTACCTATTCTGATTAGTTCAAGCCTAAATCAGCCACGGCTAAATCTCTTGTACTAGATCATCGCATAACAATGTGTTGTCGGGCTGTGCGCCTTCTACGTATTTACATTATACCTCATTGACCAGCACCACCTAGGGCAAACTTACCTTTTCCAGTTCTCGGTATAAAATGAAGGGGTTCGCTGGCAAGCTCTCTTGAGCGTTTCCAGCTTCCTGACAAGAGCCCTCGCGCTGATTCTATTGTCTTCGCCCACTTGAATCATCCTGGTTTCGATGAGATCAAGCATATGAATCAAGTACCTGCTGCAAGCCTCTTCCTCCTTCAAACTCTCAATCCAGCGTTTAACTGCGGGCTTGATCACCGCTATCTTCTGCTCATTGCCCTCGAGTGTGAAGAACGTGTCTGTTTCGAAGCCGAAAGTATCCTTCTCAAGTCTCTCATCTGAAAACCTGTCGAGGACAAGGCCACGGAGAAACCAAGTGATGTACTCCAGAAAGACACAGCCAAGACTGTACACATCGGATCTCGGTCACCAACCCGCCGGGAAGATCAACTTCTGGTGGCCGGTATGTTAGTGTTGGAAACTGTATATCGAGCTCCTGCTTGGAGCGAGAGAGACTTCCAAGACCAAAGCCCGCCAAGGCAAGAAGTGGCTCCACCCCTCGGGGCCGAAACAAGAGAATGCTGGCGGGCTTGATATTTCCGTGCCGGCCGCCGTGACTTTTGAAATCGACGACACGATGGGGTAGTCGCGACCTTCGATGGCTATTATGGACATTTCGAAGTGCCTTGCCGAGCCCGAGAAACTGCTCAGCCATCCAGAGACAGTGAGACTTGTCTTGGACCAGTGACATATTCGATTGCCAAAAATGCTCCAAGTTCCCTTCGGCCCAATCAAAGAGCAGGAAATAAGTAGACTGGCGGTTCCCGGGGTTCACCTCTTCAAACGTTGCAATTACTTTAATCATGTGTTCCCTGCTACAATTGTGGTCCTCGGAGAAGAGCAATGAGGAAAGCTCTAACTCGAAATCCATTAGTTCGTGAGACGTCAACTTTTTAAGCGCGTAGTACCCTCGAGAATTCGGCATCTGGAGTTCAAAGGTGAGAACGGGAGCATGTTTTGAGGGAGAGAGCGAGGGGAAAAAACTTACCCCGGTGTCTTCGAAACGGCAATGGCAATCGTAGAATTTAACCTTGAAAACTTCGTCAAAGCTTCCATATTTGTCATTTTCGGACTGCCCTCCGGAATTCCTCTGGCCAGGGATAACTTCTTCATTAGATTGGATGGGAAGGCAGACTCCATTCTCGAATATGTAATGGCAATGCAAACCTAGACCTCGTTGATACCTAATATAAGGAGCGATAAATTTCTTAGTCCAATCGGCGAATATTTCCCGATCATGGGCAACGGCATTGGGATCATTTATCACGGCGGTGTGGTCTAGGTTAGAGCACTGACAGCGAAGATGGAACTTATTGTCGTCATCTTCTCTTAATGGCAGGCAGCCGTCGGTTAAGCCACTCTGGAGATGTCGGGCAAGGTCCCCCACTTGCTTGCTGGCAACCAAGGCGCCGAGTATCTTAAGCGAAGGGCGTTGGTTACTTGAGCCGAAACAGATATCCTGGGCAATTTGTTGCTTTTGCTCATGAGGCTTGTCTTGGAAGCACTCCAAGCCATGAACAAGCTCGAGAACCTTCTGGGGCTTCATAATATCGGCAAATTTACTTCGCGGGATAAAGTTCTTCGAGCCGTCAAATTTGTACCGTACTCTTGCTGCATCCAACGTCAGTCGAATTTCGCTGATCAGATCGTCGACCTGAGTCCACTTCTCAGGGTCTGGAATTCGGCGACGTTGTGGCGGGAAATCGTCATAGTAGAGCGCCTCCCCATGGTCCCAAATCTCACGAACTTCGAGTACTTCTTCTTCAGCCCAGGCGCTCGAACTTGAACTTCCGTCTCTTTGTGAGTCTTGTGTCGAGTCTTCAGACTCGGATGCGAAGGAAGGGTCCCTAGAAAAATGAGCGTCTTCTGTTAAGGCATTAGAGTCGGAAGCGAAGTAAGGGCTCCTAGCAAAGTGGTCGTCTCTCCTATTGCTGCTATCATCCGTGCGGGAATCCTTGAGGTTTTTTAATATGGCGACTGAGTCGTCCCGTTCCTGGGGTCCTGGCATATCCAGTCCGTCAAGCCAAGTAAGCATTGGTGATTGAACTGGTTGAATGACTGGCTCCGCCGTAGTAGAAGGTTCCACAATACTACATAACAGGGCGTGTCCCTCGCTGCTGTGGCCGTCCCTTTGAGAAGAGGGCAGAGATAAAGAGGATAAAAAAATAGGTTCTACAGGTCTCAAGCACCCGAAATCGAAGAAGTCCGGGATGGTCAACCCCTCGGTTGGCAAATCCGCCCAAGGGAGTGAAAGAAGCGCAAATTCATGCGTGTGCTCCAAAACGTGGTCGACCAAGGTTGGATGATCGAGGGGCCCTGCTGAACGGCACAATGGGCATGTATCGAGTCCGATGGTGAAGGTTGATGGCTAGAGCTGCACCGCCTCCAGATCTTCCTCCAAGAACGAATCCGTGTGTTTTCGTCTCACATGCTCAACCAACTCGTCGACTTTAGAGAACAGGGAGCTATCAGTACTATCACAAAGTTGGCATTTCCACTTCTTCGGATGCTCTTTTTTCATGTGATCTTCCCATTCTGCTCGTGTCGAGTGCAAGGCAAATGGCGATGGGCAGTTGTCAGAAATACAAGTGTACGGGCGAACGTCGCCAGAGAGGTGTTTTCTAGTATGGATGAGAATGGGACAATATGGCAAAGGGTTGTTGAAACTCACTTCCAGGCATTCTTAGAGGCGATTGCTGCGCGCGGTAGGGCCTCGCAACAGCAAGGACATTTTTGTATCTTCATTTGCTCAATGTCAAGCTCACCCGACTGTCCCACCGGTGGTTTCCGAAGCTTGGGATACTCAGTTGCCCCAGTGATGGAAGTTATCTGCGTCTTGGACACCTGAAAAGCGATCTTTGGCTCTTCTAAATTGAAGTTGCTGTCGACTTCAGATGCGTGTGTTAAAGACGTTGGTGCCAATGCCGGGAAATTTTCCGTCTCCTGAAGGTCATTATTCGGCACTTGACGATGTGTGACTCCAATCTGTTTCGGAGACGGAATATCTTCTCTATCAGGAACAACTAGAACAGCAACCGGTTCCTTTGCCGGCGCTTGTGGGATTGCAAGCTTCCTGGAGTGTCTTTGAGCGTAGAGGAAACGGTTTCGTCTCCGAAGATTGGCCTCGATCAATCGGTCTTGCAGAGGAGTAATTTCACCGTCAATCTCGCTCCGCCACCAGTCAGGGGTGGCCTTATGCTGCTCCAGGTGCTCTGTCGGCTTTTCACCAGATACACTGGGAGCGTCGTCCTCATGGTACGTTGGGAACTCTTCCTTGAACGAAGTTCTTCTGAGCAAAGCCATGCATGTCAGATGTATCTCGAGTTCTACCAGAGTAGCACGATCAAAGGACCTGTCAGCCTTCGAAAGCCGAGATCTTTTTCCAGCCTGGCGAATTGCCACGGCAATTAGAGCCAGGTTGTCGATGGCGGCGTCAACATCCTGCTTTGCTACTTTTAACGGCTCTTCCTCTACGGCTGTCAGACAACGTCCTAGATAGCTTTTCAAATTCAGGAAAATGGTCTTAATGAGAGCTAACTCATGTTCTCTTGATTCGAGTCTGCTATCGAGAGAGGCGTGCTGCCTCGCCCGTGCTCCAACACCATCTACCAAAAGGCTGAAGTCTGCTCGTCGATTTTCGGCCCATTGGTTTTTCGCGAGACTTGGTATCTCAAGAGTCTGGTCAAATCGTTTGACGCACTGCTCAGCGAGATTTGCAGCAGACTGCGTTGACAAGCCCATAATCAAAGTAAGATAGGCCCTTGTTTGAAGAAATGAGGAGGGGAAGTTGGGCATCAACGGAGGAAGGTAGGTACGACGGTCTCATTCGCCTACAGGACCATAATCAACCGAAGCCCCACAACTTTCACTCTGAATGACTGGTCTATAGTAATCTGATATACAGCAGGTGACAAAAGTTCTGAGGAGTAGCTGAACCCCGCCCAGTCTGCCTCCTCATCATCAGGCTGAGCTGCTGATTTGAGGGGAAAGAGCTGACACTGTCGCTGCGTGACCTCATACGGTCACATTCTGGAACTTTTTCTTCTGCCCTTAGTGCTGCCATTTGCCTACACCCACAATCGTGTCTCTAGATGGGACGGTTAACGAATCTTCAACTTCGCCGTTTCGGACCATGGAATTCATGGAAGGGTGAGCCCGGAGGAGTACCGGCGAAACCCTCCACATCAAGAGAGCAGTTGGACCAGATGAGCACAACGCGAAGTTCGAAACTCTCACCCCCGCGGGCAGAGGAAGAGGGAAGCCGTCCGCGCATATCACACTCACAGTCAATTGTCAACGCAGCCCGTATCGAAACGAGCGGAGAAGAGGCAACTGGCTGGCTCGAAATTTGCGCCGGCAAGGTTGGTTTGGTGATAAGTGGTTTCTCTAAGTGCCCACACAGTTCCCGGTGGCCTTCTGGCCACCTATGTCGCACATGTTTGAGTATTGCAACAAACTTGGCGGCAATCAAGACTGATCTCAAACAAGTCGTGGGGCTTGACTCGGACGAGAATTTCTATAACCGAGTAGACAGTCTTTTGGAGGTCCTAGAAGACATGTGTCTAGTAAGCCTCTATCCAATCCATGTCTTTGCTTATATTTGTAGACTATTTCGCTCACTATGTCCCACCTATAGAGCCAAACCAACGTCAAGTTAACGTTACGGGAACAGCCGATGGAGGATCGTTTTCCAGGACTCCGCATGCTAGTCGAGGACGAAAGGCGCAAAGAACATAACCAGGACGGGGCCAGGAACGATGCTGACCGGCAGGCAGAACGTCTAGCCAGAAATATCTTCGATTACCTGACGAAGCCTAGCGACATTCTTGGTATCTTAGAAAAAAGGTGCAAGAGTCTGATCGATTTTTTCCCAAAAGATAGCTGGGAAAGAGACTTTGAGGACGCCGAGTCCGAGAATCATGCCACTGCCCAGAAGGCATTGTTTCAGGCACTTGCAAAATACACTCCTTGTGGTATTTGCGAGCACCAAGATGCAAAAGACCGGCCCTCGTGGCACCCGGCGAGATTATTCTTGATGAGGCTTAAGAGCAAGGAAGATCTAGTCCGGTTTGATGTCATCACATCGTCAACCATCAATGGGTCTTGGGAAGATCTCTGTATTGAGATACCAGCGTATGTTGTTTACATTCTTCACCCCTCAATGCTTTTGCCTGACAATCTCGTTTAGAACGACTGTGAAGATTGCGAACGAAAAGGGACCGGATCGTACATCTCGCGACTTGACTAGATTGGATGATACACCACTTGAATCATTCTGCAAGATTTTTCAGGGCAATAATGGATGTCGTGTTTCTTTGAGGCTCCAAGGCCAAAATCTTTTCTGGTCGAACTCTGAAGCATTGAGACACGAACCATCTCCGGGCGGTGGCATGTCTTTGTCGAGTGTCCTGAGCCAGTTCACGCTTACTATTAGAGAAAAGTTCGCTCTCGCTTATATCATCGCTTTATCTTACTGGCAGTTCTACTGTTCTGAACTCATGCATCGAGTATGGAGCAGCGACACAATATGGTTTATGCCACAGGCACATGGGCAATACGAACCCAAAAAAGTGCCACTCAAAGCATACGTGTCTTTCCATCCGGATGCGAATGAATGCGATGACGATGCCTCTGAGTGTATTAAGACTAAAGAACTCATACATAAGTATCCTCGCATTCAATCTCTCGGAATATTGTTCTTGGAAATTGGACTCGGTGAACCTCTTTGCGGTCCATCTCTCCAAGATCAGAACCAGCGGCTCAACAAACGTCACATGATTGCCTTGAAGAAACTGGAAGAACTTAAGAACAATAAATGGGACATTAATTCTCAATACCTAGAGACCTTCGTCAGAGCCATCACAAACTGTCTGGAGTGTAATGGCTTGGCTGGCATGGGGGCAAATTTGAATAATTCAAAGTCTCATCTTCGGAGAGAATGGCTGCATCAGCGGGTGGTGGCAATACTCGCGGACCTAAATGGACGGTTCCCGAAGATAGACAACAAGACCACCATCTACCTTTCCAACAAGCCATTCAGATCTGAGCTTGCATCTGGCAGTCATCGCCCCGTGAATAGGTGTGTCCCAGTTGCCGCGGATATAAACCCAGAGCTAGACCATGCCCGCGATAACGGCAGCAAGCATGCAAACTCCACACAGCTCAGAGGACCAAGGTCTCCTACCAGCGGGGAGGACTTTGAGATTGCTATAATTTGCGCCCTTACCCACGAGGCGGCCGCCGTTGAGGCTCTTTTCGATCATTCCTGGGGCAGCGATGATCCCCGTTACCACAAATCTAGTGGCGATAAAAATGCCTATTCCACCGGCTCCTTTGGCCGTCATAATATCGTTCTCATTCATATGGGCTCCATGGGGAAAGTCCCCGCTGCTTCAGTTGCGTCGGGTTGCCAGGCAACATTTCCCAACATCAAGCTTGCTGTTGTCGTGGGTGTCTGTGGTGTGGTACCTCTTCCCTCGGGTCGTCCCCCCGGCCGTGGTGAAATTATCATGGGTGATGTCATCGTGAGTCAGGCTATCGTCCAGTACGATTTTGGACGGCAATATACAGAGTTATTCGAACCAAAGCTCACTCTTTTGGACTCACTTCCGAGACCCAACCCCCAGATCGCCAACTTCCTGGCGAAGCTGCAAACCCCCAAAGGAGAAGCGACGCTCCATAAGAAGATGTCTAGTTATCTGAGTACACTCCAACAAATACCTGAATTGGAAGCATGCTATCCGGACACAAATCTAGACATCCTTTTCGACGCGAAATATGAACACCGAGACAAGGCTCTATCATGCAAAGATGCGGGCTGTTGCGGTCAAATAGTGAATCGCGCTCGTCTCATCGACGGGACACCGGAGCCCGTGGTGCACTTTGGTTTGTTAGCCTCGGGGGATAAGGTGATGAAGTCCGGGTCACAACGAGACGCAGAGGCTAAGCGGTACCCCATTCTGGGCTTCGAGATGGAGGGTGCCGGTGTTTGGGAAAATTTTCCCTCCTGCGTTGTGATAAAGAGCGCCTGCGACTATGCAGACAGCCACAAGACAAAAGGATTCCAGCGGTATGCAGCGGCAACGGCAGCGTCATGTGCAAAAGCATTTCTGGATGAATGGGTATGAAGGCTTTGGCTCCTTGAGGTAAGGCGGCCTGACTCCCATCCAGGTGAAGACACGATGTCCTTAATACAGTTACTCATAAGGAAAATCAAGGTTGGGCTTCGCGGGTTAGTACGTAAGTCACGAAAGGGTGATGCATTATTTTTGTTTTCATGTATTCAACAGTGAAACTCATGCCCCTCTTCATTTTTGAATTCGTGACCGCCAAACTTCAATATATAAAGTAAGCATGTTCACAGCTATGGAGTATTTCCGCCCAGAACAATCAAGCAACCACTGCCATAAAAAAGGAGTTAGGCGCCATTCGCAAAAGCTAATGAAATTAAAACAAGAAATAGCAGTGAAAGAATAACCCACTAAGAAAAGATTTTTTTTTTTTTTTTTTTATTTAAAATACAATCCATCAGCGATCACGAGTACCAACTTTGTCTACGGGTGAGATCCGTACCCGCAAGAACTAACGCAGCTTGCCGTTTCGGTTACATATGAAACTGATCAAAATTTTTGGGGAGATAGTACGCTTCCAGGTATAAGAGTTGGACATAAGTTTATGTATACTAGAATGTTGAACGTTAGTTCCTAATTTCTTACCAGGTTTTTATCTGGCACGTCGTTTAATTCTAGTGCTTCAATACAATTTACAGCATCTCATTTGGTCACTTTAATTCACCAAAATCCATTGATATTTGGATTCTCTAGAAAGTTTAACGGGGTCGTAATACGTGCCCAGTTAATAGCCTCACGCCAGGTGTCTATATTGGAGTAGAGTCTTGAATTCTATAATACAAAATAAATAATACAACTGCTCAATGATTGCAAATGCGTTTTCCAGAGCTTTTCTTATCGGAAGATTCTCAATTCCTCATGCAATTAGTAGCGCCATTAGCCGCGAGAGCCTTCGCGTACATCAGATGCAACGGTGTCATAAATTCTGGGAGAGGTGGTGGACTAGCCATTCCCTCCCCGCTGAAGAACATGTTCTTGAAAGCGAAGGTAAATTCTGTCCTATCATGATTCGTGGTGATTTCAATTTCAGACAGAACGTCGAGTTTTCGCAACCCGTCCTTTTTGCTTGGATTGGGTTGACCGCCTCTTAGAATTATTGAGCTTGGCGATTTGTGCAAAACGGAGAATTCCTTGGAAATCAGGGTTCCTATATCGAGTTGTCAACATAAGAAATGACTCTGAAGGTCACTTGAGCGAGGCATGACCACTAACCAAGGTTGAACTCGTCATTGAGGATTTCTTTGGTCGAGGTGACATCCTTCACTCCCGGCGGAGGTTGCGCACTGCTCAATGACTGTACGAGTTGCCGTTGGATGGCAAAAGCTTCAGATTGCTGGTCAGAAATCACCATTTACATGTTTATGTAGGCTGCTTCAAGATCATTGGGTCTCTTCTTACCCCATCTGCCAAAGATTCCCTGGCAATACCGCTCAATCAACTTTGAACCGCCGTCCCTAAAATCATCGACCAACTTTGGATCGAGATCCTCCACGCAGATAGTTGATGAGTAAATATCACTCAATGCCTGATTATTATGTGGATTGAATGCCTGATGAAAATGACTCTTCACGAGCGGATCGTGATCGGGAAGCGGTCGAAAAACCGCGTGCCGAGTTGAGAACCAGAATGTACCCCAGCCGCCAATGCCCGTCACAACTGCGGCCCCTACGACCGTTGTCAGACGTCTCCGAGTCACAAAGGTTCCCAATCTGGTCATGTTATCAGTTGGCCGAAGAATTGGTCAGCGAGGGAGACAACAGGGACTGAAGGGGTATGAGCATATAAGCCCAAATGAAATGTTTTAGTAGGCTTTCGTATTCGGTGGAGAACCTTCAGACCAGATCACACAGAAAATTTAATCGAGGCCTCCTTTCTTCAATTTGGATCGTATTTAACTCGCTCGCTCTCGGAGCTGTATTGAAAATTGTGGATCTCGGCGATTCGGACCTCGCTTTGTTGCCTATTTTCGTGATGCTAAGACGCTAGAAATTTGACTAGACATGCAGGGAGTTGTCATGAACAGAGGTCTTCCCAAGTCAACTCCGATTCTCAAATTGGAAGAGCAATTATATCATTTGAGCTAGGAATTGGCAAGAACTGAGCCAAACTGGTCTCTGAATTCAGTTGGCCTAGTCGTCGAATCACATAATCAGCAGGCTAAGAAAGAGTTTAGTTCCTTATAGGAGAGAAACCAACCAAACAAGGGAATGAAACACGACAGGTTAGTTGCCGTTTCTATTCTAATTAAGTACTAACTTATCTAGTTGCTACAAGCCCAGAACCAACCACAGACCTAGATGGCCTCATAGCTCATCAAGGCTTGAACCATCCAAGAGTAATTTAATGTTTTCCGTCTTTAAATTTAGGGATCTGACTGAAACAGAATAATAGATCATTCCTAGTAAACAAGTTTCTTTTGTCGATCAGCAGAGGCCCAGGCATCCTCGTGGACCGCACCGACTCCAAGCCTTGTATCAATATTACCAAGGAACTCAACCATCACATTAGATAAAACCAAGGCCGATAGAAGAAAATGACCTCGTCGAGATGATTGACTCTATAATTGGCCTGTGATCAGGTAACGTCGAATCTTGATAACTGTTGGGAGACTCGTTGTACTCCTCTGAAGGCTTTGGGAGTGCCGGAGGGGAAAGACAAGCTTCGCGAGGTGTACTCTGAGACGCGATTGCTGTACTCCTCGTATGCCGAGTTGATGCGTCGTTCAGTGCTATGTCTGAGTGCGTTAACAATTTTCATACGGCAATCACGGCTCGTGGTGAAAAAGAGATTCATATTAATGAGTCGTAGTATATAAGTGCACACTAGCGAACATTAAGTCGAGGTAGATGTTTGATATGTTGAATAGAGATCCGTTGTCCTACACATTCTTCTCTGAACTGCCAGCATCGGCCGCGCCCTTATCACTGAACTCCCGAACCTCGCTCTCGGGGTACTGCTTCCTATCCTCAACTGCCCAGATCGTGACGGCAGCGGGGAAAAGGCTAAGCGTCCAGAATATCACATTGATGACAGTGGTGTAAAATGGCGAGAATTTGCTTTTTCAAAGGTTAGTGACGAGCCGTGAAGTGCCGGAGAAGATTTTGCACAATCCTTACCTGCTGCTGATACCAAATGAAGCACACTGGCCCCAGCTCTCCACTCCTCTGAGAAGACCGGTAGATCTGCTCAGTTCGAGCGTTCCGTCGCCGAGAGTTCCCACCAGGAAGTAGAGGAAGTTCTGGACCATATTGCCTGAAGTCTGTAGCATGATGTAGATTCCGAAGGCGCGGCCGAATCCAGGGGAGGACCAGTCCAGGGTGGCAGGCTTCTTTTGCTCGAAGCCGTGCTGCACGATCAGGACCCAGATCCAGAGGAGGGTGAAGAGGCCGCAAGAGAAGACGAAGCCGTAACGAATGCGGGACTAAATAGAACAATCAGTATGCTATACACTTTCTCGGGCTTTTTGTATCTACCTTGACAGTGAGTTTGTTAGAATCAAGGAAGATGCCGAAAAGAATGCATGCCAGAGTACCAGTGATGGCTGAGAGGAAGGATGCAAGTGCTCGGGCGCGAACACTGAAGTACAAAGTCAGGTAGGTCGATGCGTAACCCTGGAGCGGCGCTTGTTAGTATCCATTGGTTGATTCTCAGCAAGTGGTATCACTCACCCAATAGAACCAGCTGGAAAAGAAGATGGGGAGCAAGAGTCCAATCTGGCGGGTAGTAATAGTCTGCCAGAGCTTCTTGAGCTGCACCTTTGCGGGTGTCCGTTCCTCGACGACAATCTTAGAACCATCGGACCGTTCCGTCTTCTCGGGCGAAGAAAGTCCGAATCCAATCGGAACGGCGAGTGCTTGGAGTCCAACAAAGACCAAGATCGTAACGTAGGAGACCTTTCCGCCGGTGGATCGGTTGGCATTTAGTCCGAGGTTAATGGCACCGCCGATGAGCTGTGAAGGTTTAGTATTTGATTCGGTTTCGTCAGATTAATCACATCACTTACCTGGCCACTGTTCTTGAACGCAAGCCAGAGGGCAAGATATCTACCTCTCTTCGCGTGTTCGGGATATGAGAGGATGATGGATCCCTCCGCTGCCCAGTACAAACCGGCACTGACTCCGCAAATAGCGGCTCCGAAAATAACAAACCATCTGTAAACCTCAAAGTCAGCGACAGGTTCAAGCCAGAGATGTTCCATTCAACCTACTCAGTGCCATAACGGTTGTTTTGGTAGAGTGAGGCGCTGTAAACCGACCACCCGAGGGTACCAGCAATCAGAGTCCTCTTCACACCGATCCAATTGACGAAGATGGGCGACAGAATACAAAACAGGCCCATCAGCCCAAACACAAGCGAGTTGCCAGCATTGACCTACTCAATATGGTCAGCTACCAAAGGCGGGGAACAAGCGGTATGGGGCGGCAGCACATACCAGGTAAGGCTCAAGTGCTCCTCCAGCACCAAGCGAGTTGTTCGCATTCTGCACGCATCGTGGTTTGTTAGCACCGGGGGGGATCTGTTTACACCGAGGGAAGACGGAGATGGAGACGAACCCATAGACCAGGTCCGAGCAGAGCAACCAGGCCACAGATGATCATCTGCGACAGCACACTCCTGTAAAAAGCCATCTTTGTCGGGATTGCCACGTGCCGGGGCGGAGAATCTTCCCAGAGTGAAAAAGCAAGATGGGCGAACAGGTGGAGTTAAGGAAAAGGGGAGACGCCGCCGCCCATTATATTTGTTTTTTCAAGCTTATGTGCGGCAGAGGCTCTCAACCCATTTTTTAAACAGCCAAGCCGATCACGAATTGCGCCTTCAGATCCCACAATGGCGCAAAGAATGAGAATTAAGGTTGATCTGAGCCCTGTCTAGGTCTGTCTGCTGGGGCGCCAATGCAACGCTGACGTCGGCGAAGTAACTAGAAAGAGTATCAAAGCACCGAAAAACTCCGCTGAGCTCATTCTGAAATTTTCTTGTGCTATCAATAAGAAGGATCCACTGAAGCGTCCGACCCGCCACATCCGACGAGAACATGCGGGAGAAACGTGAAAATTGTTCTAAGGCGTGCCCCTTTTTGTGGATACCTTGTCTGGAATTTTCCTATAGCCTGATGCGCGTTTCCAGAAAATTTCTACCAAAGTTCTTGAGCCCCATCGAACAGCTAGCGAACAAAGTCCATTGGCTTAGCTCCTGGAAAATAGCTCGCAGGGGGCAGCTTTATTATATCTCTACCGGATCTGCGGAAATCCCGCGTTCTGTTCATGTTCCTTACGCGATGAAAACGTGGAACGAGTTGGTGCCTTTCATAGACTGTTTTGACTTTATATTTGGTCGACAACGCTACAGTAACTCAGCAACTCCTATAAACCTACTATACAGCTTCTTTGACGTAATTGATAAATCTCCCAGCAAGGTTCGCCACGACGCTTGCCATCACCATGAAATGCCCCCGCCACGCCTCAGGTGGGCATCAAAGCAGAATATTCCAAACCGACACTAGGAGACAGTGATGCCCTTCCGGGGTAACCCCCTGGCGTGAAAGAAAGGGAAACACGAGCATAGCGTATCAGGACTATCAGCCCCTACGCAGCCGTGGCAACCCGACTCTCGTCGCGCCCTAGAAGAGGACTAGTCTCGTCTGGTTGTTCGTCTGGCTGTACAGCTGGCTCGGCTGGGGCGGTGGCATAATCTGCGACGATATCGACCACCATAACGAGACAGGCCACAGTTGCCCAGGAGACGATGATGATGCTCAACACGGACAGCACGATGATGGCATTGACTGGTAGGTATCTACCGTTTTTGCGAGCGAGTCCCAGTCTGATGAGGGATATGAAGATGACTTGAAAGGCATCCCGCCCGAATGACAAGAGATTGATGATGAGTAGGGGTTTATGGTATGGCTGTAGCGAAGCAAATGTCAATTTCATTGCGCATTTGGTAGGCCGTATTATTCGGGGAGTTTCATGTATACTCACGACTGGGGAAGAGCGAGCTTTGGATCGAAGGAAGATCAAGTTCAAACCAACTGCAACGAGTTTGATGATGGCGATGAAGCCGTCGATGAGAAAAAGAGCAATGATAGATCGCAGATGACCCATGTCGCCGCTGTTCAAGTAGTGATACTCGGACAAGGCAACGCTGGCTACTGAAAGAGGCAAGAGCAGAAGAAGACCCAGGATTATGAAGCGATACGCCCCATGGACAAAGTCGCGGATCGGGGAACCTGCGTTCCAAGTGCTGATGGACAGAATGACGGTCTGGATGATGAGGAGCAAGCATATAGATGATGCGCCCGTGAGAGCATTAAGCATAGTCAAGTGTTGTGAAAGTCTATACAGGAAAAGTGGCAGCCGGAGAGTAATGATGAAGACGGCGTTTATGATAGCAGTGATCAGCCATATCGCGATCCATCTAGTGTTGTTGTGAGCTATGCGCGTTCCACGAATACGTGCCGCGGGGCAAGGGGGACTCACATCGTCGTCAGGATAGCGCATGCCCTCAACCAAGCGGAAGTCGTCGTGTCTCTGATCCTCTTGGGGACTCTCGTGAAGGAGGCGTTGACGGCGTAGAGGGCGCCAGCCAACGCGACCGCCAGAGCAGCGGACCCGCAAACACCGACTGCGATAGAGCTCATCGTCAGCTACAGATAGGGAACACGAACAGTCTCTCTAGAAGAGCTGGTCTAGATCTATCGACAAGCGTTGCAAGACAGCAGGTGATCGGTGACGTTGAATCGATCAATGGCGGTGTCACGAGGCGGCAGATTCAGGAAGGACGCTCAATTGCGGGGCGCAGCAACGAAATAAGTAAGGCGGAAAGAGCCCCTTGAGCATGACGTAAGCAGCATCAACCAGCCATCCATAATTGATCAGACAAGAATCAAATGATGAGGTGTGGGAAGGCTAAATGTAAGAGATTCGTGAATTCATGGCAGAAATCTGGAGACGGAGCTGGCGACTCGCTCGACGGTGTCTGCCGCGAAGGTGTGGATGAGATGACCAAAACTAGGAATCATAGTAAACCTCGAATCATGTTAGAGATAAAATCAACGAGGCACCATCAAATACATATCAATTTTATAATGGAAGGTACCTTAATTCAGTGTTGTACGCTCATACCTTCTATTAATATGCATGGGAGAAACGCTACTTTTCTCATTGCTTCCGTCAACGGTTCTTGAACTATCATAGGAAGAAGCTTGCATGATTTCTGAAGCCCTGCGCGAAAAAAGGAAGATAAATTGGTGTTAGCTATTTTGGGCCTACGAGAGCACCATTAATGACTACGCTATATCTGATGTTGTGACGATGTAGCTGTTCTGGGGTCTGGCAATATTGATGGCCATGATGTGCTATCCTTTCACTCCATCCAAGTTGAGATAAGGAAATGGAACAGATTTGTTGCACTTTGTATCATCATAAAACCCGTTAAACTTTACACTTGACAAGACCTTTTTTCAACAATCAATCACAGAAAGCAGGGCTATCTTGCGAATCCCACGGATGTTGTGCACTATTCTAGCTCTCTCCGTGTATCAACAAGCCTCGCACATTTAGAGAAATTTGGTTGCATTAAACGGGTTGAACATTTAGGGCTGTAGTATAGCCTAGTACCTCCAGTATTCGTAAATATCAGAGATAATCTGTAGCTTTTGAATCGCGGAGTGATTAGTGTGTATCTTCGAGCTTTGGAACCTATTCTCTTAATTATGATACAAAATATCACGCAAAGTCTGTCTATCACGGGTCACTCCCAGGTGATTCTCTCTATAGACGAGCCGGTTTTCACCCATCGTCTTCCCCATATTCTCAAAACTCCATTGGACCCTTACCATTGCAGACACGAACTTGAGGAGATTTGCAAGCAGCGCCAGAAGCTTAACCATCTGAGCACTTGTTCCTCATAGCGTTGATCTGGCGTAGCCTTGTCTCTATATGCCCAGACCAGGTAAAGTATTCGCTGGGTGTCTAGGGGTTGAATCACAAGAGGTAATACGTTTTACTTTTTCCACAATTCATGAAAACTAGCTACGTCTTCCTAATTGTTCTTGAGAAACAACCCACAACATCCACCTCCCATCCATCCACCCGCTTCTTTTGCTGGACAACTCAAGTAATATCAAGTCCCCCCATTGTTCAATCAGGCAATTTGGTTGGTCCTGAAGTTGAAGTGGTGGTTATCAGCCGAGCCAATCCAGTAAGCATAGACGTCCCAAACTCCCGGTACGGCCGACCTCTCGGCATACTCCCTCCCGGAGAAGGAAGCATCACCATTGTCAGCAGCGGAGAAGATAGCGCTGTGATAAGCCAGCCACTTAGTTCGATATTCGGCAAGATTTCCCGCGTTCGGGTCAAGCGCGACTACTCTAAGCCCGCTGGCCCCAGTGTAATTGGGCTCAGCTAGAATGCGGTTCGACCAAGTCGGCTTCTGGGAAAGGCCGGTGGTGTTTGGGTTGAGGTAGATTTTGGCAGTGCCAACATTGTTGGACAAGTCCAACGAATCTACGAAACTTGTTAGAGGGGTAATGAGCGGAGGATGCTAGGTAGAGTTACAGGTGACAGGCGCATATTCGGGATCATTCAGAGCCCTGTAGTCACCAAGATAGATTGTTTCTATTTTCACGTCAGAATATTCTTACGATTTTTGATAAGGTCCTTGAAACTTGCATACCTCCATTCGAGAAGACCTGAAGGTCGTTGACCTCAGTCGTGGTGCTGTCTCCGTAAACATAGAGCGGCCCGCTGTATACTTGTGCTGAAGCTAAACTAGCTAAAGATGCTGCGAGGGCGTATGTGACCTTCATAGTTGTAACAAGAAGAAAAGACTGTTTGCTAATTTCGTTGGTGATACTAATTTGGGGCTGATGTTACCAACGTCGTCCGGTCATTGAGCTACCTTTATATTCTTTCCAATCGTTGAACAGGGGCCATTCTTCCATGTGGGATAATATGATTATTCATGATTACAGTACATGCCATAAAAGCCAAACTTCCGAAACTGAAACCACTTCCTAGCCGGTACGCGCTTACTCTCGATGCTTGCCTGTATCACTATTGAAAGGAAGAGAAAGACCGCCCGTGTATGATGCAACATGTCAACGAAACGATTGGTCCGTTTACGAGAAATGATTCCAAAAGCAACATAGCCCATGATCATCTGCCAGGGCCAGCCGGGGTCGCGGCAAATCCCCTGCAAGTGCGGAGGCAAATAGGTACGGAGAGATGCAGACTCCCGGCACACGCCGCCGATATCGACTTCCCAATCTAGTTCGGCAAAAGTTCCGGATCATTGCGTGCCGCCGTCCAAAGTCGGTTCCGTCGAATCATGTTTCTTGAAGCCTGACCTGTGCAGATGAGGATGCTTCGTTGAGTTGATCCTCTCGAGCTTCCCTTATCAAAGGTCTAAACCCTAGTCTTCCATAGTAATCACTGCCCGGAAACGTATGTCACCACTGACCATGGCGTCTGTTGTGTTCATATTACGTTAATGCTCATCCCTCATGCTCGGGATTTTTCGCAAAATAACTTACTATATGCTTCATTGACCTGTTCTAGCGGCCATGTCTGTGTCATACAATTGACCCCATGCAACTTGGTAAACGCGATTGTGTCTTCTGCATCTGTTGCATGACCTGAAGGCCAAGAGTGAACAGAGAGTCCGTAGCCCATCTATGTAAATGAGAATTCGTTAGCCGGACTTTGAACGACAGATTTACTCTTATCCATGTAAGTAGATGAGACTTACCAGGGTAAGAACGTTAATCGACAAGTCACCGGCAACTTTGCGATAAAGCGTCCTATTAGCTTCATATTCCCAATCAAGAGTCCATGAACAACTTACCAGAGAGAACCAGTAACTTTCCAAGAGGGCCCAGCCCGCCGAGTAACGGTGTTATGTCCGCGCCGTTAGGAGACGTCGAAACAATGAGAGACACACCACCTAAATCCTTGAGGGTGCTGACAGGATCTTGGGTAGCTGCATCAATATACTCGTGCGCTCCCAGGTTCTTTGCAAACTCTTCCTTGTCGCTCCCACGGGAAATAGCCACAACCCGGTAGCCGAGTTTGTTTGCGTACTGGATAGCAAGATGCCCCAGACCACCAATACCATGGATGGCAACCGTCGATCCATGAGGCACATTGAGCTGGCGGATAGAGTTGAAGGTTGCAACGCCAGCGCACAGAACAGGTGCGTAAAGCTTAGCGTCGATGTCTTCGGGGATTCTGACCCCTGACTCGGAGCGAATCTTGCAGTATTGGGCATCTTGAAAAAGTTAGAGCAAACTATTCCCTCTTCTGGCAGTGTATGTAGGGAATCTTACATCCTCCTCCGACAGTCTCTCCATTTATAACCTTGTTATCGCACATCTGGAACATGCCTTTTTGGCAAGCATTGCATGTGCCTTGAGTAGCTCTGTTAGAGTAGTGACTCGATAGCTTCACTCCTGTGAATACTTACCGTCGTGTCCTCCATGCCAGCCACCGCCGATGCGGTCACCGACTTTCCACTTCTTCTCACCGGAAGGAACTGCGGCCACTCTCCCGATAAACTCGTGACCAGGGACGAAAGGGCTGGAATCAAGAGTATTAGTCTCAGTTTGTCAACGATTTCAAAAAATGGAAAACATACAAACCAGCCCCCATGCCATTGAACTGGGGGAACTTGTCCGAATGGCAAACGCCACAAGCTTCCACCTTTATCAGAACCTGTCCGTCGGAGGGAAGAGTCAACTCAACCTCCTCGATGACCAGAGGCCCGCCGTTCTCCTTGAAGGCTGCTTGTTTGAAAGTCTTGGGGAGGCTCATTGTGTAATGATTTGGGCGATTGCTGGATCGTCTGAGCACGGTCTACTTTTTCGAATCTGTTTGATTCAGAAATGTACTGATGTTTTGAAATCAGGATTGTGTTATGCTCATACGATTTATACACTTTATATACTATTTAACCACCCCGCATGAAGCCTACTGCCGCTCTGCGATAAGGATACATCTATCCTTGTGCTTTAAGGAAATATGGATGGAATAGCGGTTCCCGTTGTGCCGGAGTTTCGGAGCTTTGGAGTTAAATGGGAAGGTCATGGAGTTAAGAAGCATGCTGTAAGTGGGTGACATAAAACATGACACCCCACGACACTACGCCCTCAACCTTTCAAGCGTAAGTTAATAATTACTAAGAGTTTAGTGACAAGTAAAAAAAAAAAGCATTAGGACTAAAACGAGCGGACTCTTAATAGTGAGGAATCCGTTCATCTTGCCATTTGTTGCGGTCAGAGATTGCAAGTTCTATTGCTAGAATAGGCTGTCTGGCGAGCAGTGTTTTTTGTCAGGCATCACCAGGGCACATATCCACGGATATTAGGGTAAGCGCTAGATGTAGAAGTTTACTAGATCGGGCAACCGAGATTATTGTAGCATCATAAAGTGGATAAGGCAGTAGAGACGCTGGCGGGGATAAGAGACATGGATGATAGATGACAGGGCCGCTGCCTTGGATCTCTTATTCTCGAGACTTGTTGGCCCCCAGACATTATCCTTAGGGCATGAACCTTCAATTGCCTAGAAAGGGAATGCGTTTCGTATTGCAGAAACTTTATCGTCTCTAGTCTCGAATATCAAGAGCCACCCTCACCGCCGTAGTAACTTGATTGATCACTCACAACGATTCACACAAAAGGGAGGCTGAATCACCGGGTCGTTTGCCTATCGAGAGCGGAAAGACATGCATGCAGCTATTCCGTTTACGCTCTTCCCCGCCGCCTCATCTGCGCGTGGCTGGCTGAAAGCCAACATCCAATCTCTCCATGAAGCGAATATCGTAATGTTATGCAAGTAAAATGACTCATATGCAACATGAAATTCGCCGATATGCCTCTTCCAGATTCTTTCCCCAAGGATCCTGCGAAGACACCTGTTTCTCCGTAATATTATACACCGAGGTCCCCAGAATACTATTGATATCTGGTGGAAGCAAAAATAGAAAGAAGGCCCTGGAAAGGAAGAAAAAGAAACTTAGACAAGGGGTCCAGACGACTCGGTTGTACTCAGCCCCCGTCCCTGTCTTATTTGCGATACTTGTCCCAGAAGCTATAAATACGATCAATCTGCCCGCTGGTGAACTCAGAATAACACTCACTGCGAAATCAACAAAGTCAGCTAACGCGAATCAAAAATACAAAGAAAAAAGAAAAGAAAAAAGCGGAAACATCAACGCACTCTGACGAGTAATCCATATAATTATGGATCGGGTCCAACCCCGGCTTGAGAGGACATGAATCCCTCCCCTTGGGACACCCAGCCGACGCGCTCGCCTGCGCGGGTGTGTCGTCGACCAGGTCGTTGTCGCCGACGCAACCCCCCTCAAAGGTATGGATGAGGCCGAACCAATGGCCCGTCTCGTGGACGGACGTCTTGCCCAGGCGGAAGTCGGCCATCGAGCCCCCCGGCACCGTGGACGACAGGACGGAGCAGCCGTCGCGGTAGAAGTCCTCCGAGCCCTGGGCCGCGTCGGTCGGGTAGTAGCAGTACCCAAGGTCGCCGTGCAGGTCCTCGACGTAGTAGATGTTGAGGGCGCGGTAGCCGCCGGAGCGCAGCGCGCGCTTCATCCCCATCTCGTCCCCGTCCCGGGACCATTTCTCGTTGATGGTCGAGGTGGTGCCCTTGAGGTGGAAGGTTATACCGTACGGTAGGTAGGATTTGAGGAGGACGGCGAACTGCCTGTGGAGGGTGGTGATCTGACTCTTTGGTCAGTTTTTTCTGACGGCGTCCATGCCTAGAATGTACCTACGCTGACTAGTTTGTCCCTCGATGTGGCGACAGTGTGCAAATAAACGTCCACCTCTATGGTTCTCCTCGCCTTCGAATTACGGTTATCTTGGCGCGCGATATTCTCCCGCTCAGCGAGTTGCCGTCCCACTGCCAGGAACTCGGGGCTAGGGGGTGCTGTACCACAGCCTGGTCCATCATGGGCCTGGGCGAGCAGGGCAGAGGCCAGGAGAACGAAGTACCTAAACAGCATTGAAGATATATCTTGGAGTAGACCCAAAAAAAATTGCCTAAAAGCAGGGGATATGGTGGTGTATTTGTGTTGTATTGAAAGACCCCTCAGTCTGTTATCTACTCAAGACGAAGCGCTCAGGACATCGGGAGATTAATATACAACGGCGGTGATGAGACATTGCCCGTTGAGCATCCGGCGCCATCATCCGCGTTAGGTGAGCACGACACCTCCCAACACATCTCATACAAGGTAGAAGAGCTCGAAAGAGGGGTGTCTGCTGGGAAGAGCGACTCACACCCCCTCCGGAGGTCTCAGCCTCGGAGAAATAGCTCTGAGCGAAGCTTACTACCGTGAAAGCCGTAAGAGCGGCTCGGGAGCTAAGATGTCCGCGGGAAAAAAAGCCGGTATCACCAGCAAGATGTCCGCGATAAACCGTCCCATCATCCGGCTCAGACCATGAGTCAAGGGCAAAGAAGCTATCGTTCGATCCGGTCATGTGATGTTAATATGCACCATAAGGATCAACGATGTATCAGAGCACCAAAATTTCCGCCTCGAAATGGCCACAGCAACCAAGGTATGCCATGGGAAATCAAGAAATCCTGTTTGCTTCCTTGGTTCTTTGGCATGCGAGAAGGAAATGAGAGACATTTGCCTGATTATTCTCCCAGTGGTGGGGAAGTCCTCACACCTCCAGGTTATGGCGCAAAGAAACCGTTGTATGGAGGGGCAGGATGGCATGAGCGAGGGTTGCCGTATGACTCGTGTGAGGAGCAAAGCCCATCCTAATGAGAAGCCCGGTTTGGCTCACTTGGTGGAATGCAACAAGACGATGGCACCATGGGATTCTCCAAGGATGGAATGATGAAGCCAGCGGAGGACCCAGAAGTAATACCCTTCCCCCACGGGCGCTGAGTCGGTGTCTCTGTTGTAGTTTGTAGTCGGAGGAACCCGGTTTGATCGACGGTTCGATGCAATCTAAAGCCCGTCCGTGAGCTCTGTGTCTGTCCTTATGCACCGGAGAAGGAAATGCAGCATCTTCTCCTTGAAAGATGTGCCAAAATTAGATGATTTCGCCTTAGCATAAAGTTTGTTAGTTGTCATATGGGAATCGGCCAGCTGTACTAGCATATCCCAAGTCGAAGCTCCAGCAGGAACAGACAGCCGAGCAATCGCCTCAAGTCAGAAAGGAGCCAGTGTCACAGGATATCCTGCAGAAACATCCCCCGGCGCAAAGACTCCGAAGCGCTCTTAAAAGCCGATGGCAAAAGTCCCTTAGCCCGGGTCGCTTCTTCCCAGAAGCCTTGGCGAAGAAGAGAAATTTCACTTCCAAAACGACACGTTCCAAATCCCGAGTCGGTATACGTAGGCCCTTCGTAATCCGCTCAGGTCAAGTGCTCCTTCTCGATGTGATGTGTCACCGCTGTCTCGTCTCCCTCGAAGTCACCGCACAGCGGGCAAGTCACCAGCGCCTCCTGCGTCCTCGATGACGTCTCAGGCTCGGGCTCCGCGGGGAAGAAGTCGGCCAGGCTCCTCGGCGGCGGACCCTCGGGATACTCGTCGTCGAAGCGCACGTCGGTGTAGCGCTGTGTGAAGTTGTTTCTGCCTGCGCTCGGCCCTGATGCGTCGGCCGCACCACCGCTGCTGCTTCCTGCTGATCCTCCTCCCATGCGCTGCACCCTGCCGACCTGGCCGTCCTGCAGGCGGACCTTGATCCCTCGCGGGTGGTTGCCCTGCGTAAGGACGTCCTGCACCACGCCGGGTGTCTCCCGCCCCGTGGGTTGGTCTGCCTTAAGGACTATCGACACGCTGGCGCCAGGGACTACCTGCTGGACGGTTGGAATGGAGGACGACTTGGGGTGGTGGTTGGATCGCGAGGGTCCGTTTTGCCGGCCGTTGTTGGGGCGTTGTTGCTGCTGCCCCTGAGCTCTGGGCTGGCGGTTTCTTGGGCGTTTGAGCATTCTTCCGGTCGAGGCAGAGATGGCGAGGGGAGGTTCGAAGGATGGATGTCGTCGGATTAAAGGTTCGCTCGCCAGCCCTGTGCCGTGTCGTGGGAGGAGTTTGCGCCTTGGTGCGACTTTTAGTCCCACTTGGTCTCTGTGCCGGCACGGCAGAGTCGACCCCTGTCAATGGCTAGGCAACATTCAATGCGAGTCAATCGGCGTTCAGGAGACAAGGAATGAGGCGGAATTAAAGCAATTCAGTCTTCATCGTCTCTATTTAGTTCACCTTGGTTTGTAGTACTAGCCTCGTGCATGACGCCACCAGAGACGATCTGGCGCCGCTGGTTCACTCATCTTCACGACCATACCTAGCCATCCTATTACGCAGGGGTATATTCTATTTGGTATAATACTGTGGCTTGGGAGAGCTTTTACTTCTCGCATCTATAATCCGGCCCTCCTTCCTGTTCAAGGCCTAGCCCAGGCGCAAGAATCATCATGAGACAAAGGAAACCAAAACGCCGCGTCGCCCAGATCTATCCTTATCATCACGACGTCTTCCCCCCGGACTCATTACTCTTAAGAAAATCCCACGGCCCAAAAACATCCGTCATCCAAGCCATGTCATTAAAATCCATCGGTCCGTTCTCCGGGAGGAGCGGGTTCTTGTCGCCGCCCATCGCCGCCGCCGCGCCACTGTTGTGAACCGGGCCCGGCACAGGCATGCCAGCTACCGATCCAGATCCCAGGCCGCTGAACCCTTGACTACTGGGTGTCGGCAGGCCGCCCAGCGCCGCACTGGCCAGGGCGGGCTCCCACATTGCTTTGATGTTCCTCATTATCTTGCATCCCTTCTGCCAGAGTGTCTCGTCGCCGGGCCCGGTCTTGAGCACGTATACCTGGTTCAATTGCTGGAATCGATCGTGCGCCTGGTCGAGAAACTCGAGTAGGTCGACCGTGTGGCGCATCATGTCCTTGTCCCAGGCCGGGTCTTCAGTGGTGGCCAGTCTGTAGAGCGAGACTTGGCACTGGAAGAGGTGGATGAAGCAGCTAAATGGCAAACCTGGGAGCTCGTTGATGGGGAGGGAGAAGAACAAATCGTGCCAACCGCGGATTGATCTCACGCATCCGTACATGGAATCGATGCGCTGCGCATCAACCCCATAGGGCGTGTCTGTGAGGGACTGCGAGTACAGCCCCGTCGAATGGATCTGGACCTCGCAAAAGTGAATGTGGAGGCGGATTACATCTACCGTCGACTCTCAATCAGCTCTGATCTCAACTGGGTCTGGATTTTTAGAACTTACAGTGTGCTGCGACATTTGACGGCATACTGTCCTTGAGCGTGTTCAGCCGCGAGAGCATCGACGTTCTGAAAAGACAGCTGGGGGCCACGTTGGGCCCTCCACCAAGCAGATCCCGTACAAGGAGGTGGTGTGCATCATCAGTGATCTGCTGGACCTTGACGAGGTTCGTAAGGATAACATCGAAAGGGCTTTCTTTTTCCCGTTCGAGTATCTCAATGGACTCATCTATGTGTGAGGTCCACCGAAGTGTGTCCATTTTACCAATAAACGAAGCATGTCTAGCCAGAGTCAGTATGAGGAACGGACAGATGCAGAGAAAAGTAGACAAGCACGTACACAGATGTACAATACCAAGTGGCCAGAAGAGCCCTGCGTTCTTCCAGTGTTCTGATCTTGGGCGCGGGTGGCCGTCCTCCCCAAATTTTGAAACAATTGTGAAAATACTGCTCTTCAATTGGCGATCTCGCCAGTGAGAGCTCGTGCAGAACACTCGTGGCCAGCTGCGTATACAACACCAGGAAGGGCTTTGAGTCGGGACCGCTAATCATGGAAGCCCAGCCCAGGTAAGCAAGCAGCCCCAACAGGATATCCATGCTTGGCTCGTGGTCCATGACGACTCTCTGGGCCACCTCTCGCCGGACCGTGACTTTTATTCTTTGCATCTGCGGTACAGACATTGAGGTAACATTCATAATACAGAGCCAGAGAAACGGCCGTTCTCGGCGAAGTGAGGCAGCGGTGACCTCGGGAGGCAGGTACATGAAGGGGAATCTCTCAAGCCAGCCACGGAACTTGTCCAGGTAGACCTCGGCCTCGGCCGGTGTGGGCTCAGGCGCGTCGTCGGCGGCGGCATCAAACATGGGCGCGCTGGATGGGAACTGGGAAGAGTGCAACATGTTGGTCGGTGTCGAGGCTGATGCGGTGGCAGCCGTCGCCAGAGAGTCGAGGCGACTGGGGATGTTGTGCGACTGCTCCAACGGCTGCTGTGGGTACGGGTCTTGTGCAACGGGGTTCGAGGGCGACGGTTGGGGCTGCTGCGTCCCTCGCAGAATCGAGACCAGGTCGTCGAGCTTCTCCTCGAGCTTGGCTGTGCGCGAGGAAGGCGACTTCTTGGGGGCGCGCTTCCTCAGGGCGACGATGGGCAGGCACTCCTTGCCCAGGCGGTCGCAGCGCACACACGAGGCATCGGGGTACTTGACAATGCACTTGGCCTTGGCCCGCGAGCAGTTTGTACACGAGCGGCCATAGCCAGCAGGACCGCCCGTGCCGCCAGTCCTAGTCGGCGAGGGCGAAGGTGCCGGAAGAAATATTGGCGGCGGGACCATGGTCTCTCTCCCTTCGGGGGTGGTCCCTCGGAGAAGAGCTTCCTCGGCGCCGTGGCCCGTTTCAAGCTTGTGCAGCTGCGTGCCGATGCGAGGCTAGCGAGCGTGCCCTGGATCGTCGTGGCGGCGCCGAGATGGGAGGGATGCGCATCAACGAATCCCGACGAGGTCAGCGGTGCAGTGGTGTGTGCAGTGGCGTGGTGGTAGGACGAGAGGCAGTTCGGAACAGGGTAGCACGAATTCCGCTGGCAGTTTGCGGTGTTTAGCCCGAGCGGCAATTGAAGTCCTTTCGGCGCCACAAAACAATGCCTGAGATTAGATAGCCTCGGTAGGAGTATCAGAGTCTAGCACTGGCGGTGGAATGCAGCGATGGGCGTCCTCGTCCTGGAGATGACGCGGAGAGATGAGACTGCGACGAAACGGAGTTCACGCGGATTTATTGTCCCTCCAGTTTTTTTCGCCAGAGGGGCTGCAGTGTCTGGGGGGCAACCAGAGCGCTGCTCCATCGTGCCATCGAAAGCCGACTCAGCCGGTGAATTAGACCAGATCAGGCTTCGGGAGCGCCGGAATTTACTGCCCCCGCCAACTCCTAACACCGCCACGGCCAGCAATCGGAGCATACAGGTCTCAGTGTCGCGATTTGATCCTGCTGCGATTGATATGCCTGGCTGATGGCTCTAGATTAAGCAGACGATTCTCCGTCTGTTTACTTGCACAAGCTATTTTTTACATGGTCCAACGAACAAGTTAAGCGAGATGGCTTCTTATTCTCAGACTGGCTACCCTGGTGCTTAACATCATCCCATGTGCATCTCCTCGTATCTGAAGGTAACCACATGGCAGCTCCCAATGCAACCCAACATCCAGTTCTGTCGTCACCAAGTATACCCGAAGACAGCCTCCAATCCTATCCGAATCGTCGTCATGGAGTAAGGCTGGATCTGCGCGTCGGGAATGACCATCTCTACAGATTCCGGCTATAGGGTAGGCACGACCTCAAGTGGGCCACACTTACGGTGAGGCTTGTTTTGTTTAGTTCGCTCGAGTCGCTTCCTGCATCATGCATGTGCTTCGGTTCCTCATTGGCGACGATCGCTCCAGAGCTCCAGCCGCCATTTTGGATATCTCCAAGCTCACCGAGTCCGACCCCTGCCTCAACATCTCCCCTTTCCGCTTCACCAGGCAGAAGATGAAGACGATGGTGGCACAATGGCTACAGCTCAGCAAACCCGTACCCGCGCCGCTCGTCTAGGCGCTGCCCACGGCAACAGACCCCTCCAGGTACCTAAGGAATTCAACACCGCCGGCAGCCATGTCCTCGGCACCACACCGACGGCCACCGTCACGCCCGCGTCCTCTGCCGCCCTGTTCGTGACCAACCTCAAATTGCTGGATCTGGACTTGGTAGTTGGTTGGCCGGGCATTTCCCTCGATACTTTTGCCGCTGCAGGTGCTGCCGGCGCCCAAGGGCAGAAGAGGCGGATCCAATGCGTCGAGTGGGCGCTCTTCCACCTCTTTGCCTTGTGGGATCCTGAAGAGACGGCAAATGTAGGTTTCCCACCACCAAGAGCCCGTTCTTTTGTCTTTTACGGTTTATTTACGAGGCAAATTACTGACGTCAATCTTCCCCTTAGAAATTGAAACCCTTCTTCCCCCCACTCGACCATGTCCAAAGTCTCAATCTCCGCGCCGCCCTCCTCCGATGTCTCGAGCAGGCGAAGAAGAATGGGGCCCTGGGCCGGGACGCCATCCTCCGGAAGACGATGCTGGACGACTGCAAGGGCGAGCGGCTAGAGGATCTCCTCGCCGCCTTTTCCTCCGCCGTCCTCAAGAAGGTTGTGTCGCAAGAGTCCGCCGCCAGCGGCGAGCACCCGCCGCTCGCCCTATCCATTGCCCTTGAGAACCGGGGCTACACGGGTGACAAGACCGAGCTGAGCCTCCTCGTTCTCGCACACAAGGCTTCTCTGCACCGGCTCAAGCGACACAAGGAGGTCAATGCAGCCAAGTTTCGAGACTTTGCCGATCTGCTGGGAGTTAAGGAGAGGACCATGGTCCGGAAGAAGGAGGAGGCTCGCCTGAGGGCGGAGAAGGGATCGTCCAAGACCGTCTCGGATGAGGCTAGGCTTGAGATGTGGAGGACGCTGCGTAACAACTGGTCTGGCAATGAGCGATGGATGGAGACACTGCTCTACGGCGATGCGTCCGTTAAGAATGACGGCCCGTTTGGCATGCCGTTTGAGAGGATGTGGAGGCGGGTCCAGCAAAGCAGACTGGCAGAGGTGGAGAGCCAAGATAGCGGGCTTCTGGAACAACTCGAGGGTCGAGTGAATGCACACAAAGAGAGGCTCGAGAGGTGGCAGAGATACAGAAACACCATGTTCCCTCAGGGTCAGGTCAACGAGTCGCCATCAAAACGCCCAGCGCCGGTGATATCAAAGAAGGGAGTCGATTTCGGATTCCGCCAACATGAGAATCTCATGCTTGGGAGAATGAGCCCTGGGAAGCGGCAATCTGGATTGGGGGGTCGTATGACGGCAGAATATCGCGATATGCTGAATGGACTCAAGAAGGAGTTGGCAAATGTGGACCAGACCCAGCCAACGGCTCTTTTGTTCCTTCAGCAGAGGAGGAAGCATGGAAAGAGGATATCTGGTGCTTCCGACCAAATTTCCGAAATCAGCTCTCTGGGAGACGACGACAGCTTGGAAATGTCCCCAGTGGAAGAAACAGAGCCTTCCCCGCCATTTAAGAGCAAACCTGATGCCCCGCGAAGACTCGTCAGACCAAATCTCGCTCGACCCGACCTCGGGTCTTTCAACTACCCCAACGCTGCCTCCAACTCCGAGGCAAACAGCGTGGCATCTCCCGATAAGTCAGAGGACGGCTACTCGCACCACTCCTCCAATCCCTCGACCCCACGGGAGAGGTCGATTTCACGTCAGTCGCCGAATGGGGGGGTTCACATCACAAACACCAATGATGGGCCGATTACTGAATCTCCTACGCAGGAGCTCGCCGACCAGATCCTCGAGTCTATGAACCACGTGTCGCCTTCGCCCACCAAGCGGCGACCAAAGGCGCGCCACACACTTTCCCTGGCGGAACGAACTCGCCTGTCGATGGCACCCCGTGGCACGTCACTATTTCTCCAGGACGAAGAGGACCAGGAAGACGACGAGCCCACTGTGACTCTCAATATACCTCTGAACGACCACACCACCGAGATAGATCCCAATGCGGAAGTGGAGGATGATCTCATCAGCCGCACACGCAAGAGCATGGCCGGCTTCGAGAAGGCACGGCAGAAAGCCCAGCTGGAGCGACGTCGGTCGCAACGCAAGTCGAGGGCCCCTCCGCCGCCCAGGGAAAGTAACTTCCCCAGGCTTGAGGAAGAAGACGATGGCATGCTGGCTGAGGAGCTGATGGCCGAGGAAGACATGGAGGCGGTTTTCCGTTCCAGGCCTAAGATCCAGGCTAGTCCGCTACCAAGCCCCACGAAGGAGCTGGAAGAGTGGGATGATTAGCATGGATAGATTCGATCCTAAGCTTACGACTTATGAATTGAGGTTTCCTTGAATAGAATGCACAAAGACTTTACAAGGCAAAGAGAACTGTCAATCTGTCATCTGAATCATGATCTTGATGTATATATTGTACAAACTAGATAAACCCTAGTATTACTCCTCATGTTGTCCTGTACAAAACCCACAGCGGCTTAATATACATACAATACCAATTGCGCGAATGCTTTTTCCTTTTGTTCCTTCAGTTTTCCTCACCATGGAAGAGGGCACACCTTACCACCCCTGCTTCTTGAGCTCCAGAACCCGACTGGCAGCAGCCTTGAACCCGTCCTTGAACCTGAACCGCCACCTCTCCATCCTGAGCCTCTTCCGCTTCATGCCCTTGCGCTCGTGGAACCGCTGCTGGTTGAAGAGCCGCTTGACCTTCTGCTCCTTCACCAGGCGGTCGAGCACCCGGAAGGCCCCGGCCGGGTTGCCCGCCTTTTGCGCGCCGCCGTACCGGCCCTCGAGGAAGACGGTCTTGCCCGTGACGGGCTTGGCGTACACGTTCTCTGTTGGGGTGCCGCTGCGGGTCGCTACGCCCGTCTGGAGGGCGTAGTTGTTGTAGGCGTTGTTGAGGAGCTGCTTGAGGTCCAGCGGGGCGTTGACGTCGTAGGCGTGCGAGGGAGAGCTGGTAGAGAGGTCCTGGGTGGCGGGAGAAGCGCCCTCAGCGGCGGGAGGAGGAGGAGGTGGTGGAGGAAGGTCGGCGTTGGGGGGCACCTCGGCGCTGGAGGTGGGAGCGCGGCTTGGGTGGGGAGGTTGGCTGGCTCGGGGGTGCTCTGTTGAGACGGGTGGTGTCTGGTCGGGCTTGAGCGTCGAGCGCTTAGGGGCAGTGTAGTTGCCTATGAGGGGACTTCGGCGGACTGGTGCAGAGTCGTCCAGGGCGAAGCGGGATGTGGTGAATGATCGGATGGCCAGTGGTGAGGTGAAGGGCTGGCGAGCAGCCGCCCTGGTGAGCAGCATGCTGCCGTATCTTGACGTTGAAGCCCTGTTCGAGACGTAATTAGTGATCTGTTCAGTGCAATTGAGTATGAGGTATGGGATTTTGGGCTCACATGATCCGTTGGGAGGCTCACACGATCAACCACCTCGAATGCTTCCACATCTTGAATCGAGGCTAGCTCGCCAAAGTCGACTCGCAAAATTGGTCGTCGCCGGAAGAATGTTGATACGGACTGTGGCTGCACGTGGCTGAGGCTTTGAAAGATCTTGGTGGCGCTTGGGCCCAGAAGGGTTAGGCCATTTCAACTGTTTTCTTCATGTCAACTGTCTCGGCAAGCTGCAAGCCACTCAGCCTTCAATATTATTACTATTGTCCAATCCCCATCTCTCATAGGGCCATGATTACAGGGGCAGTGATCGCTGACTCGCTACAGTGTTGCAGTGGGGCCCCGCCCAGATATCTTCTGGCCATGCCAACGCTTGCATGACAGTCGCTGCAGCCACCAGCAGGAGGCTTTCCTCCTCTGCCGTATGTCTCGTTTCCATGCCCTTGTTCCTACCTTAGTCTCCAGCAGGCCGCAAGGGTCAGGGCCTGGACAACGCGGGCTGCTGAGGCCTGAGGACGACGAGACTGGCCCTGGCCCCGACACCGGTACAGACCCATGGCACGGGCACAAATTCTCCATTTTTACTCCCACGGGCGGGTATTAACCTTCACGGCGTTACACTCTCGGCACCGGGACTCTCCCATCTCGCAACCTCTATCAACAGCTAGCAGTTGACCTAGTGTGCAGATGCGTGGGTCTGGGGTTGGAAATACGCCTTGCCTCTCGGACGGCATGTCAATACTCTGTCTGTTTCCGTGGCAGCACTCTCCTCCTCTCTGCTGCAGCAGCCCTTGGCGGTGGGTTTACTGATCCATATTGGCGTTGGCAATGTTCAGCCGCACCAAGCTTGGGTTGATTGGGCGCACACACACGCACTTCCGGATTCAACGGCTCTAGGATTCTGCCTGGTGCTCTTGGCCTCCTCGCCGCTTGTCCTAGATGGTCCAGACACAGAAAATGCCCGACGCCAATGATGGGCCATTCCATTTACATGCAGGCCAATGCACTTCGCCTATGTTGCCCCCCACAGCGCGTCGCCCAGGCTCTCTTTGTTCTTAATCTCAGCCCGTCCCGTCCTCCCCTTCCCTCTCTTTTCTGTGCTCCGTGAAGCTCTCTGCGTGTGACTGTTGCTCAATTCATTCTCGCTCGTGTAAACCAAGGAAGCTCTTCGTTGTGCCAATCCAACCCGATCCACCAGCCATCATCATGCGTTCCGCTGCTTTCACCCTCTTCGCCGCTGGCGCTGCTGCCCAGTTCACTCTCCCTCCTCTGGCCAACTTCGCCGCCGTGAACGCTGACTCTTGCGACACTGTCGCTCCCGTCATCACCAGCTGCTACTCCAAGTTTGGTGGTTCCAATGGCATGTTGACTGCCGACCCCAACGCCATCATTGGATGCGCATGCTGCACTGCCGGTTCTAACCTGGCCCCTGCCTACTCTGGCTGCTCCTCCGAGCTCAGGCCCAGCTCCAGCTCTGCTGCCGGTGGTATGTTTTCCGTAGCATTCTTAAGACATTGGCCCGAGCTATAGATCTAACAACCCAATGACCAGTCTACGGAAGTCTCTACTCCATCTGCCAGCTCGGCGCAACCTGCGGCGGTTCGACTGCTACCGCTACCAGGTCTGGTTCCAGCTCCAGGTCAAGTGGCAGCGCCAGTGCCAGTGCCAGCGGCAGCTCGCGAACTATCACCTCTGCCCCCTCCACCAGGACCAGTGCCAGCAGCAGCCCCAATGCCTCCGGTAACTCCCAGGCTTGCTACGATATGCTGGACATGTACTCCCAGTGTGTCTCTTCGACCAGGGGCTTCTCCGACTTGCCCTTCCAGTCCCAGGCTCCTTGCTACTGGTCAGTCAAAAGTTATATTCAATCCTGCGAGAAGCTTCACTAACATGTAAACAGCTGCTCAACTGCTCGTAACACTGTTACCTGGCACGACGACCTCGACAACTACGCTGCCACTTGCGCTCAGTGGGCCTCCAGTGTTGAAACCTCTGTCTATAGTGGTATGTTTCTGCCCAAGCTTGTCCAATCCCGAGCTTATCGTCTCTTCTAACACTCCCCCACAGTTGCCAGCCGATTCGCCAGCTTTTGCCACCAGTTCTCCGATGCTTGCGACAGCGCTGCCACTTCCACAAGCAGCAGCAGCTCTAGCCGCAGCACTTCCGGTGCCAGCAGTGGCGGCTCTGTCACGGGTGCTGGCCAGACCACTGCTACCCAGACTGGTGCTGCTGCCACCACCACAACCCAGGGCGGTGATGCCACTCAGACCCGCGCCGGTGCTTTCGCTGGTATTGTCGCTCTCTCCGCTCTTTTCCTCGTTCTGTAAAAAGGTCCAAGGATTTCGAATGCCGCCACGAGTAATGTAATAGCGATGGAACAATATCTAGAGTAAATCAACGAGCTCCATCCACGGTTGGATATGTCGACGTCCCGGTCCAAGATGGTACATAGTGACGGCACGCCTTCATGTCCTCGGTAATATAAGCGTATCAATACCCCATAAAATAATGAATCTATTACACGTTTTCGCTTCTCAAATGACTCTAGTTCTTTAACTTCCTTTTCTCTATCTATGCTGTGAGGTCCACATTTACTCGTTGCAACGCCTCGACCGCCCATGACGGGTAGTCCTTTGGATCGTCGTACAGATTGCCGAAGAAGTCCTTGATGTACTCCGGGAACCGGTCCGCGAGGATCGACTCGCGCACCTCGCGCATCAGGTTGAGCTGGTACCACACGTTGTGTATCGTCAGCAGGTGCGCCGACACCGTCTCCTTGGAGGCGTTGTGGTGGATGAACGCCCGCGTCACGCCCAGGCCGCCCTCGCTCTTCGGCCGGCAGCACTTGCAGCCGCAGCCCTCCTCGATCACACCGAACTCCTTCGCATACTTGGCGTTGCGCATGTTGTACACCCCGTGCCGCGTGATGGCCGCGCCAAAGCGCGCCGTCCTCGTCGGCCAGACACAGTCGAACATGTCGGCGCCCAGGGCGACGCTCACGACCAGGTCCTCGGGGAACCCGATGCCCATGACGTACCGCGGCTTAAGGTCGGGCAGGAGCGCTGTGCACGCCTCGACGACCTTGCAGAACTCCTCCTTGGCCTCGCCGCCGCTCAACCCCCCGATGGCGATGCCCGGTGTGTCGCGCGCGACCATCTCGCGGCAGCACTCGCGACGCATCTCGAGGTCGAGCCCGCCCTGGATGATGCAGAAGAGGTTCTGGCGGTCCGGGTTCTTGTGCGCGGCGATGCAGCGGTCGAGCCAGCGGACGGAACGCTCCATGGCGAGGCGCATGCGCGCGTGGTCCGGGGAGGTGGTGACGAGGACGTCGTCGAGCTGCATCATGATGTCGCTGCCGATGCTGTTCTGGAGCGACATGGAGTGCTCGGGGGTGAGGAGCATGGGCGAGCCGTCGTGGGGGCTGAGGAAGCGGACGCCCTCCTCGGTAATTGTGGCGAGCTTGAGGAGGCTGACCATTTGGAAGCTGGAGAAGTGTGTTAGTAAATGAGTTCATGGTGTTTGCTTCTTTGAGTGACTGATTTCCCCATGCTTGGGTGTAAGAACACTCACCCGCCACTATCCGTCAGAATATTGCGGTTCCATCCCTGGAGTTTATGTGCTCCGCCAATTGTATCTAGCACTTCCTGCCCAGGCTTCAGGCCAAGGTGATATGTGTTGTTGAGACAGAGTTGGCAGTTTGTCTCCTCCAACTGTTCTGGAGTCAGTCCTTTGAGTGACGCTTGTGTAGCCACAGGCATGAACATGGGTAGCTGAACAGGGCCATGGGGTAAAATGAGATTTGATGCTCTAGCCCGAGTCGTCTGTTACAATAGAGAAAGTATTAGTGACATTTCACTGTATCGTAATATCAAAAGGCATGGCTGATGTTGGGGATCACCATTCCAAGGCAGTCAGTCAGTGTATGAGTCTGGTGGAGAAATTCAACATACTGAACAGCGTGCGAGCAACTCAAATGTAAGAGCAGGGGATGTGTAAACGTTGGATGCCATTTTCTTCACAGCTTGCATCATCCCCTGGTGCATAAGATACAAAGGTATTTGAATCTGACGTAGTACACAGCCTTCAGTTCCTGTTTCCTTGACTGATTCTGTATGTGAACCCCAAGTGAATCATCAGGCTCCAAATCGTGTTGTTTTGTCAGTCTCAGTGGGCGAAAAAAAAGCAGATGCAGCCAGTGAAACAGCCGGTACAGGGTAGGTTGATACCCACCAGCTCACTTTCCTCCGGCTTATCACCGGGAAAATATGGCGCCGCTGACCAGCATCAATTTTCCAATCACTCTGCTTGACCTCGACCTTGGAATACTGGAATTGTATGCCAATTCGGCCATTGCGTGAGCTCCGTCGCAGCTCTTCACGATCAACATGGGAGGGCCAGCCGTCTCGCCCGGTGGCGCTCTGCTCCGGTCGTCACGGATGTTCTCCATCCCCAAACCTCTTCCGGTTGCCTCATCTGCTTCCACCTTTCTGGGCGAACAGAAGGCATCTGCCACCATGACCAAGGCGCAGCCCCGGCACCAGACCATCACATCTCCCCTCCGGTCCCGCCAGAAGGGTGATTGGGGCTTGAAGCGGCCGCTACCGCTCAAGACCACAATGGCGACGACGACACCCCTACTCCGCATCAACGAGGTCGACACCGTTGAGAACATTACCGATTTCCACTCCGCCGCCGATCACTCCCTCTCGCTCGAGAAGTTCCAAGAGCTCCGTATTCCTATGTCTATTCCGAGACGTGGTGGCGAGGCTTCCTCAGCTACGACGAGGAAGGAGGAGAACATCAAATCCGTTTTTGAGGAAGATTCAGATTTTACAGACATCCAGGACACCAGCGTCGACCACCGTTGGAAATTCAAGGGCCCCTGGTTGGCCCAGATGGCCGACGGAGACTTCCTAAACTACCTGAACAAGAAGGTCCGGCCGCAGCGTGCTCAGTTCAGGGCCCTGCTGAGGGAGAGGCTGGCCGAGAGGCTGACCAGCAGCCAAAATCGAGCTGCTGTGGAGGCTGGCAAGCCAACGCCGGAGCCTATCAAGGGCGAGGATATCACGGAGGAGCAGTTTGCCGACTACATCCGCTCATTGCGCAGCGACCGTGTCACCCTCTACGCCCTCGTGTCCAAGTTCCTTGATCTCCCTCCCCTCGGCACGCCTGTCGGATTTGCCCAGAATAACTTGATCTTCTCGGACAGCAACCATGCGACTGATAAGATTACGGAAAGCCCATACGGGAAGTCTGGTCCTCCTCCTAGTCATCCTTCTGCCGGAATCGGCTACCTACGTACTGGTGCCTTCATGGAGAACCACGCTGTCTACGGCCCTCAGGCCAAGAAGACGCCGGTCCAGGCCAGAATTGTTTCACCTAGGATCGGGCCTTCTCCCGCCAAGTTGGGCGTTGGTGGTTTCGTGTCCACCGTGCCTGTTGGCTCTAATGAATTCAACTTAAGAACAACCAGCGCTAGATACAGAAAACCGGTGGCCAATGGTATCCAGAACCTGGACATTTCAACGTACGGAGGTGCCAAGGCCTACATCGAGCCCTTCACTGCCACCGTGGACCCTGAGGGCAAAGTAGTTGTCCAGGTCCGAGAGACCAGCCCCGAGGCCCAGCTGATTGCCAAGGAGATGCGTGGACTTAGCTCCATCTATGATGATTCCGAGCTCAAGAGAACAATTCCCGAGCCACAGCATGCAGAGGAGCATGCCCAGCAAGCCCTTCACGACCGTGAGCGGGAGGGCTACGATGACGAGGCGGGGCCTCGAGACTCGAGGGTGAAGCAAGTATACGATCAGTTGTTGTCCGAGGAGCAAAACATGGTGAGCAACTCTAGCAGTTATGGGCTGGACACTGAGCCGCCCTCTGAGCCACCCTCTGAAACGAAGTGAGAGGTGTTCACTTAGTTGGAAAGCCCAATTGTACAATGTAAAGATATCACACCATAGTAGTTAAAGCCGATATAAATGTACACTATTTACGAAACACTGCATACACATCCGTGCTTCAATCGTGATTCGAGCAAGCTGCCCAGCCAGTATCCCTCTCTTAGTCTCGTGGTTTGCTGACGTAACAGAGCTTTGCAGCGGGGCGGAAGGAAGCTCTTCGTTGCGGGAAGTTAATCATGTGATCTGACACGTGAGCATTCTTGAAAACCCTAATTTCGAACGCTGGTGTGTGGCCCCACTTCACACCTCCCAAACTCTGGTCGGTGATAGCAATTGGCAACCTCACTTCCTCCATCCGCCCAACAACGACTAACCACCACCTCACCCCCTCAATCACCCACAGACAACCGCCAAAATGGGTCGCGTTCGTACCAAGACCGTCAAGAAGTCCGCCAAGGTGTAAGTACTCACCTTAAAATTATGATAACGCGGGAACTAACATCAAAATTCAGCATCATCGAGAAGTACTACCCCCGATTGACCAATGACTTCGAGACCAACAAGCGTCTCTGCGACGAGATTGCCATCATCGCTTCCAAGCGACTCCGCAACAAGGTGAGAATTCGGAACCGCGACAGCTTGCGCAGTCTTTCCGACGACAGTGGCACCAAGAGACGCTCGACTAACCTGTGTGCGCTCTAGATTGCCGGTTACGCCACCCACTTGATGAAGCGTATCGCACGCGGTCCCGTCCGTGGTATCTCCTTCAAGCTCCAGGAGGAGGAGCGTGAGCGCAAGGATCAGTACGTTCCCGAGGTCTCTGCTCTCGACTTTGCCAAGAACACCGAGAGCGGCCAGCTCGAGGTCGACTTCGAGACCCGCGACCTCATCAAGCACCTCGGCGTATGTCCCTACCTATTCCCCATCTCAATGTCTACCGCTAACCTGACCCATCGCAGTTCGACTCCATCCCCATCAACGCCCAGGCTGTTACCCAGCAACAGGCTCCCGAGCGTGGTGGCCGCCGCTTCGACCGCCGCTAAATGTCACGATCGAACGAAGAAAAGCACATGGTTTTTTGGGGAAATTAGGTTGTCTTGGGCACTGTCAATATTTAGGGTTTTTGCTACTTGGCGTCAGAGGACGGTAGTAAGTGCATAGATCTCAAAGAAAGATCTTCTCAACCCCACAAGGTGTCGCCGACTCTTTAGATTCTCTTCTAAAGATGACGCTTGATTGCCAATACTCCTCCCTTCTTCGCTTCGTGTGAAATTGCTGTCGTGATGCTGTCCGTTTGCTGTCTGGACACGTTGTTCGTCGACCTGGGGTCGAACCCTTGCCGCTGAGAGATCTACCAACACAGTTCCCAAGCAAGGATTCCCGGCACCATTTGCCTAATGTTTCGCGATCTTCAAGCGCTACATACACGGTTGCTTCTGAACCCAGGCTGTTGGCATTGCGGATTCTTCTTGGATTCTGCTCTTTCTGTGACAAATTTTCCCCTGGTATCATGTGGTATCATAACTCATTCGTAAACCCTCTCATTCCGTACCCCTCATACTCTTGTAGCCCTCCACCATGAGATGATCGTCATCCTCAAACACACCTGTACTCGGTGGTTCCTTGATCTCAGTATTCTCCTTCAACGTCACCTTCACTGGTGTCTTCCTCGCAACCCCAGTCGGCGTCGCCGTCGTCGGTAGCTCTCCACGCTCCAGCGCCAGCGCTGCCGAGTCCCTCGCCGCCTGCCTCTGGTCCTCGAGAGTCAGCTCTCCCAACCTCTTGGCGGTGCGCTCCTCCTCCGTCTCTGGCTCAACCGTCGGCAGATCCATGATCTCAATCTCGATATCGGGAATCCCAGCCCGCTCCCACGCAGCCGTCTCGTTGAGCTGCACCTTGACGTAGAGAGCCCTCCGCGCGCACTTCTGCGAGCACCACTTCTCCAGGTCCCTGCGCTTGACAATCTGCCCGCTCGCCGCGAGCGTCCACTCCCCCCCCGGGCCCGTCTTCCTGCGCGCCTTGGGGCACAGCACGTACCCGCACAGCCCGTTGACGTTGCGCTCCTCGATCAGGTCATCGTAGTCGGACGGCTGGAACAGCCTCACGTGGGTCTTGAAGTCGACGACGTCGGAGGGGGCGGGGTCGTCGGAGGAGGTCGCGCCGGGTGCCCTGGGGTACTCGGACAGGAGGATGACATCGTCGAGGATCTGGGCCTCGAGCTCTTTCCTATGCTCGATGATCTGGGCGTGCTGGATTGCTATCGCGCGCCGGTCCTGCTCGGTGGTGGGGCGGGAGCCGGCTGGCTTTTTGAGGATGCTCTTTGGCTCTGGGTTGGACGCCGCCATTTGGAGAGAGGGGATGTGTGGAGAAGGAGACTCCTAGTAAAGGATCTGGGGAGATCTAAGGACTGAGCACGTATGATTTCGTGGGTGAGATTGAAGCCATAGCTTTGCTTGATGTTGAAGAAGCGTCTGGAAGGGTGTTGTTATCTTATCTAATAAACGCGGAAAATCTGCGTACCCTACAGCCTCACTTCCTGGCTTCTTGGAGATCTTTCATTTTACTTTTCTTGCACTGGAAGGCATAAATATTGAACTAATTCCAAATTATTCTTTGTTTCTATGAATTCGATTTCAATTTGAACTGTTTGCTAGGGGAAATGAAGCGTTAATATTGAGACTTCCATGCGCTCTTTGACGTGAAGTGCCTCACTTGGATCTGCATTTTGATTAATCACACATCTGCCAAAGCTATGTATGACGATACATTTACTTTATCTCTCCAATGACTTAGAGATAAAACCTCTCAAGGAAAAAAAAATTCATTGTATTATTAATTAGTAATAATATCCCAGAAGATTTCATTAGATTCGCTTCCATCTCTTGATCGAGTAATAACCACTTTACCGTATTGCTCCAATGATTTCATATATTTTTCATAATTTTCAGCAGTCCATGGGCCAACCCACTCATCAATTATTAATCCCGTAGCATCCCACGTGGTCTCTGATTTTTCCCTGCCCTCAGAATCTGAATTCTTCTCAATCAAATCATCACCTCCATCTTTAGAGGTAGCCCTATAGTTGGGAATGATTTCTTCTGCACCCATCTTAAGTAGGAGATCCGTCATTTCAACGTTTCCCGCTCTTGCAGTGTAGCTTAACATCGTGTACCCATCAGCATCCTTAGCATTGAGATCCTTGTAGTATGTGAGGAGTGCTTGGAATGATGCAAAGTCAGATTTGTAAATGGAATACAAAATGGGATTTCTGGGGTATCCCCACGGGTTAGAGGATAGGAGTGTGATTGGTGCACCGAGGGCAAGTATTCGACTGATGATGTCCCCGGAATACCAACAAGCTGCAAGTTCCAGAGCTTGCATTTCAGTGTCGTCTGTTGAACTGGTATCAATCAACACGTCGTCGCGGTTAAGCAGCATTAGAAAATCTGCCAAGCTGTATGCGCTTCCCTTGTCGAATTGTTGAGCGCCTTGTAGAAGATACATGAGACAATTCCAGTTATTCCAGGTGCTTAAATGGGTACCATCCGGGCTATGCTCAAGAATCAATCTTGTAATTTCATATTCACCTCGAAAAAGAGCCCATTGAAGAACACTACTGGAATAGTCGTTAGTATATTGCATATAGTATGTAGTCTCTCTGATGGCGAACTGACGTGTTATGGTTTCCAAATATCTGATCCACATTAGCCCCTTGGTCTAATAAAAATCGCACAAGAGATGTGCTTCGGGCTTCAATAGCAAGCTTTAATTTTGTTAGCGATCAACTGTATTTTGTATTAGGGGTACGCAGGTGACTGACGGATAGTAGGCTCATATTATCCGAGGTTACATCATGTATACTCGCTCTCTTATTCATAAAGAGCTGCTTCGCTAACTCTACTACTCCATTTCGGCAAGCGTACACAATGTCTGAGTCGTCTGATACAACATTTAGTGTGTTAATGTTGAGGAATCTGGCAGATATCCTCCATGGGTTCAGTAGAGACTCAAAAGCCATGTCAAATGTAATCATAACTTTTCTCTGAAAATAGAGCCGTGGTGATACAAGGGTTGCCGAGATACGGAGAAATGTTGACTTTTCACCTTCTCGACGTTGTATAAACCCCAAGAAACCCAAGAACCAAAGCCAGTTCGCACTACGCCTGGTCCATATGTGTCGGCTGGGTGTGCCTGTTTTGATGGAAGCGGCCTGAGATGTTTTGTTTATGTTTTTCGTATCGGGATCAAGAATTGGCATAAAATGGTAGATTTTGGAAGAATGTTGGCTTGATGTAAATTCTTCCTGCTTAGCCAAGATTGAATCTTGTCCGTCCCTGGGGAAATTATTAGTAGCACTAACCTCCTGGTACTCTTGTGGACGTATACATACAATAGCATCAATAAAAAGATACCGTAAAGGGAGTTCGCTATCCCTTGAAGGCGGACATCCCAGACTGACATCTGATGGCTTCCTTTGAAAGCCCATTTTAACCGGAGACGCTTGTCTTTTCCCTGTGATGGCTTGTCATATTCTTCAGACTGCTTGATAATCTCTGTCAAGATTTGCTCTGCCTCGATGAAGCAATTGTACACTGAAACCTCTATCTCCTTTGCAAGACATAGCTTCTGACGTCGGAGCTCAACACGTCTGACCAGATCTTGGAGAAGATGAACACGAGCTGTCAATGAATCCAGTTCCGAGGGTGCGTGTCGAAAGTTGTGAACCACAAGAACAGATTTTGTGATAATCTTTTCTGCAAGTCCTGCTATGGCAATAGCAGAAGCAAGAGCACTGAAAGGATCCATAATTGAAGAGTAGGTTAGATAATGAATTGGATGAGACTTGGGCACATTATGACGAGAAAGAGGGGAGAGGTAAGAAATAATCCCAGCATTACATCATACATGTAGACAAGTTAGGCTTCAATCATCTTCCTTAGTTGATAGTGGCCCAACATCCTTATAGACGTCACATGTTTGCTTACGGGCGTTAAGCAAAGTTGCACATTCAGATGGCTTGTCAATCACATGGACAAAGAATATACCCCGCTTCAGGAAAAGGAACCAGAACCAATAAGCTGAACCCGCCCTGCATTCACACCTAGTCACAAGGTTGACTTGCGAGGAAGAGTTAGCGACAGCCAATAAACCTCCTCGCCCTGTGTTCTTTGAGGCTATATAGTTGGATATAAAGGGTCCTTTATATGTCCCTTTGATGAAAAAAAAAAAGGTTTGTTTCTACCTCTTCAAGATACTACTCAACTCTTTACGATCGCACGATTCATATAATAATAGGATCCACTTCTACTAAACGATGGCAAGGTTCCCATCCATTGATGACAACGTTCCCATTCCTGAGCCAGGCCCCCCGGTTAAGCCCAAACCTGAGCCTACACCAAACCCAGGCCCACCTTTAAAGCCGACAGCGCCACCGCCTGCAATAGGGCCAAAAAATCCGAAGCCCAAGATCCCTAAACCGAGCGACCCCAAGTGACCCTTGGAAGCCAGGCGTATACTAATCGGTATCAGTATTCTTTTTTCAACTCACTGTAATTCTCTCAGTCATTTGAAAACATAGGCTCACTCGGTGGATTTTGAATTAGCAGGGCGATTACACATCCAACGAAAGCAAGGGTGTCAGGCTGAAGATATGTATGGTCTCCTAAAGCAACCATGTTAGGGTTTTGGCACGGCAAGGTTTTAGCTAGAGGACAAGGAAGTGTTGGAGATCATTGATTTTTTGTTACGATGATTCATACAAGTCAACTGCCATAGTTCTATCTTGTTTAACGTATTCCTCTCTTTAACCAAAATCTTACCCTCGACATCCATCAGCTTTGTCAATCCACTGAGCTGATCCCCCAAAGCCTTACCTTCCAAAGGCGCGCAAAGACGTTTGAGTAACCCCGCATCTAAGATAATTCTGCAACGCCGCCTGACAGAGACAAATCCACCTTTGGTAGCTGCTAGACCTCTCCTGACTATAACACTCTACAAAGCAATGCCTGTTCCTAACTGCCCTTGTCATAAGGCTGAGACAGTCGAAGACACGCCTTAGGCGTCAATTTACCGGTTATTACAAACTCATTATGTCATCCAACACCAAGAGTCTACACCCACAATCACGGCTGCCACCGAATGCTCGAAATACAGCGGTGGTTGTCCCTACTGCCTCACTAGTTAGTTTCCCTACATTGCCGTATGTGAGGTTGATGCCTAAAATGTTAAGAAGCTGAGCGAGATCAAGAATGTCATCTGAGCTAAGATCGAATACGCTGCAAGCACTGGAGAAATTTTAAATAAGAACAGGGAGAGGAGGCGCTATAGTGTAAATATATTGCTTTTGTTGAAACAGCCGATGAGGCCCACACACAACATCACTGCACAGAAAAAGACCGCTTATTGAGATAAGAATCATAGTCAAGTGGTACGTCGGCTGATTGTATTGATTTGCATGGGAAGAGGGGAGAAAATTAATGAATAAAATAGGCTTCATTTTCCATCTAGAGGTTGGAGAAGCAACAATCTTTTATGGACCTAGCTGCCTTGGACAATATAACTTGGGCAGGAAACCTAAATGTGGAACGGAGGCCCGTTACCAGCGACTGTATCGTAGATAGCGGAAATAGCGTCTGCAAGCTCAACCGGAAGCGGTCCGGCCTCAAGTGCATCCAGAGATTCATGGAGATGTTCAATCTTTGACACGCCAAAGATCAATCCATCGCCAAACTCTCCGTCTAAGACGCTGTGGAACGCTGTCCAGCGCAGCGCAGCAGCATGACCGCTGATGTCGTACTTCTGAGCAGTAGCTCGAATAGACGCCGCTGAAGCTTGAACAGAAGAATGGCTATAAAATGGGACATACATTTTCCCAACAATAGTCTTCTCAAGTTAGAATCAAGTTAACTTCGCTGAGTTCAGATACACTTACATCTTCTTGCCAGCGTCTTGACGTGGTAACATGGTCTGAAAGAAGACCGCCCAGGGCAGGACTAGTGTTCAAGGTTAGTAGGAGAATGAGAATGGTTGTTGAAATCAATTACCTGAAGCCGAAGAAAGCAATGCTATTTTTGCGTAAGAGAGGAAATAGTTCCTTCTCCCCTCCCCTCACCATAGCGTTGTATTGCCCTTGGTATACGCTAGGTTTAATATAACCATTCTGCTCGCATATATCCAAGATCTTCTGCACCTCTGCAACTGAGTAGTTGGATATCCCGAGTTTCTTGAGTTTTCCTTGCTTGAAAGCATCGTTCATCGCCTTCAAGGTGTCTTCAAATGGTGTCTGGCGATCAGGCGTATGGAGAAACATGGTCTCAACCTTGGAGGATTGAAGAGCGTCAAGAGATTCCTCGATGCTTGCCTTGATCTTTGCGGGCTCATGTGCTCCAGGTGGGCCACTTCTGACTTTGGTATGAACTGTAAACTGAGATGTAACGTCGGCCTTGCCGAGACGCGCTTCGGATTCACCATAGTTGCGAGCTGTGTCAATATCTCTGTAGCCACGGCTGTAGAATGCATCTAAAAGTCCTCTCACATCTTCTTCAGTGTGAAAATGAACTATTCCTATTCCAGGGAATGTATGGGGATCACCGACCTGTACTCGTCTGGTTAGAGTGCATGTTGATTAATGGAAGGCGATACATACACTGAAGGTCCCGAGAATATACTTAGGAGGTGTTTTAGAGGACATTTTGAGAGAGGTTAGGATTGGAGAGGTTCAGGGTTAACTTGAAGAGAACCGAATTCGAGTTTCATCAGACTTTGGCACCCCTCTAATTTATATGTCAGATGTAGCTGCCGGGACTTTGCTGAGCATTATGTACAATGAGATGTCACCGTCCCGGAGCTCATGCGCAAGTTCTCCACAGAGCTCCGCGAGTTCTCCACCAGCTTCCGCAAGTATCCACAACCCTGAAGACATCTCCCGCAATGGTTTCATAAATCTTCCGCTCAAGTTCATAGCTTCGTAGGTCTTAGTATCACGTTGGGCAATATCTAGGTGTACCTAGGGTTAGATTCTATACAGGGCTTCTGAAAGGCCTAAGCGTATTTCTAGTAATGTCAAGGCTGAAGTGAAGGAGAAAATCGTACCAATTTGATTTTAAAATATCTCCTAAGGGCTTCTGGCTCTAGTTGTCGGATTTCACTTCGCCCTTGATTTTCTGTTACTCCAAAATTGTATCCTGTCCGAGCCGACTATGACTGCCCAGACCTGCTTTACTAACCCGTCGATTTCTTCAGCTTCATACTGTGACATTATTGGGATTGGTCGTAGAGAGGTTACTAGAATTGGTGATTTTGAACAAGAGAGCTCAGACCATTCCAAGGCAGACTCAGCTTCCCACAAGCCGCTGCGGGCTGTGATCATAGGCGCACCCTCACATGAGGCCCAACCTCGGGTCATCGCTTCAAAAACGTTGGTGATGCACTCGACAACCGCATAGGTGCGCCGGACGCTTTCGGTCAAAATCCACAGTCTCCATTGCTCTACACATGCGTTGTATTCGTTGTCGAGCTCATTCTCCGCTAATTGGTCATGATTCGACTGGCCTGCTTCACCTCGATACTCCTTTACTATCTCCCACATCTGGAACAACCACTGTCGAAGAAGCGGGAGTTGCTTCTCGGCGGATGCACGAACACGTACTGAGCCGTCGAACAGCATTATGAATTCATAGATGAAGAGCGACTGGACACGTGCCAGGTGGGCCAGTATGCATTCCGCACCGCTGGTTGTAGGCGGGCCTTGGCGGGTGAGTGCGGCTAAGCGGTCCAGGGCAATCTGCAGTACTACTTCTTCTATTGCCGAGTTCCGACCGTTGTATGTTGTGAGTGTTGTGAAGGCGTCCTGGAGGCAGGAAGGTAGGCCTTTCTCATAAAGTCGCCGATGGATGAAGCTGTTGTGGCCATTCTTGACCCAAGACTGGAGCATCCCGGCCACAGACTGGATGAAAGACTTTAGTTCAAGCTCGACGTCAACCACACAATCCGTATCTTTGGTGACACGGCCTATTTCCCAAGTATCGCTCTGAAGAAACCAGGGTGTAGAGGTGTCTGGGGGAGATGCCCTCTCATAGGTTAGGCTGCGGGTTGATGACAGTGCATTTCCACTCGTTCTAGGAGTCTGAATGAAAGGAAACATAGCATCTGGTACAACGGTAACAAAGTTGGGGGCGTTGATTACACCCCAAGGCTCGTGATCAAAGCGGTCCCCGAATGGATTGAGGTCCAAAAACTCATTGGAAGAAGGGAGATGGTGCACCTGGTTGTCTTCCAAAGTGCTGTCCCTGTACCGCCTCTTGGACTGTGGGTAAACACAATCCAGGTGCCTATCTAGGCAGCGCTGACATTCGGGAAGCTGCTTGTCGCAGCCCCGCTTGGAGACTGAGCAGGCCAAGCAGGCTTTCTGGCGGAGACTGCTATGCATTGTGCTTAGCAACATCCGAGAATCGAGACGTGATGGCTGATGATCTGGGATGTTGTATTTTTTTACTCCTTAGACGTGACGAAACTAAAACATGACCCCTGGGCCGTAATAACGTACGCTAAGAACCAGACTAGAGCCTCCTTGTTGAAATAAATGGATCTTATAAAAACCCGGCATTTTCCAGAGGTCTAACCCACCGACAAGATACATATTTCGCAGCTCTTTAATTCAAGGCCACGTGTGTTTACTCAACCCTTTGGCCACGCTTTTGGCCTAGAAGTAGGTTCTGTATTGATCTGAAGAATGCTCCTTGGCGAGATTAGCATGAGACCAGTTGCTTACTCTGAACGGCGGCCATGACTCGGGGGTAATTACCGAAAGTAAGCAACCCGCCCACTCTTCTGCTGCCTGTAGACCCATTTTATCCCGCATCATTTCCGCTCTTTCGTGTAAGTTTCAGAGCATCCGCATCGTTGATGCCGGTGATTTTGGCGACTGGAATTGCCCAGGTTTTGTAAAGCATTGCGGAAGTAGATGGATCAATATTCCTTAGCAGCCGAAACGTTGGCAAATACTCGTCCCTCGAGAGCATTCTCATGGAGTGAGTTGAATACTAGAAGACTCCAATCATTCATTGTAGTTCAGTCGAGCATGATGGTGTAAACATTAATTGGATTTACTGAAACTCAAAGATGGGTCGAGGTTGTACTGGAGTTGCAGAGTAGATCTATTATCACAGAGATCATACCACAGCAACCCAACAACAGGCTAGCTAGAAAAGAGTGAGTGGCCATCGCCTAGCTATCTCGAGCTACACATCATTTATCCCTGCACTAGTAGTTAAACCTCTACTCTTAACAGAAAATAACCTCCAAAAACAAGCGATGATGAGGTCCGATAAAACCTCTTCAAAGTAACTCATTATCTCCTTGTTGTATCTGTCGGAAGACCACACTGAGCGTGACTATCTCGGGATGTTGATCCATACTGGCAACCTCGATAGGCAGGGTCTTGGGGGCACTTAAGAATAGTTAGCTTCTTGTTGGCTTGGAATTCAAAGCGAGAAGTTGGAACTAGTACTTACATAGTGAGTAGGGCTGCACGGCTTCGTGCCTACAATGTGGTTCCCTTGCTTTGGATGAGCAGTCTTTGCTCCAATCATTGAGCATATCTGCGTATCCGGATTACATTGCTACTAACATCAGTAAAGGCTATATTATAAAGATGTTCATAGAAGACTTACCCCACCCATCCATGCTACTTTAACAGCAGGTGGTTCCTTTTTACCCTTCTTTGGGTCTTTGGCTTTGCTACTGCTGGCTCGAGCAATGAGGCGCTCTCCTCGGGCAATCAGATACTCACCCCTAGCAATGAGCGCATCATCATCAATAGATTGACGTGCAACTATGCTAGTAGGAAGCAAAAAGAAAGGAATGAGCGCTGAGAACTTCATCTTGATGGCCGGAATAGATTGTAATAGAAGAAATGTTAAGGATGTTTGAGATGTTGAACATTTAGAAAGGGCAGACTGAGAGTATTTATATCTAGCTCTGTTTTAAGAAACTCTTATTTCCATAGTAGAATAATATGATAACCTAAAATAGAACCAATTAGTGCTAGTTGCCTTTGAAAATTTTACCCATGTACTGGTATAGTAGAGCATTTCAAACATCATGGCTTAGGTATGTTAATACAAACTAATACCCTGATCTTCTCGTCCATCTGAGAGTGGATTTCCCCACCCCAAGTGCCGCTCTTGGCATGCATAACTTTGTCCCTCTAAGGATCCCGCCCGAGTTGACGGTTCGAGCAGCCCGCTGCTGATGAAGGTGCTTGTATGCGCTGAAGCCGCTGCTGAAGCCGTTGTTGGTCGAAGCCGCTGTTGAAGCTACTGAAGCTGCTGTTGGTTGAAGCCGCCGTTGAAGCCGCTGCTTGCGGCAGAGACTGTATTTGTTTTAAATATTAGGCAGATGTATAGATTGACTAGGTACTTACCTAACTTCCTCATTGGTAAGCTGTTCGCGTAAGTCAGGGAATATGAATACTATGAGTGCCGAAGAGCCATAATGCCGAAGACCCATGACTGCTGGAATCCCACATCTAAGGGCCCCATGATAATAAACTCGGCTAACGGGCCGCCAAATGCATAGCTGACCTTTCCTAAATTAGTACATGGATCACATATAAAGTAAAAGATGCAAGGTCTATCTTTTATAACTTTGCTATCGTCTTATTATACCCCTGGCTTTGAGATACCGGGCTGCTTGTTATAGGCTCGGTTGTTCAGAATCTTTGCTCTTTCTGCCATGAAATACGCCTTTTTCAAGAGTGGAATTGGCGGCGGTTAGTGGGCCGCCAAATGTAATTTCTGCCGCCCCAAATCTAGGATCTTGAGGCCTGGCTCGTGGTATTAGGCTATGTCAATTGTGGGACGATACTCAGCACGCTTACGAAATTACCTATCAAGGTAATTTCAGAGAATGTTTAGGTACCTGTCACCTGTCTAGGTCTCATGTGGGACTTTGGCAGGGTTTATGTTCTTAGTAACATTGAAGTTTACACCGCTGTCTTCGGATGTTGGTCCAGGTACTTCAGCAAGCCCGAAAGATTCCCATGCAGCCGTGGAATCCAGCAAATGTCAGGCGAGCGATCCAAGTTTCTGGAAAGACAGTTCCAAAGATTTGTGCTCGTTCTTCTTGAATACTGACGATTGAAATGACAATAGGATATCGGTATGCACATGCTTTGGCCTGTTAAGCCTACAAATGGCCTCGTGGATCACCAAACAATTTGCCACGTTCCTCGGCAATCTCCAAAATACTGAGAGAATAATTCATGCAAGGGTGAGGTCGGGTGAGGTCAAAATTTAGTATTGTCAGCTTCCCACTCAACACACCAGTGGCTTGGGCACTTGACCCGACTTTCCATGACCATGTGTTCACAATTTGGTACAGAAACATCCATCCATATCCGAGAGCAGCGGCTCTGCAGCCTTCACGGTATCTACCGCTATGTTATGCCGTATCCAGCTTGAAAGCCCGTCTCGCCTGCGCTGTAGTTTTAGATAACGACTCGCTTCTGCCCAACAATTAACAGGACGTTCTTCTCCACTCAAACCCCCCCCTGTTACGAGAAGGATATAGACCAGCGACAGCTATAATAACCTCCAGATTACTCCTCCTTACCTCCCTACTTATTTCCCTGGTTCGTTTGAGAATTAACTCCATCTGATACTTATACATCGACCCATCACTTCAGAATATTCTTAGCTAGGAAGATACTCTGCGAGGACGATGATTTGGTTTCTACATCCTCTTTCAGAGAGCACAAGAGCAACGTTAAGGCTAATAATGCCTATGCCTAAACCAAAGTAAATAACAATCCTTGATAGGCTAATCCAAAGGACACGACTTACCCAATGATAACAATGTTATCCCAGCAACTCATTATGCTAATTTCTTCGATTCTATTGGAAGGTGTTAAGGAAGTATCGACGGCGTCCGTGAGATACTCATTTTATAAAGTATCACAGACTTAAAGTAGACTAAATAATTATTAGCACAGCTGAATTAGTAATTATTCATACCCCGAGAGCTATTTCATACGGTGGATTAAATATTAGAACTCTTTGATTATTCATATTAGTTCAGTTAAGTATAATATTAGATAAATATAAATTGGATTTACTGACACTCAACGATAGGCCCGAGGTTGCGCTATAGTTGGGGAGTAGTTGCCATGTTTGATGTTTTTTTTATTTGAGAGCTTCTTAATTATATTATTAAATATAGTTCTTCTCTGTAAATACGTGATCGAGGTATAAAAGTTTTCAGTTGGGAATAGGCTTTAGGAATATGGGAAGCACTAAAAAAAGGCTTCCTGACAGAGCTGCGTTAGATGTTCATAAGAACTAAGGAGTGAAGCAGAGGACAACAAAGAGATTTTTAGCTTTGAAGCTATAGTTACAACATGTGTTTACGACATAGCCTGGGATCCATCTAGCCCTTGTTTGCTCAGGACATGCTGTGACTGGACGTTAAGCGGACCCCCGAAATTAAGTTTCATAGAGCTATGGCGCAGATGGATTTGCTGTTAATATTTAGGTCGGGGTTTATTGCCATGAACAATTCGTTCTTACTGTGTTAGGTAAACCTCTGCGTGTTCTACGACAGAATACGGTGGCACGTACCCTGACTCTCCCTTAAGTGGCCAAAAGTGCCTTTGAACACAGTTTGTAGAGTACAGGCACTGTTACCTTATAAATCTTAAGAGGGCTAAAGAAATACACTGCAATAGGGATGCAAGATCCACTATCTACCTTACCTACTGAACACTGGGCTTAACAATGCCTTTATATAGTTAAGGAAAAGTTGCATCTCACTGGGCAATTCACATGAGCCTGTGTCTAAGGTCTGGTAATACTATTTGTGCTCTCTGGCAGAGAGGTAATCGAGTAGCTATCTGCGTATATAGTCAGTCTGTAGGAACCCGATGTTGCGTCAAGACGCCAGATAGCTGTGGGACGTGTTGGTGGCCTTGCAATCTATAATAAGTTGTGCCAAGTGATACTGATTTCGCGAGACTCTGTCATGGCTGTCCAATGCGATGATGCTTAGTAGGTGTAAGGTTGTCGTTGAAAACTCTAGTAGATTATGTCTTGATGCCTTTCTTCTTAACATATACCTTATTTTGATTTCTTATGTTATAATGAGTGAACAGTTGTAAATGATGTTAATCAATATTGTTTGGTGTGGATTCAAATGGAAAACCAAGAACCGACATTCCTGATAAAGACGGAGATTGATAGAAATTGAGATTGGTTTCTTGTCTCAAGAGAGACATTTGCGCTTTTTAGGTGGCCTGGACGTATGATCGCTTCGTCGATGAGGAGAGGAAGCGGGATGGGGTTGAGATGGCTCGTGGCCACACATCATAAGATTTTCTTCACCACCATCATCGGATGTAGCCGAGACAGCGCAGACAGAAAGATTTTTGCCATCCGCCGGCCTATCTGCGCTGGTGCTAATGGATCTCTCGAAAGATGATCCATAACTGGCGTGACCATGACTACCCTGAGTAACGTAGAAACCCCTCCTGTGAAAGAGCTGTATGAGCCTTTGGTGACTTGCTCGAGTAGCAGCCTCAAGATTATTACCGTAAAAGCCACCTTCTGCATAGATATGTGCACCCATATCAAGCAGAAGATTTGCAATATCTTCATAGCCGCCTGTAACAGCAGCCTGAAGCGCGGTGCCGTATAGTCCACCTTGTGCGTTGACATCCGCGCCTCGAGAAATCAAAAGCTGAACAATCGTCTTGTGGCCTAATCTGGCTGCAGCTTGAAGAGGAGTACCATAGAAGCCCCGAGATGCGTTGACATCCGCACCTTCATCAACCAAATACTCTACAATGATCCTATGGCCTCCTCTAGCTGCAGCCTGGAGGCCATTCCCATAGAATCCGCCAGGCGCATTGATATCTGCACCTCGGTCAAGTAAAAGGTCTACAATACTCGAATAGCCTCCTCGAGCTGCAGCTTGAAGAGCATTTCCAAAGTAACCGCCGCGTACATTGACGTCTGCACCTCGATCAAGTAAGAGCTGCACGACACTTGTATAACCTCCTTGAGCTGCAGCCTGGAGTGCATTGCCATAGAAAGCGAAATGTGCAGTGGTATCTTGATAATCAAGGGAAAGACGTCCATGGCTTCTCTGGTATCCTGCATATGTCTGGCTGAGAGCATAAAGAGAGAAGTCTGCGTGCTCGTTCCAATGTGTACAGTTCTCGGAAAGAAGCTGCAAAATCCCCATGTAGTCTTCTGAAGAGGCAGTGAGTAATGAGCGTGAAATATCATCTGCGCCGCTGTCAAGTAGCATGAACTTCAGCTTCTCGCACTCCCCGTTTGGTGTTACCAGTGTTGGCTCACTGATCCTTGCATTGACATCTGTTCCATTTTCAATTAAGATGCTTACGATCTGTTCGTTGCCTCCCAGGGCTGCCCAATACAGGGCTTTGCACATATTCCCATGCTCTGTGTCTCTTTCAAATTCTTTCGCCTCTAGCAAATGCAAAACCATTCTGAGGTGGCCACTGAATGCCGCTAATTGCAGAGATGTGTTTGGCGCGCCCTTGAAGGCATTGGCATCCTGAGATATTCGATACCAGTTTTCGAACCTTTGGCTGTGGTTATTATAAAGCTCATAGATACGTGGCGACAACTTGTCGTCGTCCACTGTTGCTTGGCGGAAATGATTTGCCAAATATGTGGCAGAGTACTCCAAGAAAGGATAAGCACTCTCCTTGTCGTCAGCACCAGACTCTACATGGTGAAGATTATAGTTGAAATCTTCTAAAGAGAGATATTGAACGCATATATCGACTAGAAGCTCGTTCGGTGATAGTAGGACTTGAAAATTTGGCCAGGACTTATCTAACGCAAGACGAGGATAGTAGGTGTTCACAAGATATTCCTTCGCCGACTGGTGTATGAGAAAGATTCGGGAGTCGTCTATATAAATAAAAAGCCCACAGAGATCTCGTAGTCGAGATGCTATGGAATCCTCATCCAGATCAAGGTCGAGATCGTCATGTGTTCGGGCGTCTTGGCCCCCTGCTGCCAATTCGAAGGCGACGTCCAGTTCTGAGAGCGTGAGAGGGCGGTAAGCGTCCACTACAATCCGAAGAAGGATGTCGGCTTTGTGTCGACGGCTATGGTTGATACGGCTAAGAATTTTCTCATATTCCACCTCCAATGGTTTCGGAAGATACCTGAGAGCCTTTTCAAACCCCTTCTTGGTTTGCTTATGTCTGGGGTCCCGAAGGTCCTCCAACATAAGGCGTGCCCACAGATATGTTCGATTTGATGGTGCCATAAGACGGATTTCCAACATGTCTTGCACATCTGGTCTAAGGTTTAGTTTGCACAACTCGTCTTTAACCACGAGATTGATATCTGCACCGATAGCGTCGTTGCATTTTTCACCAGCTAATCTAATCGACGGAAGCTCACGAAATAGATATTCGATGTCCAGGTAAGGTCGGCTAGTGATAAAAAACTTTAGTTGGGGACTTTTAACTGGCTCGGGTGTGTTATAAAAGCTCCTAAGCAATTGAAAGAGCTTTTTTTGATCATCTTCTCGACACTCGTCGAGACCGTCCAGAAAGCAAATAACCCGGTTTGAGTAAGTATGTTTAGCAGATGTGATGAATATTCTCCACAACTCATCAACTTCATTCTGTAGTTTTTCGCCATTTTTCCTAAACGCATCCATAGCGAATCGGAGAAGCTGTGGCCGGTAGTGAAAGAATTGATGCAGAAGAGCACATAAAGCTACTGCAAGGCGATCCTGCTTTGTATTGTCCTTGAAAAAAAAGTAGCACACAATGTTCTTCTCTGTATTTTGAAGTTTGTGATCGACGAGATATTTCGATAACACGGACTTCCCACAACCTGGATCTGCTGAGAACCATAGTAAATCTTGGGAGCTCTGTAGCCATTCCTTATATTCTGAGCGATCCAGAAACCACTCGCAAGTGTTCGAAACTCGGCTCGCGTTCAGGTCCTTAAAATTTTCATAATTTGAAGTTTTCAGTACTCGATGGCATTCAGTCTGCTCTTCGTCCATCTCATCTACAGTAGTGAATTAGTCCGAGATACATGGCTGCTTAAAGTAGCTCATCGGAGTGGGAAAATGGAGGTACTCACACGAATCTGATTGCAAAACAAGCTTCTCCTGTCGAACGTCTTCCGTTGTTATAGTACTTAGAAGCACCTTTGTGTATGCCGCGGCCGCAGCAGCAGCATTGACCTGCCATCCCTGGTTCTTCTTGTAAGAATCGAAATGGTCGTATATCCCTTGTATATCTAGAAATGAGAAATCCAACATTGTCCCAGCACCCTCTTCCTCTGAGCAAGACACAGTGAGCTCTTTGCATAGCGAATACTCGGCCACACTATTGCTGATTTGACCGTCTAAACCGATGCTGCTCTGGCGACTTCCGGGTGCTTCGGCTCCTCCACCCTTTTGTGATATGATTTGTAAAGAGCCGCTCTCTTCACATTTTAGAGCAAAATGATCGCAATCTTGTTGAGCTGGAAGCTCGGTGAATGGCCGGGGAGACGCATATTTTCTTCTGATGTCTGGGTACTTTTTGAGTATCTCAGATAGTTCACGCCCAATCTGATTGTCTCCCCATTCTAGTCGGTCTTGCAATCGACTCAGAGCCTTTATGAACACGTTAGATGGCGGCCTGGCATGCCTTGTGGACCGAAAAGCTGCTGATCGCTCTACTTGATCTTTTGCCCACGGAATCAGATTGATGCCTTCCTCACCAGGCCCGTCTCTGCGTCTTTGTGGCATCCATCCCTTCCTAGTTCCGACCACCAATACGACGCGGATCAGTGAATAAGTCTGCAATGTCTCCTGAACCGCCCCGCCGATGGCTTCTGAACCAAACATTACTGCAGGTCTCTTGGCAAGGACGACATTGTGATTCAGCAGACGGCCCAATATATCATCGTGGTCGGACTGATGCTGGTCATTGACAGACATATGTCTTTCCTCATCAAGTATAGCCCTTACTGCGGTCATCTCAGAAGAGAGTGCGCATAAAATGAGCACTGCATAGTCAGTCGCCGGTTCAGCCGTTGGCTGCTTTTGGCTTTTCTCAGAAATATTGTTCAGATCGAATGTGGTATCCGAGATGGGTGAAATGGTTTCGGAACTTGTCAATGGAGGTGCTGAGTCGATAGTCTCATTAACTCTCAAGCTGCCTGGAGCCGTGAGGGTGGCTTGGCTGCGAGGCGAGACCCAGTTGAGCTGTAAACGATAATTGTGAGCCCTGACAACATATCCAATATTGGCTACTGCGACATCATGTTCCACGGTGTAGACTTTTCCAAAATTTGCCACAGATTCAGGATGAAATCGCTGGAATTCACTGCTTTTATCAATCACAACCCCGATCGGTTCTCTCAGCCGCTGCTCCGAGGGCGGGGTCGAGAGTTCGCTGTCATATCGGAAGACTCTTGCATGGTCCTCAATCTTGATATTGCACTTGCGCACTCCTCTCCCACCGTAGGTGTGAATAGGGACGCATTGCGACGCTCCGTGGCTCTCATGGACGACAATAAATCGACGGATTTCAGAAAACACATCTGTGTCGGGAGCATTGGTCGATTGTTGTTTGCTTAATTGAGATTCGCGTTCCGAGTACGAGTACGGTTCCACCCATCGCATCGCGAAAACTTTTCCAAGTCGAAAGAATCGACGTGGTTTCTGGACAGCTTGAACCTTGGGCTCGGGATCTGATGGAGCATGTTAGTCAAAGCCGGATACTTTGGGAGGCCTAGGGCTGCTCTGTACCAAGTCGATCCTTGCTAAATCTCAGCGATGAGTCGGCTCCCATCTTCGGCGAATAAATTGCTAAAGCAGACTAATCTGCATACTAGGGGAGTGTTGAAAGTGCTTGAGGCGAGCCTTGTCGTAGACGCGAGTCCGACAAGGGAACTGGTTCCCCAGGTCTCCTTCATGCATTCGCGATCTGTTCTAGAATTGATAATATCACAGGGAGGACCTTCTGCATCTTGAGGCACCCGGCAGCATACGATGTTAATGAGAGGCGAGCCAGATTTTGATGCTTTTCAAGTGTGACATTGGAATTTGCGGATTTGAGGGTAAAACAAGGGAGGCTGGCAATATTGATACCGTGAAAGTGGAGGTGAGAGATATTTCGAAGTCTCTACACCTAGGCTGAATGGCACAAAATTGCAAAACTTGGGTGAACAGATAGCGAAGAGGGATGCAAAGAATACCCCTTAGGCCTTCAGCTTCTGCACTTCTCCTCCAATCAATCGAATTGCCTGGCGAAAGTGGAGACAAGACATATTTTTTAGGTATTTTAGGACCAGCCTTAGGGGCCCAGGGGGCTTTCCGCCAGACCCTGACTTCTACAACTCATTGAACTAGCAACTTATTACTATTGCTTCTAGTATAAGAAAATGACTATGATATTTGGATTTCTCGGAATTTTTTTCAAACTCTTCTCTCTTCTCTTATTTTAGCAAAGACGGACAGTTGAATTTGAACCTTGCATTTGTGTGCAATGGAATGTCTCACATTGTCATCCAAACGACATGCAGGTAGATGACGTGGTGGAGCCTCTGGTGGTCAGACAGCAGCGGAGCGGGGCCGCCTGATTTCAATAGGTGGTCCGTCCTCCAAAAGCAGGCCTATCACCTCTGGCCTCTGGGTATCAGCCCCTGGCAGCATGAAAGATGATAGGCGGCGCCTACCAAGAGTATTGATGATCGGGCAGATACATACAGATAGTGATGGGGTTGATACCAGAACCTAGCACTGACTCTATGCGTGCTACGTGGCAGGTTGCAGAACGGAGCAACAGTTTGAAACCATGAGAAACAAAGTGTGGGTCAAAAGAAAGAAGCCCCACGTTCTAGCCGACGGACCCTTCGAGGAAAGTTTAAAACAAGAGAGTACTATTATTATGTAGAAAAAGGACTCCTCATGTGTTACACCTACCTACAGCAGCGTTCGAATATGTTTTGTCTGGCTTGTTTCGGGACAAGCTGCTCAAATATTTGAACACGTTGTGAGGGGCTCCGAGTACGTCATCGCTCAAAAAGGTTTAGCCACAATCACTCAGCATTGGATATGGACGTGTAAAGGTTGCATAATAAAACCAAGTTTTTTTGTGCACGCTTCCTTTACAATGCCAATCATCTTTGAGAATTAAATCACCGGCAACAGTCAGCAGATCAGCATAATCATATAGACACGTATCTCTCCGCCGAAACTCCAATGAAAAGACCTGGAGGTGGTTATTAGCCGACAACGATTATGTTTGTGCCCAGCTATTGACTAACGGGGATGCACCACTGCTGCCTTAATGTGTCGGGCATGTGATGATGCCCTTTGGGCATGGACAAGGTCTGCCCAACCAGAACCTATTATATCCAAGTTGAAAGAAATATATGTTGATAGATGAGCAGCTGGGTGATTTGAGAAATAACAATACACAGGCCCCGGAACAGGAGTTAGAATATTAGCCAGCTACTGATCAACGTCTTCCGAGGTTTGAAGCAATCTATCATAAAAACAATAATAGTTGTGCGACACTAAATTGCGTAAGAAATTGAGAAAGAGCATTTTCATTCTAGGCGGTGGCCCAAGACACGGTCTTGCTGACGCTGAACTACTTCGCTGCGAATAAGCAGGTTGTATGTAGGCGACGGACGAATGATTCCTCCCCGTCGGTATAAGAGAAAGTGTACTTGTGCGCCTTTATCATCTCGTCGTCCCACGATGCCGCTGTTCAGATCAACTCGATTTTTTAAGTGCTGTGCTCTCTCTGGTTCTGGCCTATGTTCGAGAATTTCCATGACCTTCGCCCATACTAGATTGATATGAACCCGCTAAGTCTCACAGTTGATATTATTACGGTCGTGTCACTCACGTCGACGATCGGGCGGAGTGCCCTTGATATCAAGCGATTCCTTGACACAATATCTGATGCCCCATCTGAAATTGCCCGGCTAAGGGTTGTCATTGAGCAACTATGTAATATTGCGAATAGCGTCAAGGCTGTTCTCGGTCAGCAAGAGATAACACAGCATGAGGACACTTTTTACTCCAATCATATTCTAGATGCCTTGTCGACATGTCAAAGTACCTTGGATTCGCTTGAGAATGTCTTAAAGAGGGCTACCAAACACAAAAAGGGAAAGACCTTCGTTTCACGAACCTGGTCAGAAATTCAAGTGGCCTGTAAGAAGGAGCTCATCAATGACATTGAGTGGCAACTGGAGCGTACGGTCAATGTCCTTAATGCCACATTTCTCTTAGACCTCATGTAATGATTTCGACTTCTGGCGTATTTCGGATAGTTGCTGATCATTCGTGTTCACTTTAGCCACGCAAAAAACTCAATGACCTCGGCTATCGGGGAAGTTGCAAAGCGACAGAGTTTGATTTCCAGAGAAATCATGGATCTAAGGCATGAGTTCGCATCCCAGCACTGCCATTTACGAGCAGCGACTGCCAATGGCACATCGGCCATTCCTTGCTCGCCGAAAACTTCATTGTTCAGAACATGGGCCTATAATGAAGGCTTCAACATACAGTATCATCAAATAATTAGAAGACATCATCGCTGTTCCTTAAGCCTTCGGATGCGAATATTTGGATCTACTATCGTTGCGCATTTATACTGGCCTTCAGCTCAATCGATGATACCTTGGAATATATCAATCCGAAACTTGATTTCACACGACGCAGAAGTAGTCAAAGCATGTGAGATTGGCGATAGCATCTGTGTCAGAAATCTTCTGGCAAGAGGAGCTGCCAGGCCAAATGACATGACCGTTAATAATATCAGTCTGCTCGGTGTAAGCCTTGGATATCCAGCTTCCGGTTCCTGTGAGCTAATTTTGTTGAAGATTGCCATCCAGGCAGGATCTGAGGAGATTGTGCAACTCTTGTTACGAGAAGGCGCAGATGCAAACGTTCCCTGTGGGGTTTATAATACGTGAGTGGTCATGAGAATATATTGATAACCCTTCTATCTTCTATTACTAAGATTACTGCAGCAGTCTGACTCAAATGGCAGTAGCACTCGATAGGCCGAATATCGTTCGCATTCTTTTACGATATAATGCAGACCCCGGATATGTCTCAGGCAGAGGATGGTCGATCCTCCATTATTTATTCAACGGTAGTAAGTGTACAAAGAATACGGTGTATTACCCAATGTTTGGGGATTATTTGATGTTTGATGGCGATGCTAAAGACTCTGTTGGCTGGACTTCCCTGCATAGGTGTGCAGCATATGGAACTGCTCAAGATGTCCACTATATACATCGGCTCGGAGCATCAACCTGTCTCGACCGATATGTAACTCACCAGGGGCTAAATCCACTCCATATAGCCGCATTGAACAACAATGCGGTAGCCCTGGAAGCACTAGCTAACTTGCATAAATTGCGGGCTAACGCGCAAGACGATCTCGGGTCTATGGCATGCTTGTTGAACGTTGCCGATCTCTACGGATGGACACCGCTTCATCACGCTGTTTACCGGCGGGCGAAGGACACAACCAGGTGGCTTCTCTATAACGGCGCTGATCCACATCGCGAAACTTATTGTACTGCTGGCTGGTTTCCTGTAGGACATGAAGGTGCGGCTCTGAAAACAGGGGATTTAGCAAAGATATCGGGAGACGATTGCCTGCGAGACTTTGTTGAGAACTTGAGGGAGGTAGGATATGATGTCACGATATATGGAGAAGATGTATTTTGGTCAGTTGATGATTGTCTCCCTGCAATAGTTTAACAGAACTGGATGATAACTAAAGCGGCTCTGACGGTGTTTCAAGAATGTGAGGTACCACCTTCCCCTACAGTTCTTTTTTAATTGCCAGCTGTAATAGGACTGCTTTCCACATTGTGTTCGTCGAATTGGAGGCACGGCAGCAAGGATTAATCGAAGAGACATCATAAATCGTTATTAATACAAGGTCGACCGCATCTAGACTTGGTAGGAGACTCGTTGATCCTTTATACTTCCACGCCGCTTCAGCGCTATCCAAGAATAATGAGCTGGGAAGACCATATAAGATGTAGACTGCTGATTGTTCACCATGCAATGAATAAGGAGCGGAGTTATGGTCCACAGATACAGGAATGTCTTCAGCCAAAATATCCAGTGCCTAGACACGGTCCAAGAAGGATAGTTTATACCATATCATGAGTCTCGTAGCGAGTTTTATAGCGAGTGTTATAGTGTGGGTTTCTTAGCGAGCGTTGAAGTGAGTGTTTTAGCGAGTATCATAGCGAGCGTTATAGCGATTTTCATAGCAAGTGTTGAAGCGAGTATCGAAGCGAGTGTCGTAGCGAGTGTCGTAGCAGTTTCGTAGCGCATATCACAAGTTAAGTAGCCCTTGTCTTTTAAACGGCATGCCGTTTCTGTTGTAGGAAGTCAGCTGCAAATTTGAAAAATTGAGATCAAGCTGAGATGTTTTTGCATACCCGCAACCGTTTCCATTGGGACAAGACCCAGATCCTCCACAGCCGCAATCGTCTTCGGTGATATGCCTATTGTTTGCGCTATAGCGGTAGTCGGCAGATTGATAGACTCCCCTCAAGATTGAAGCATACGTACCTCATCTCGCACCGGCCCGGGTAGCAGGCATCTCCCACACAATCAATTTCGTGTTGCTCGTCAACAAGCGGGTATTTCATTGGGGCCGCACGGTCCCACGTATGGTTGTTCACATCACTAGCCGCATGGCTCTGGTGCGATGTTTCGAACATGACAATCCTATCACCCTCCCAAACACCATCCGCGTAGATGATGAAGGCGAGGGATATAGGATAGGTACTTAGTCGACACATGACGGCCTCCTGCAGTATCTTCTCGGCACTCGTAATCTAGCCGCGTGTACGATCAATGCATGTATTAAGCCTTCTCCAGTAAGCCAGCTTTCAAGCGTTGAAAATTAGCAGGAATGATGGGTTAAGGCGTTGCCAAATGCACTAATACCGACTGGGTTAAGAGAAACCTTTTGTAAAATGTTCTAGCGATTGGTCTAGATGGGAAGGGCCTAAGATGTTGACGAAAGAATGAGAAAACGAGCGAGTGTCGGTGTAGGCAACCAGCACAGCACGATGAGGACAGCACTAGATGGAGCCAAAGCTGGCATAAGAATTCCCCTGTGTTTATTAATGAAACTGCTCACATACGTCACCAGTCCGGTCATGCGATAATACGAAGTGGTTAATGCTAGCTATGCCCGCTTAGGGTTTGTTTTGATCGTCCATCCAGTCATAGAAGGATGCGTGTTGATGGGCGGTTCAAACTGAAACACCTAGCTTCAACGTTATGGGTGCCGATGTCGGAACCAGGGCGTCCAATCAATTCGACCGCCTTGAAATTTACACCCTTCCTGGATCACAAATGAAATTTGGCATTTGTATGTCCTGTTCTGAATTGTGATTGGGAGGAGCTGGAAATAGCGGGTGTTGGGATATCTAATCACTCATCAAGATTCAGTCTCGCACAGCTGGATGAGCTGATCATCGTGATGATCTATGGAGACAACAAATCTGCGCACTCATTGCAATTTGCCATAATGAGCGTTTATTCGAGTGTTCGTATTTTCATATACATAGTCTATGTGCGCGATTGCATCACTGATGGCCACTTTTTAACGTTTGCAACCCCTGAAGCGGCGGACAAAACCCCCGTGACAAGCGATTGGTGTAAGTAGGGCCGAGCAGCCAGCTGTTGCAACAGGACACTAAATTCATAAGCTTGACCCGCTCCTTGAGACGAGTGACTACCATAGAGTACAGACCCTGGCTGTCGTCGTCGGTTCGTGGGGGCGAGACCCGACCTGGCTGACTCGAGTTCATCCATTCCCTGGCAAAAGGCGCTGTTAATAGAAAGCTGCCTGGCACAGTAACGTACGCTAGCAGCAGCACAAGGGTGCTGGCAGGCTAAGTACACGTGGGAAACACTCTGGCTAAGAAGGTGGCTAAGACACATACAGGCTCAGCCAATGGAGATGCATACATACAGCATGTTAAGGCCTAAAACTGTAGTGGGATACTGTTCTATAGGGGATACCACCGGCTGGGTGCTGACGTGTTGCAAGTAAAACCCTCGCCTGGTATTAGGTAGGGCTACAGCCCTCAATCCGGCTGCTCCTCTCAGTTCCGTATATCGAAGCCTAAGTTAATCAAACGATGCCAGCCCCGCGCCCGGTAACCCAGCTCTCATCCTACTCTGACGCCTCAAGCTCCTACTGGCCGCCAGGATGGAACATCCACCGGTTCCTCCACGCCACGGTAGACGACAACGAGGCCCTGCCTGATGACGAGCGGGCCAAGATGCAGGCTGGATTCCGGAATGTCCTTGGCGAAGACGGCGTCCATGAACTGGCCCGTCTCGTCTGGCAGGAGCAGCAGCGCCTCGAACAAGAAGCGTCTTCGTCCCCTCGACCGACGCTCCCGACGCCTGATTGGCTCAAGGCGTGGAAGAGACACTACCGAGGGCAGCCGTGGGGGTTTGTCGCTTTCCGTACTGGGGGAACGAACCTGGACTACAAGGAGTTTCGGAGTCGCATCAAGAGGATAGTTGAACTTCCGTTTGACGCGGCCGTGGAACGAGGCCATTCGGCGGACGAAATCGCCGAGGCTCGCAGCACGTTTGGGATCCGATGGGTTGACGTAGGAGACGACAGATCAAGAGACAGGGCGGAGGGAGATCTTGATCACCCAAATGTTACTGACCCTGTTGAGAGACTACGAGCAGAATATCGTGCCTTGCGGGAGTCGGACGGCTTTCCACCAGGCCTTCAGCTGCCGTTGTTTCTTTGTGCCTCGGCGGATGCGATAGCGTCAGTACTTCGGATACCACCCTCTTCACAACCAGGAACAGATAGTCCACGCTGGCGGCCTGGGGCACCATTTCTTCTGGTCGTGACGGCAGAGGATGAACAGGGGCCAGTCGACGACGAGGCCAGCGAGTCGGGTGTTGGCAGGGAGAAGGATTGGTTCAAACCGGTTTTCAAAGCCGCCGCGGAAGTGCTTGTAGAGGAATTGTGGGGGGTAGCAGAGCGGCAAATTACCTCGATGAGGAACTTGACTAGGTTTGTTCGGGGGACTACAATCTTAGATAGTCCGTCGCTGGAGGACGAGGATAATGATATCCTACAAAGGGACGAGGAAGCCGGTGGTAGCGACGATGGACTGGATGATATATGGTGGTCAGCGCATGCACCACCTCATCGTATGAGACAGAGGAGAAGAATTTTTGTCAGCGATCCCTAGCTCGATGTCCAAGTTATTTTCGAACCATCTTGCTCAGGTTTTGCGGCACGGCTCTGTCTTCGCGTACAGTGTTCAAAAAAGAATATCCCAGAGCAATCGACGCACGGGGTGTTTTGTATCGTGGGTAGTTCTCAGACGAAAGAATAGAGAGATAAGTCTAATTATAAATTAACTACACCCAAGCCCGTAAAGAAACCATCGAGGAGCCGTTACTTTCTATGCCATACTATGCTCCAGTGCAATGCAGTCCTAACTCCTTCCATGAAACCCATCGCTATGCTTTTTCGCTGACCAAAAAAAGAGGGAAGGTTGACAAAGGAAAACGGGTACAAAAGTAAAAGTAAACAAGAAGAAGAATAATAACCATCAATCATTAGTCCTGCCCTGTTAATAAGCCAGTTCCCAGGACTCACGCCCAATAGGCTTGTTCAAAACAGGAGTGAAGCTGACAACAGGCGACCGCTCAGGCTCATCCTCCGCGTAATCCGTACAGTAGCTCGAATCGCTCTCGTAGCCATCCTCCTCCGCCTCCTCCACGACACGCGTGGGGTAGTACCCCCTGTCCTGGGCGCCCACCGGCCACGACCTCTGGGTGTACCCGATCGTCTTGGTCCTCAGCAGCTGTCGGATGTCACCGAGAGGTGCCCTGGCGGGTGGCTTGGGTGTCGGATTCAGAGGCGGCGTCGGGTCTAGCGGTGGTGTAGGCATTGGAGCGACGGTGATGGTCGGGGCGAGGACTTCCTTTTCCTGGAGGACCGGGATCTCCGCGGCCGGGAGCTCGGTGGCCATTTCGATCTTCGGGGTCAGAGGCTTCCGCAGGACGATTTCGGGCGTTGAGGCCCATCTATGATGTCCGCGATTGGCGTTTACCTTTTGGATTGGCACACCGAGGGCGGCTTTGAGCTGCGGCTGTGGCTTGGGGCGAGGCGGAGGGGGAGGGGCATAGGCGCTGCCGTATCCTCCGCCGTAAGGGCCAGAGCTCGTTGGAAAGTTTGTCATGGAGTGACGGGCCTGGTGGCGGGCGGCGTTCGGTCCAGGACCAGGAGGCGTCAGGAAAGAGTGCCTGGCCTGGGTGTAGGGATTGAGAGGCGAGGGATGAGGTGCCTCGATCTGGGAGAGGGGGATATCCGGTAGGACTGGCGGACAGTCACTGATGGCTCTCGGTCGGAAGGCTGGGATGAACGCGTGAGCTGGTGAGACAGGGCGCTGCCTTCCTTGGGCATGCTTGGTGTCAATGCATAGGCGAGGAGGCGAAGGAGGTGCCGCCTTTGGAGGAGGAGGAGAGAAGAATCCTGGAGTCAAGGGAGCTGGATTGACGTTGCCGCTGAAGCTGGGAAAGATGTCAGTCATGTGTTGGAACCTCACTGGATCAAGGGCACAGGGTGCATACAGATGCTCAAACCCAGACATTGGCTGGCGATCCAAGTTCAGGGAGAGATGCATCGACTTTGGGAACTTGGGAACCAGAGGCGAAGGAGCGCACTCGTCCCAGTCGACTGGCTTGTGGCTATGGTCGATCGGGCTGTAGGCGTTGGCGGGGATGGCGGCGTACTGCGGGCGATTCCATTGGGATTTCCCAGTCTGCGAGTTCACATAGTACCACGCTCCGTACGACTGATGCCACTTCGATTTCCATCCCGCGGGGACTGACGGCTCGCCTCTGGACGGTGTCGTCGGGCTGACTGGAGGAGTGATGACATGGCCCGGCGGCGGTTCGGTCGGGCACATCCATTGGATATTAAGCGACTTGAGGTCGACATATACCCTGAGGCGCACAAGGTTAGTTAGATATCGCGAGGAATCAGTATATGCAGGACTCACCAAGTCTGGTGTCTGGCACTCCATTGGGCGGACCACCCAGCAGGGACCTCGGGAGGCAGTTGACTTGACATGATGGGCGGGATCTATTCACAGCGAAAACGAAAACGCAATCGAGGGGAATGAGTGCCGCAAGAATGGAGGGACGGCTGATCTTATAACAACAATAATAACCGTTAGAATCTGCTAGCTCCTTCATAGTGTCGCTCGTGTTGTCGCTGGGCTGACGGCAGACTGTCACTCGCCCATACGCCGCCGAGCCACACCACCCCGGACCAGACGAGGCACTGCAGGTCCTCGATTTAGACAGGGCACCGAGCTTGACGCAATGCCATGCGATTCTGGGCAAGGTGATGGGCACTAGCGGGCCCTACGAGATGTCAGTCGGCCCCACGGCGTTGTGCTCGGCGATCTCTCACTCGTTCAATAGCCTCAATGGGATCCAATTGGCGACTGGAATACACCTACACACAGTAGATTGTGAATGAGATTCATTAAATTAACTGTTCGTCTGGCATTGTGCCCTAGCCTTTAAGTACACACTTGGCTTCATCACTTGGCTACTGGAAACTATTGATTTCCGCCTCTAGCCCCAAGACAATCGCGAAGGTTTCTGGTCCAGGCTGCCAAATCATCACCTGGGCTCGTACCCAGGAAATGCATTATTTTCCGAGTCAGCTGGCGATGCCCCTCGCCTCTCCATGGATGTGAGCGGATGGTGGGGACCCCTGAGACCCAGACACTTCTCCTCCGCGGACGAAGAATTTAACCAGCTCCGACCTGCTTCAGCCGTAGCATCACCCTAGAAAAGCACCGTTACAGGCGCTAAAATCATCTCTCATCTCCCTGGTGGCCGTTGAGTTTCTTCCTAGTCCCCCACCACTCCCAGAATCCTCACTGTTACAGGCGGCCGCGCCCCTGCAGCAGCTCTTTTTTTAGTTGCAGGGGGCTCAGCTAAGCACGGAAAACGTCACTCGTGCTTCACTGCATCCGGTAAGATCAACTGTGACTTGGTTGGGCACCGCCGCGATGGAAACGACGCCACACTAGAGAATTCAGGGGATGGTGCCGTTGCTCAGCCTTCCACCACCAAGTCTGTCTGTGCTGGCGTGGCTGACCATGAAGACCCTTTCCCCCTCCCTCCGGTGTCTGATTGACTGGCGGCTGATGGAGCCTTCGTGTCGGATGGGCTCGTTGCCGGGACCCAGCCATGACGTTGAGCAGCCTCGTAATCACAATTACCTTTCGGAGCGCCCCGGCAGATTCTGAATACCGCCGAGAGTTAGGTGATCTATTTATTAATTCTTTACTCTCGTGTACTTTCTGAGCGTTCAGGTTGGGATTACTGGAGCACCAAATCAGTCAATCATCATGTGCTCCGGTGGACACCCTTCTAGGAGAACAGTCTGACAGCATTTCAAGGATAGTGACCGCCTATTTTCCAAACCCCGCTGATTTCTTGATCGCTGTTTAGCCCCCAAATAAGATTTTGGTTCTTTGCGCAGCGGAGGATCCTGGAGTGAGCGACCCCTGCGCCGGACGAACCTAAATAAAGTCCACTTGTTTCGAAATTCACCATGACATGCCAAATTTACCCGTTTAGGATTCCTTGATGGAAGCACTGCTTCAACCCTGTATGCATCGCTATCAGAGGTTGGCTAAGACTTGATTCCTTGTGTTCCGTTATTATAGCCCGGGAAATTCGGCAAATATGAGCGCCTCTTTCACAGACCGCCGGATGTTGACTCTTCCGCGCCTCGCTTATAGCAGGGGCTGTCTGCTTTGCCTCGGTCAGCACTTGTTTGCAAGCGTAGCCGTGATGGGGTCGGTAGCTAAGAAAAGATACCCTTGATATGAATCATATCTTTAAGCATTCTCTGGAGAATCACATCCAAGGATTAAGCGACTTCATCGCTGCTTCGCACCGCTCCCCTGGACCCGTAACCTTAAATACGATAAGAGAAAAAAGGGACTATACAAAAGGCCTTTTTTGTAATCTTCTGAGCTTGTCAGACAGGTAAGTGTGTTGCTGTTTCTGCTTTCGTTTCATCCGTGAGATAGTCCATGTGATGTGCTCTTACTCAGACTAGCAGCACCTCGACCTTACAAACCAAAGAAGTCGCAAAATGTACCCGCAATAAGATGGATTGAACAAAGACCTAAAAAGATTGAATCGTCTGTAGAAGACATACGTACAAACTCGTGAAAATAAACAAGATCCTTCTCAATGACCCCGTACTAGAGCCCCATGCTTGGGAAAAACAGCAAGAATATCGTTGTCTGACGCCTCGACATATGGAAAAACACCAAATTTGCTCTGTGTATACGGCCGAGACCTTAGAGAGGCCGATGCCAAGATGGTATCTCGCTCACTTCCTTCCAATTAGAAATCGCAGGACTAATCACGTCGGAGCTGTGCGCAGCCTTCGCATATCGGTTCCCTCTCTTGCTATCATACTGCGGACCCATGACGTGCTTCTCAAACACAGTCTCTAGACCCAAAAACATGCCGAGGACGACGTGAAAATCTGCCAGTCCGGGCAGGCTGAACTTGACCCACCGCATAATGCTTGTGTAGGCATCATATAGGTTTTTCATTGTTGGTTCGCCAAATTCCCTTTCCAGACATGCATAATAATCTTTGTTGGTGTCTATGATAAGCAGAAGCTGGGAGACATCGAAATGTTTGCCGATGAACGAGAAGAGAGACAGGAAAGATGTTTCTTGCTTATCCCAGGCCTTGGTTTGCTCAAAATCAAATTCGAACCGGATCCGACGAAAGAGCTTCAGAGTTTCTGGTCTAAATGACTGTAACATTTTCAAAGTATTTAGGAATGAACCTGAAAATGTAAAGATATTCGTAGAGTACAGAACTTCGGCCGCGTCTGCGTACATTTGCCAGCTTACACGGAGGAGTTTGACGGGCAAGTCTCGACACTGGCAATGGGGAGAGAACGACTGCCACTCCAATCCATATCGGCAGAGGCAACGGACTGCCGTAGTTGAGCATTTTATGCAGGTTGCATGGATGCACTCGGGACTGAGCGACGGGACAAACTTTCCATCCTTGACGCATATTTCATTTCCTTTTGCCAAGAAGGGTCCATTGTACCTGAGGTTCGTGAACATGTATATGCGACGACGAACCTCCAGTGGCAGTAGTGCTAAGGGAGTCTGAGCTTTTCTTGTGTTTCTTTCAAGTTCTGGGCTCGGTTTTGTTAAGAGGTATTGTGCAGTCAAGCTTGCAAACGAAGTCATGTGTGGATCAACCTCCCTTCCCATCCAGATATTGCAATCTAGAAGGCGTGGAAGGCAATATGATGACGCAAAGATCCGGTGCATGGTAGTCGAGTCCTGGACGTTAATGATAAGATCTAGCTTGAGGTGAACTGGTGCAAGACTCCGTGCCAAAAGTTGGCAGACAAGCTTCCACTCTGGGAACATAGATTCGGAACGCCACAGAGACACAGGTGCTCGACATATCAGACAAGAGCCATTGTTGTGCTCATGAGCGTGGATAAATGGCACGCTATTCCACCGGACCACAAGCCGGCGTAATGCGTGCAGAGCGTCGTTTGAGATCATCCTGAAGGCTTCGAAGTCTTCGGTCTCATGTGCACAGATGGCGAATGTGTTCTCGCCGTATAGGATCTCCAGCGTCTCCCTGTGGAGAGCCTTGTTGATGAGAAGCAGCTGCTTTGGAAGAGCAGGACACGTGCATTTCCTCTGCCCAAGCAGCATATGAGATTCCAAAGCCCCTTCTGATGCAGATTCCTCGGATCTGCAAAATGGACCTGGGTGACCAGCCGGAGAGTCTGTCACCGCTCTTGAGCGCGGGACAATGAGAATCGGACATGGCCGCAGAAGGTGAGCAAAGCGATAGATGCGTTTCCGAATATGGACAGGGAGGGCAAGAAAGGGCGACGGAGCTGGATCCATGGTCTGCAGCTGTAGCTTACTTGAAGAGATGAAATTGAAGAGATGAGGTTGGACCCCGATTGTTGCTGCCTAATGTAGGTAGAGTTAGTTCGCGTGAGCGGGCGATATCGCGATGTGACTGTCCCAACGGCTGACTGCGCGGCCCGGCTTGTAGCGACCACTCGTCCTGACGGGAGATGTTTAAATCATGTTCACAGCGATTGCTGGCCTGGGGGAATGTTGCCTTTTATTGCCAATGTGCATTGAATGGAGGCAGCGCACGTAATCAGATTGAATACGGCTCATTGGCCCAAGACTACGTCACCTGACATTTGGGCTGACACTTGCATTGACAAGGCGCGGCTGTCTTTTGAGTTGGGCTGAATCTTCATTTCAGGCCGAAGTAGCCCTTCACACACATCAGTCAAGGAAGCAGTTCGACATGGCCACTCTCCCGGAATGGAGTCGGAGGGTATTCCGGCTGAGAGGCCTGCCGAACCGTGTTGGTGATCGATCAGATGTGTCCCAGCTGCTCAGCCAGGTCTGGAATATCCCCGAGGAACGTGTTGAAGTTTGCTCGCTGGCCAAGACCTGCAACAAGTGGGAATCCCTGCCATCTAAAGTCGCGACCATCCGTCTCGAAATCATACCAGACTGCCTAGGCGCTACATCCGACCTTGACGAGTGGGAGTTTCCTCTTGCAGAGGAGCCGGATCAGCGACTGATTCTCGACACGCATTTTCAAGGCCTGACAGCTCTCAATGATGTGAAACCAGAGGACCATCACACCGAGTATGTAATTTCCTAGGCTTGGCCGTTTATTCTTAGCACTTATTAAAAGTGACTAGCTGTATTGCTATATCTGGTTTAGCAAGCTATCCTTTTGGATCGTGGCAACTACATGGAGATGATAAAAGCTTTATGTGGATTAGGGATGAGCTCCCTAGATCAGTACCAGGAATACGAACGATAACATATGGCTATAAGTCCGAGCTTCTAGACAGCGAGTCATTCCAGACCATAAGCGATATTGCACTTGGCCTTATTCATCAACTAAAAACCGGGGGATGGAACCTCAACTCCTCGAAACCGATCGTGTTTCTCGCTCATAGTCTAGGCGGACTAGTGTTGAAAGATGCTATCGTCCAAATTGCTAGAGTGGAGAGTGTTAAGAGTATCCTGAATAAGTTTAAAGGCGCTATTATGTTTGGTGTTCCTAGTCTTGGGATGCATCAATCCCATTTAATGACAATGACCAAAGGACAAGCTAATGAACTTTTGAGCCACGATCTCTCCCAAGGAAATGGTAATGCATACCTCAGACAATTGAAGGAGAGCTTTGAGGGACTCGGGTTTCTTCAGAACGCCCGGATATACTGGGCTTATGAAACCAAAGAGACAAGAACCGTCGTAGGTCGCCTGCATCAGGCCTCTATGCCCAATTTGCCGCTAATAAGGCCATTTTTAGCAATGGGAAGATAACAAATGGACCAAAAATGGGCGTCTAGAAGTTCTAGTGAACCCATATTCTGCAACATGCGGTCGAAATATCGGGGCCACAAAAGTCACGACGATTCCCATCAATGAAAATCATTCCAATATCGTTAAGTTCTCCAGGGGACATAAGAACTTGTCCACCATCATACAGACTATTTCTGAGTTGTGTTCACATGAACCAAACAACATTGCTGCGTCCTTAGTTCATACTATTGAGACACCAAGGAATAGGCCTAATAATCCGAAATCGTATCTCGAGCTCCCTACCTTATCTGAGGAGGACTGTATCACCCTCAAGGATCTTGAACTCCTACTTTCGTCTATTGAAGGTATAGTCTCAATATCCTGTAATACTTCTTGAACAAAGACTAAGATATTATCAGAATTGCACGACCTCTCTCTAGACGAACTAGATTTCCGCGCTGAGCAAATTGAGGATCCTTTTCAAAATACCTTCAAATGGGTTTTCGACACCACTTCTTTCTCAAATTGGCTACAGGAAGGAACGGGCCTTTTCTGGGTGAATGGGAAACCTGGCTCCGGAAAATCTACACTGATGAAATATATATTGAAGAGCCCATACACCTGGGATCTTTTACATGACTGGAGGCGAAGTTCATCAAACATCGAGGAGATTATTGCCAGTTTCTTTTTCCATTACCGAGGCACAGCTCTCCAGAAATCCTTCGAGGGACTTTTACGGAGCCTAGTTGTTCAACTGATATCATCTCAGTATACTATATTCCAGGATGGCTGGCGTAAATTCCGTCAACTGAAAATGCAGACATCGCAGTTGATATGCGAGCGCAAAGATGTTCTGCGTGAAAACATTAATGGGAGGCATAGCCGTGAGAGCCCTGAAGAGGCGCTTCATCGGATAGATCGAAGCCTTCAAGAGGTTGGGACCGGATTGAAAGATGTGGCTAGAAAGGTCCGACAACATGCCAATGCACCCAATACTAGATTCTTATCCACAGTGACCCAGACGTTTCGGAATTGCCGAGGAGAGCTACTACATCAGCTTGAGACAACTTTGCATCAGATCCTCAACCAAGATGCCATCAGGATGGACATCGTCTTGTTTTTTCGACGCCCTCGATGAATTTGACGGTCACCTTGATATGATAAGCAAGTTCCTGAAAGGACTTGTAGAAGACCCAAAATTGAATCGGGTTAAGGTGTGTTTCTCAAGCAGACCTTGGGAATCGCTCGAGGCACATTTCTCGAAGGAGCTAGGCTTCAGATTGCAAGACTACACGACCCACGACATTGCAAGTTATGCCGCTGGAAGTTTAGTCGGCCTAAGCCTAGATAATGCGTCTGTTTCTCAACTTGTCAATGGGATAATTTCAAGGGCCAATGGTGTATTCTTATGGGTCCGACTTGCAGTCAAGGAGATGGTCGATGCCAACTCCCACACTAATGCGCATGTTTCCTCACACCAAATGGAAGATACGCTAAAGAGGCTCCCTGGAAATCTTTACGAGTTTTATAAGCTCATTGTTGAGCGCATTGCTCATACTATTCGTCCAAATACATATGCACTCCTGGAACTCTTGATACGCCGTCGTGACCTGAGCGTCTCGGTCGATTATGCATGGAGCGCCGTCACTATTGCGTATTGTTGCACCCATCAAGAAAGTAGAGCTAAGTGGGAGAAAGGTTTCTTCATTTCCGGGCGAAACCCGAATCAGGCACAAGTGCGAGAACGGCAGCAGAGTGATATCACGATTTGGGGCGGGGGCCTCGTTGAAATTAATGACGATACTGTGCAGGTAATGCACCAGACGGTCCTAGAATTTATCATGGGGTTCTCTTTCAAGAGAGATGTCCTCGGGCAGCTTTCCAACATTGTGGTGGAGAACGGCCATTCTTTTCATGTCAAGTATTTGTGCTCGATAGCCTCGCTTGGCATTACAGGCTCGCGTGGGTATAGAACAGCGACAGGGGCAGAACTGCGGTACCACGGGGAACAGTTTGAACTAACCACGGGCAACAGCCAGCTGGCATATATCGGAAGCCTACCGTGGAGAATCGTCAGAGACCTGGTCGGCGAGTCATCGTATGCTCTGAAAAGCACCGGTGAATTATTCTTGAAATTTGTCGTCTCACATGGCTTGCTTCTTTGTCTCAAAGAATGGGTAACCAATAATCCCAACCAAGTTAGACACTTTAGTCCACTGGCAACTACCTTTCCATTGCTTAGCGATCTATTTTTTCTGGGCAGCTACGGAGTATTTCCTGGCAGATATATCAATATGATGTGTCTACTGCTTGAGAATGGCTTTAGTACTCGACAAGACCCTTACATCTTTGCCACGATAATAGAACGAATATGGAAATTGGAGGCGAATTATGAGACCAGGGAGGATATCCGCACTCCAATCTCGATACTACATGAGCTGTTCATGCTGTTGTTGAAGCATAAGCAAGACCCCAATACTGCTATTCATCTCAACGCTATTTGGGCTCATCCTGAGGCGGCTTGCGGGGTGAAGCCGCTCCACGTTCTTCCGCCATATCTGGCCCAAGTTCTAATTCAGCATGGCGCAGATCCTTATGGTTGTGATGACTACGGCAGAACCCCATTGGATTGGGTTCTGAGGTTCCCACATGGATGTATCCGTAGCAATCGGGTGTATGACACGCAATGGCGGTATAGTTTGTGCAGAGTTCTGGCAAGCGTTGACAGTCGAACTGCGTACTGTAATCGCCATGATTGGATGAACGCCTTGAATCATTTTGAACTTGAAGGGCACGATACCACCTGTCTTCGTGAGAGCCCTATGGGAATGAGCTTCGCTAGGTCCATACAACCTGCAGCTCCAATTCCCACCAACAACACGATGCGAAAACGCAGGCGGAGCGCCGGCAGCGATCTACCCACGGAAGGAATTCGATCAAGCCAACATTAATTCTGCCGTTAACACTACCATGTCAGACGGTTTTGGTGTACCGGAATATGATCAAACATCGCTTGTCGCAAGGGCGTGTATCTCCAAGATTACAAACACTATATTCGCCATGCGCTATGAACATTGTGTTAGGGGGGAACATAGGTTTTAACAAGAATTGTTACCGAGTCTCCATAGCAGTAAGTCCCGTACTACATCAGACCTAATTTTGTCTAACTTTCTACTCTAAAAAAGGAATACACATTATGTCGCGGCCAGCTTCAAATACTGCCGAACGACGTCGATGACAGCTTTCCTGTGTCCCCTGAAATCCCTGCCGAGGATCTTTTCGTCCTCTGTAGAATCAGCCAGAACCCGAGTTACAGGAACAGTCCCACCAAATGGAAATATGTCACTGTTTGTTGCTTCAGGAAACTCTTCCAGGACAATATTTGCTGCATCATCCCATTCGAAAGGAGTCTGATCTGCCTTCGAATTGAAGACTGGCAAAAGGCTGGAAATCTCTCCTGGTGAAAATATCCAGGTCGAGAGCTTTGAGATGTGCAAATGAAACATCATCAACATGGGATACAACCGAGGGAATAGGCGCAAACTTGATGCCCAGCAGTGGCCCCATGACTACCATATTTGAGCCACCTAGGAGCTCTTTGGGAGTGGATGCCAGCTCGTTCGGCCCAACAGTGGTCCCTGGAAGGACGCTGACAACGGAGAAGTGTAGTTTGGGTTGGGTTGACTGGACATATTTGCGGACGCAATCCGCGACGAAATCTTCGACAAAACATTTGCTACATTTTCAGGTGCCTTCTCAGGCCATGACTCGATTCCGTCGATGGAGATTGGGGATTGATCTGTAGAGGGATCGTCAATTGAAGCTCCTCGAACTGAAAAATGGAATGGTGGATCTGACTGGTATAGAAACCCTGCGAGTCATGTGGTGCTGTATCAAAGAAGGGTATGATAGCACTGATGGAAGAGGTGATTACTACCCGTTTCACTGAAGGCGTATTTGCAGCAAAGTGCAATACGCTAAGGGTGACACGCCACGATGTGGAACAGAACTCCGAGACATTGACCTCCCCAAACCCGGAAAAAGTAGGGGAGGCAACGTGGATGATAGCCCAGAGTCCATCGGCAACCGCGTCAAAGGCACCTGGTACAGTGATGTCGGGTATCAAAACAAGCTCGAGTTGAGACAGATAAGGCTGAATTGATTCTACTGCTTTGATCTTGGCCATCTGGGACTCTTTCCGTAGTACAGCTCGGCCGTGGTGACCACTTTCCAGGGCTTCCGCCAGCACGCGGCAGCCGATGTGGCCCGATACGCCAGTGATCTTAATATTATTAGAGAAAAGCTATTATCACTAATATGCAGAATTGACTTACCAAGATAGTTGGTTGCTCTGTCATATTGACGCGTCTAGGAGGATTGACGGCGATGAGAGGAGGGACGGGATGAGCTAGGAAAGCAAAAGGTTGATTTTACTGCGATGTCAGAAATACTTTCTTGGAGTTCGAGGTTCGGCAGTTTATAAATTCGCTTTGAATTGCCTAAATAATCTAAAGTCTAGTTATCTATGTTTCATTTAGCAAGGTATTAAGGACGGTTGGGTGGAGAGGATAAGGGAGCGGCTGGCTCACGCAGGGTGTTTTTGTTGGCGGGTAATACGACCAACAGTAAAGAACGACCGTGAATTTAGAAGTCCCAAGGCAGGCCGACAGTTAACTGGTGTGTTTCAGGAATTATTGGCTGAAGTCAAGTAATCCGCGGAATCCGTGCAGTATTTAGGCATTAAGTAGTATACATTGACGCGATGATGGTCGCTCTCGCTTTTTGATTGGGTTTCAGACTTTCGATGTCTTTTTCCTCTTGGAAAGTGACAAGGGTATCTCCCGTAGTTTGACCCATATCTTATGATCGATGCATTAGAGCCCGGCTTGGCAAAGTCCGAACTAACTCGCCATTCCCCGCTGGACGTCTTTTGGGTTGCAGAGTCTGTTACGCCCAAGGAGAGGTGGGCGAGGATCTTCCGGATACTACTCTTCGTTGCGCACTGAATCTTAGAACTGTACAATGAAAGTTCTGGTTAATATGAATAGATCATCCCATTTATCCAGAATCTATATGTTATCAAGTTCTGCCAGCTTTGAATTACAATGCTCTGTCCTGACTCGAGATATATGAATAGCTTAATTGAATATAGTCTGATATGCGAACATACGAAGTATAGAGGGCCTCAAACAATGTACTCTCGGGTCCTCTGTGATTATTACTACATTCTAAGCATAGCTAGAAACCCGAAAGGGCGGACAACTTGATAAGTATCATACGGTGGAAATCGCGCCTCCTCCATTCTAGAACGAGCCCTCGAACCTCCTGGAGATTCCCGTGATAGGCGGTGTCCTGCTATTTGGCTTCGCACATGATTTTGTACTCAGACAGGAGTTTGCCATTGTATGGCACAAGTCCAAAGTACGTGTATGACATAAGAAGATCCATCGAAGTTCCAGCCATCATGTTAAGGACAAAGGCATAGGTTACTCTGCCTATAGAGAGGTAAAAGCATCTGCTAGCGCTCATTGAGTTGATGCGCATGATAGGCTAGCCTCGCCCTCATATGGTCGATTGTTCTCACTTAGTGTCAGGCGACTAACGGAAAGAACGATCACTGTTCTGGCTAGACATTGCCCGCAAGCAGCTGGTGGTGGCTTGGTCTTCTTATATCACACTTTGCGATCCATTCAAGCCCCGGCACAAGAATCGGTCTTTGGGGTTCGAACAAGACATCACATGCTTGAAATAAACGCTGCTATTTCGGAAAGTAGTTTTGTAGATGAACGCTTGGAGTGGGGCTCACGAATTAAGGCCGAACTCGAGGTTGAGGACACTGATAATATGCTAGAAAGCTCATACATCGCCTTGGGTTCTCATGAAGATGCAGACCTGAAGAGGGTCTACGGCCACCATTACTCAACTCCAATGACGCTCAAGGAGAAGTAAGACCCCGATCATATATTTTCAAATATACTGTTCCGAGGTTTGCACCAGCGGATGTGGGACGTGGGGTTCTGAAAGTATAAGTCAAACCTCTATATATATCAAGTCTACATATATGACGAGAGTTGAGGGTGATGTGATAGCCTTTGTGGATATTCAGGCGTCGGCCATCGAGCATGGTTGAAAAGTCTTGGGAACTTTACTGCTGCCAACGGTTATATATAAAGCAGTCCAAACGATTGCTGGCCATATCTGCATGTGTATTTGATTTTCCCCTTCAATCTTTACTCGATTCACGTCCCATACGATTCAAGCGAGGGGCTGTTTACGACCGGCCGAATTGGAGTTTTAGCTCAGTTGGGAGAGCGTCAGACTGAAGTTCGACTTCAGTCCTCATGACATCTGAAGGTCGTGTGTTCGATCCACACAAACTCCATTCATTTGCTTTTTGTCCCTTCCGTCATCTGCCAATTCGACCCATTGACTCCTTCTGGGTAGTTAAGGTTTTTGAAATATGCATTGTGTTGAGTTGCCATCTTCCTTTGTTGTTTAACTTTGTAATCAACCTCTCTTCCATATGTTTCGACTGATCGGCAGGACGAAGCCTCTGGGGGCAAAGGTCCTTCGAAAGGACTGCATAGACCGGCTACAATGTTAAGAAAACCCTGATAGGAAAATATTTGCTAGTCATGCATTGGGTGGATGAGTAATTGTGCGGGTGCGGGTGCGGGTGCGGGAACCTGGCATCCTCTCGCGTTGGTGCTACGTCCTAGGTACGATATGGCTCCATCGGACCACATGATTATTTAGTTACTAGATGCCTGGATAGGTGAGTGGTATGAACATATGGCACTAGCATAAACTCCCCGTAGTTGGCTAACCAAACCCAGAGCACCGTGACTAGGATCACGTTATGCTTATATAAGGGCCTATTCCGAGAGTCCGTCTTCCGTCTCACTAGTTAGGCTCCGAGATTCCGCTCCATCAACAAGACGCTGGGAATATCCCTGGAATGAGGCAGAGATGACCAATAGGTCGTCTGTATTCCGCGGAGATGTTGGAATTACGGTAATCCGCCGGCAGTTTTAAGATAAGACTTTACAATTGAATCTGGCTCTTATAAAGCATGCGGAGCTGCCAACTACTGTGGCATGAATTTACCTTAACAGCATTGAACAAAATACGCCAATAATAATAACACCATCATCTAAGACAAATACTCTTTTCTTTCAAAGGGCCAAAGATGGATGGGTCTCCAAGTGTCGAAGAACTCCTCAAGCGCAATGCGTAGGTACCGCTGACTTTGGCACACGACACCTTTAAGCTAATGGCGAGCAGGAAAAGGATGGAAACCTTCGAGCCTATCTTATCATTAGGTGAAATCGCCCAACTTCCGGCTGATAAGAGCCTTCCTATGCCTAAAATATTTATTGGTAAAGAATGTCTTGTCTGTTGCAGGGAAACTCATCACTGACTAGGACCCTATTAGTGTCATGTTGCGATCCGCGCATCGACCCATGGGATATACTAGGCCTTGAAAAATGGGGTATGGCCCTATGATTCTCAATTTTCACTTGAACAAATGCTTACTTCAAAGTAGATGCAGTGGTAACTCGCGGAGCTGCGGGCCGGATGGCTGCCCAGTTCAACAATCTGCTTTTCCTTGACCACATCCTCAATTTTACAGATGTCATGATTATACACCATACAGGTAAGCTGGACAACCGTTCAGTCATTTAACGAAAGTTCACAGTTGCTTACTGGCCTTGAATAGATTGTTCAGCTGAGATCTTCTCAAACGCCGACGTTCGCCAAACGTTGAATGAGCGGGCTCCTGATGCCAATGACGCTATCGGAGCCCTTAGGCTTCCCGGGTTTGAAACGTAAGCTTCAGAATCTCCATGGTGTTCAAAACCCATATCTAATGATTGAAATACCAGCGCGAGTTTAGAGCAGAGCGTTCGAGAGGATGTTCAGCTTGTCAAGAGCTCAGCTCTAGTCCGAAAGGAGCTTGCGGAACGGACAAGGGGATTCATATATAATCTCACAACGGGGAAGGTTGAGCCTGTATCTTAACGAAACGCGGGTCATCACTCCAGGCGAAAACTTTATTACTCATATTACGATAGGAACATGAAATCTCATATGCCCTAAAGTATTGGCTTTAATTGATGAAAATAGAATAAGAATCTGGGATTAGCATTTACATGTTAATGCAATAATTGCAGTTCACTCATTTCCTAGATGTTATCTATCTAACAGAACACGCTCTCTTGGCAGACTATCCACGTGATTTGGTGAATTCTTATGATTTAAATTGAGTAATTGAAGAGTTGGGTGAATATCGCTCGCGTTGTACGATATTTGAGAAGTAAGAAAGTTGGTGGGTTTTGTCTCCATAGAGACACAAGATCTATGCATCATTGATTCCCGGTGATGCGCGGGATGAGATACCAGAAAGTTGTAGCGATACGCCCTAAAGGGCTGCAAATTTCATACCAAATCTATGATATCTCGACGCCGAAATAGAGTGTTATAGCTTCACAACAAAGCGCTCCCTCAGCCACCCTCCGTAACGATAAAACAGAAACGGCACCGGAAGAAACACCAAGCTGATGAAACCCAGCACACTATTCCCCCACCCAAGTCCAAGGCGGGCATACAAAGACGGCCCCGCCAGTGGAAGGAAAGCTGCGAAGAGACATCGGAGGATCGTGTTGGCAGCCAACGCAGAGGCGGCAGCCTCGGCGCCAAAAGCATCCACCAAGTAGAGTTGAGTTGGCATGAGGACCAAGAGATAGCCGAAGCCAAAGACAGTGGTGGCGATGATGGGCACGATCCAGTGAGCCTGCTTCTCTGCCGCCCAGCCATACCAGAACATGCCGATGGGCACGGTGGGCAAGGCCCACATGATTGGCTTCAGACGTCCTTCGGGTTTGGGTGAATCTCCTAGTGCCTTGTGCATCCTGTCGCTGAGGAGGGCAAAGGCTACGAGAGAGGCGGCCGTTCCAATTCCGAGACCGAGATATGATAGACCAGACACCCCGGCAGAGAAGTGGTATTGTTCCTCAAAGACGGTAGGAAAGGAGGTGAACAGAAGAAACATGAGGCCGAAAAAGAAGGCACATAAGAGAGAAAGTAGGAGAACGATTGGCGACAAGAATAGAAGCTTTGTTGGTCGAGAAATAGCAAGGATGAATAGCTGCCGGGGAGTCAGGTTTCGTTCCATCTTCGAAACCAAAGCCGGATTGCCGGTTTCTTTTCTGAGACGAGCAGCTTTCCGTGATAGAAGTACGGCGGCATTGGTCTCACGGAGGAAGAATACGGATGCGACAAATGATACAGCAGCCTAAAATTGAATTGTTAGTAACTTGAGGATTATTGAGCGCACGCACTAATCACCAAGATTGTGATGATCCAAAAGGTCCATCGCCAGCCAATTGATTCGGACACAAAGCCACCAGCTATTGGGCCCAACACCTTTAAGAATCGTCAGCCTCAGTGCCATGACAGATTGATTGGGTTATTGCCATTTACCGGTCCGAGAAGCGGTCCCACATAGAACAGAGACATTGCACTCCCACGCTGAGCTGGCGGGACGACATCGGCGACTGTTCCTCCGCCGACTGTCAAAGGGCCTGAGGAAGCGCATCCAGCAAGGAATCGAAAGGCGAGAAACATGCCGGTGTTTTTGCCTAGAGCACAGCCGATGGTAAAACCAACATACATGACGTTGCAGACATGGTAGATGATAAGCCTTCCGTACAGCTCAGAGAGTGGTGCAATGACCATGGGCCCAATGGCGAAGCCGCAAAGGTAGATGGACACGGTGAGGCTTGTAATCGTGGAACTCGTGATATGGAAATCGTTCGCAAGCGTGGCAGCTCCAGGAGCAAACATTGTCGCGGCGAGATTGCTGAATGAATGTTTTGGTGGTCAGTACGGGGTTTGCTTTAACAAAGGAGCACAGGAACTGCCTTACGCAGTGAGCAAGAAAAGGCTGCCGAAGGCGACTTGGATCAGACGTTTCCATTTTGGCCAGTTCATCGGATTTTGGGGATCGTCTGGTCCGTCCCAGTCGACCACATTGTCCTTCGTCTCCTGTTCAGTTGTTGTTTGTTCAGGGTCGCTGGATTGGCCATGGTGGCTGTCTTCTGATAGAGCCTGTTTCTCACGGGCGGATTCCAAGTCACTGGCCATGGTTTAATATCTAGGATCGTGTAATATTAGTAGAATGGTAAGTATGGTGCTAGACTTTGCTTTCTATATATTTCAAAGGAGAGCCAGGATGGGGAAGGTCGAGTAAAAGAGCCATAATTTGAGCAAGGGCTATTAGCATGGCCTGTCAAATATTCAATTTTCTTCGTAAATACGGAGCGCAACTGGAGATTGCTCAATGGAAGGGCAGCTCGGAGAGTGAGCGGACACGGACGGTGAGAGGAAGAGGTGAAATGAGGATGATGGGGAATGGTTGTTGCTAGCTGATTGTATCAGAAAGAGGGTATATCTACTTCGATCTCCACAGTAGGTTCTAATATCAGTGGGTAGAGATACAAAGAGTGGATCGAACGTATTAGTAGGGATTTCGAAATATAAAGCGGAGGGTCGATGCGGAGGATCGGATGGTCGGGCGGAGGGTCGTTGCTAACTCCAGGTTTGCGCCGCCAGACCTCCTTGTCTTCTTCTTGAAGGAGCAGTGAACTCTTTGAGAGCGGAGCAGAGCAAGGTCTCGCTCTGGGCATACTCGGATCGTCGCAAACGAGATTGAGCTCAATCCAGCCGCCATGCCCGACCAAGGTCACCGTCCGCGTCCGCCGCCAAATCGACGTAGAGACAAAGCCCAACTGTCCTGCGACCCCTGCAGACGCCGAAAGTATGTAGTACATATCCATCTCAAGGTCGTGCCCGATTGACTTTGCTAGATTGAGGTGCGACCGACAGCATCCATGCGGCACTTGTTCAAGGCGTGCCATCACCAACTCCTGCAATTATGCGACGCCATCTACTACCCCTGATGCTCAGCGGAGTGTTGCTCCACGACAGTCTACCAGTCTCCATGTCAGAATAACCGAGCTGGAGAGCCTTGTGGTGACGCTGATGGAAGGCCAATCACTCCCAACTCCATCCACCGGGGCTCCGAAATCACCGAGGACAAGCTTGCCATCATTCGAGGATGAATTGCCTGAGATTCGGAGGCCAAGGAAATCACAAGATGACGCCGAATCTCCAGCCGACCCTGGTACCCTCAATTTGAGCGAGTCTGGTGCCAGTTACGTTCAGAGCGCACATTGGGAGGCCATTCTGACCAAAGTCAGGGGACTGAAGGAGGACTTGGTGACTGATAGCAGGGCTCTGCCCGGCTCACACTTGTTCTATGGCCCGAACCGCCATGCAACTCGAGATGAAATACTAGTTGCTTGTCCTCCTCGTCAAGTCGTCGATCGTCTCATGGCCCTTCACTTCGATTCCTACATTGTCACCCCTTGTTCGTACCTCCGACCCTTCAAACCTCTCGCTGAGACATTAACCGTGTACTGTAGATATCATTCATAGCAAGAAGTTTCTCCGGGAGGTGGGTTCTTTCTAATTTTAGCTGATCAGAAATACCCTAACATTTGGCCAGTACGAAGCCTTCTGGGAGAATCCGACTGCAACCTCTATCTCCTGGATTGGTCTCATGTTCTCTCTGCTATACATCGCTGCGCAACTGCAGACTTTCACCATCGACATCAACGATGGACGAGCCGAGTCACTCAAGGCGGAATGTCTTGCCATGAAGGACGCCTTCCGGGAGAAGGCCGTCCAGTGTCTTATTCTGGCTAGGTACACGATGGGCGGTCCTTATATTTTGGAAACCCTCATAACGATCCTTACTGGAGAGTTTGTGTTATTTAAAGACGGCGTTACCGATGGCTGGCTTTTGATCGGCATGATACTTCAGCTTGCAACGCGTATGGGCCTCCACCGGGATCCAGATCACTTTCCCGGAATATCCCCATTCGAGGCTGAGATGCGTAGGCGCATGTGGATTGTTATCCTTCAACTGGACATCAGTCTCTCTTTAGAGACGGGACTTCCTCGAAATGCCACAAATACCCACATCGATCCAAAGGAGCCCCGTAACCTACGCGACTGTGATTTTGACGAGGACACTACGGAGATGCCGCCGTCTAGGCCAGAAACAGAATGGACGCCGGTGCTGGCTCTTATTACAAGGGGGCGATTGATATCACCTCTCGGCATGATTTGCGACATCAATACTGATATCAGTCCTCCTTCCTACGACGAGGTCACCAAGGTCGAAAGTGTCCTTGAAGACGTGCGCAACCGTGCTATTCCGCCCGTGCTACACTGGGGAACTACACCGCACCCCATCACCGATAGCCCAAACCTTCTGATACAGCGTGTAAGTGTAGAAACGACCTACCACAAAGCGCGCATCCTCCTATACCGAAGATCTTTGGTTAGTGGCCGATCTCCGCATTCTCAAGAGCGGGACAGAGACTCCGTTCGAATCTGTTTGGATTCCGCACTCAAAATTCTATCCTTCCAAGAAATGCTCCACGAGGAGTCTCAACCATTTGGCCGTTTGTGTCAACTTAGATGGAAGGTCACCCATATTCTAAACCAGGATGTTCTCCTAGCTACGAGTGTGCTCTGCCTCTACCTTCAAGATGTCGACAAACTCGAGTCGCCCCGGACCGCAGGACAGACAAAGCGGTCGCCGAGACCTGAAGAGATTCGACAGCAATTAACCACCTCCCACAAAATTTGGCTTCAAAGGAGTATAGGATCTGCGGAGGCAGGGAAAGTGGCGAAAGCTCTGAGCATAGTCCTCGGCAATACAGAAACGTTTGTTGACGGTAACGGACCGCTTTCTTACGACTTCTTGACAGACATTGACGCAATGCCTGTGAATGGATTCGGCGCATCGTTTAACAATCAATGTAAGAAGCACGCTCCCTCATTCCGATCGCACTAACAAAAGGACTTGTCAGATTTCGCTTCTGGCTTCTACTCCCCTCTCAGCTTTTTCGACAATGTGCTGGAGACCCGGGGGACCTGAAAATATGACTTTTGGACTGTAATGGGCGCTTGTGATTACTTGACAGGGAGCTAGAACTGAGCTTCGATGGATGAGATATCAGGACTGCCTCTGTTTTGACTGGTGGACTCTTATTCTTCTACCTCCTTTGATGCTTCACAATAACCATTTCCTTCGGATTTTGAGAAAAAATGGAAGAAGAGCAGGTTTCACGCCCTTGGTACCTCTTCATACGGCTTCTTATCCATAGCATCGTGATTTCTCCATGAAGTTTGATCGTGAGGTTAATAGGGTGATCGATTCTCGACTGTGTTGTGTTCGAGGGATAGGTTTCGTCGATAGCGGGGCATGAACTTGGTAGGGCACTCTTGAATGATAAAACATCTCATCTTCCTTGTCTAATATGAGCCACTCCTGGCGTTAGATGTCCTTCGTCGATGCGACTCGGTAGCTGGCCATCAAACGAAGCCTCGGGTATCTTGGGCGACCTTTCGTCATAATCATACGGGATGAACTTGCTTGGGTCTAAATACATGTCTAAGAGTAGGTACTGTGTCCTATGAGCGAGCTAGTTGAGCCTTAAAATTTGTCGGTGAGACATGGTAAAGGCTCGCTCGGAGGAGAAAACGGCCTGGTATGTCTCGAAAAAAAGGCGATAAGGCTTGCCAAGTGTTGAGATGAAAATCGTGCGTGAATTAAAGTATGCGCAAGGAGGTGGGATGAGGATGAGCACAGAAGCTGAGATGAAGTTGATTGGGAAGGAAAAGTGTACTTCATAAAGAAAAGTGAGAATTAACGGGCGATGAGAAGGTTCAAAAGAACTCAGATCGGACGAGGGAACGCTTGTATCAGGAGGAGAAACACGGGGGGGCTTCTCCTGCTTCGGGTTTGTGTTTGGTGTTGTTCCTGGAGCATCAGAGTCTGTTGTTCTTCATTTGGTGTTGTTCTTCATTTGGTGTTGTTCTTCATTTGTTGTGTTGTTCTTCATTTGGTGTTGTTCTTCATTTGTTGTTGTTCTTCATTTGGTGTTGTTCTTCATTTGGTGTTGTTCTTCATTTGGGACTTGGGCAGCACACTGTCCATTTCTGATTATGCCGGCAGAACCAAACATTCAGACACTGAGAATATAATTTAGCTCCTTAGCCATAGGATAGCCCCGACGGTGACAAAAACTGGTCGTTTATTTGACGTCCACTGCGCCATCGAAGCCGCTGATTAACATTCGCAATTCGCCCCTATTCCATATTCCACCCTTCAACAGCACACTGCATTCCACGCTGATAATATTTCAAGAGGCCACCTAGGGCTAGCACAACTTGATCTGAAGCTTCGTCTCCATGCATTACCTAGCGATCATCATTGTAGCAAAGCGTGACAGCCACAGCGGCCTCCGCAGATCTTGTGCCTTCTGAGTACTAAGACGTCGATTGATCCCTGTTCTCAACACGATTTTCCTTTTGGTTGCATGAGGCAGGCAGTTGACGAGCAATACGGGACTGCCCAGAACTAAGCGTGAAATCTTCAAACTCGTCTACCGCAGATCCGGTCCGCGTGATGCGTTTGGCAGCCCTGTAAGCTTCTTGGTTTAGCTCTCTGGGAATCTCCCAAAACTCAACGGCAAGCCCCATGTCGTCCCATCTCTCCACCTGGCCGAGGACCAGCTCCCAAAGATCTCTGTGTTTGACGTCGCCACAGATACTGCTTTTCCATTCTTTCCGCGCCCAACTTTTTGCCCACTCTGTGGCACCGCCCGCCACGTATGAAGATTCGGTTGCGATGATAAGGTTTTTGTAGCCCTCAGCCTGCCAGTCACAGAGACGAAGGGCAGCAACAGCCGCACGTAATTCAGCTCGGTTACTGGTCCCTGTGTAGCTGTCCCCAAACGGACCTTTGTCCTCAAGTCGCCCTGACACAAAATAGGAGTCGTTATTTTTTCCTTTATTAATTGGGAGTCCGAAAACTACTGCCCATCCAGCTCGGGGCTTTTGCTGTCCGTACTTTGAACAGGCACCGCCGACGAATACCAACACCTGTGTTGGGTCATTGTGATGAACAAACCGGGCAACGTCGCTACCTGCCGTAACTGTCGGCCTGAAAAGTTCACTAGGAGAATAGGTAGACTGGAACTTAAATGGCAAGACTTTTCCCGTTCCTCGCTCCTTGCGCCATATCTGGAATGGTCGGTTTCCTGGCGATGCGGATGATGTGTCTCTTCCACTAGCAGCTGTGGCTTGATCCGGGTTCGCAGTGGTAAAAGCTGCGGTGTGTGAATCAATCAGCATCATTGCCTTCCCAGACTCAATCCAAGCATGATGGCACTGATAAATGACTAAATTTGCCTCTTCTTTGGAACCTCTTCTATAACATCGCCGAGTTGATGGAACGTTTCCATCGACCAAAGCTCTCCAGATGTAGGAGTTAGCATTGTGGACCCGGTTGCAGAGTGTGAGATATTGATCCCGCAACATCTGAGCCGTTTGTTCCAAGTAGGACCTATTCATCTCTTTTATTTTATTTCGAACACAACGCCCAGGACGCGGTCTATCTTTGTCGTCGTAAAGATCGAAAGGATCAAACGGGGGATCAAGATCGGCGATAAAAGTCGAGCATGCGTCCATATCTAGAAAAAGACGCATCTTCAGGAGTGTCAAGGCCACGAGATGACTAACACTGGTTTCCTTTGAGGAGAATATCTCCACAGATTCGAGAGGGTCAGCCTCGGGAAGATGTAGATATGGTGTCGTAATTTTCCACGGGTTTTCAGTTGTAGCCCACCACTTCAGAAAGTTGTAGCACTCCTGCTCCCGCCCAAGTCGAAGTAGTAGGTGGGGGATAATGTCACGAACCTCTTGGTCGTCGCATCCACACAACCGAATCATTTCGTTGAAATGGTCCAGAGCGCCCTCTACCGCAAGTTTCGTATCAACCTGAAGTAGTGCGTTGGCAGCAGCGAAGCGCGCAACCATATATTCCTGAGTCTCAACGGTGCTCCAAAAGTTTCCCACGCCGGTCTGAACGACACCTTTTGAGTTGGATTGGGCGTCAGATGCTGAATCGGTTCGGGCTTGAAGTTTCGACTTTTCGTGCTCAAATGTTTTTCGGGTCTTCCTAATGGCTTTACAGCTCACTTTATGCATTGACCGGTGGGCTATCTGATGTTCAATGCTGCAGTAATGGACCACCTTGCAGCCGCCGCAAAGAAGTAATCCGGACTCTTCGAAGCAGACGGCGCATCTTGTTCGGGCGGTTGGCCCGCGTGGCCGCATGCTGTTGGAATCCTTGATGTGAGGGTCCATGGCGGTTTGAGGCCAGCGGGTTGGAATCTGGACTTGGAATCGCCAGTCTGTCCGAGGAAAAGTTTTCTCGCAAAAGTGTTGCAGAGGCTGCCTCTATCTCGTGCGGGCGCTTTTTCTCGAAGTTCAACTGGTGTTGCGGCCTGAGGCTGCCGGGGCACCCAAGGCAAACTGGCAGGCACGCCTCCGTATCGATGTACGTACGTATGAGAAAAGAGAATAAAGTTCAACAGCAATGGAAGCTTCCAGAGCCCGACAACTCAACAAAATGAATACGGAAGCTTAAATATAGCCTTTCCTAGCCCGAGATGTCGTTATACGGCGGGAAGATTCCATGAACCTTCATATCGATGTCTCACTTGCCGCCAGGACGAGCGGCTCGTCGAATGATATAAAGCTACCTTCTTTTACGGGGCTTCACACCCGTCTTATCGGTATCGATGTATCATAGGTAATTACCTGAGTACCCTTTTATTACCTGTTCGCTGCGGAAAATCTATGTGATGACCGAATGACAGATCTAAGGCCCATAGCCACCAATGGCCAAGAATGGCAGAGACATTATTGAGCTGCCCATAGACAAATTGCAAGTAACACTGCACTGTCGGCTGATATTTGAGGCCGTGAAATGGCGTTGAATCACCCACAGAACAAGTAAAATGCAATGCTAACTTTGGAGTAGACTACGAGGGGTGAAGAATCCTCTACGGAAAGCTTTTTAGTAGCAGACGCTCTCCCACAAAAGACTTGCGATTTTTATTGAACATCTCGTCCCATAAAAACCTAGAAAGTCTAGATAGAGGAATTCGTTGGTGCTCTAGAACAATATGGGGGGGGTAAGAGATCTCTGCGACAAGGGAAGTAACCTACCGTATATGTTAGATTACCTATTTACGCAACTACACTAGCGATAAGTCTTGTTGAAAGTTGTAGTAGATGAACTAACAGACGCATCATACAAGCAGCCTTTATTCAATTGGCTATCGAAGATCATCTGTATACTTGGCGACAAGCATCCCGTGTGTATGGTAGAAGCTATCATATTTTGACACACGTGTTTACCAAGGCTTTTGGCCAACCACGTTTCCAGCAGGCGAGTAGTGAGCAACGATGTAGTCGTAGCCATTGGCACCTCTAGCGGAAGCGATGCCAACCTTCTTGGTGTTCTTCCACATGACCTGAGCTAGATTGCAATAACGTATTAGATTGTATATTCTCATCACAATATAGAGCGATGATATCTTACTGTAGTGACCATATGATGCAAAGTTGCCCTGGGGAATCTTCTCGCCATGATAATTCTTCTTCTCGTTGGTCCTAGAGCAGCTACGGTTAGTCCCGAGCTCCTTATTGTCTAATTCACTTTAGGGACTCACCAATAACTCGTACCGGTAGCAAGAGGAGTGTTCGATTTCCTTTGGAAATGAGGCGAGCATCAGTATTAGTGCGATTCGAGGCTAAAAGGACAAGGGAAGATCTTACGGAGCCTTGGACAAGTTTTCTCCCGACTGAGAATGTTGGAGGCCGCCGTTTTTTGCAGCGAGCTTCTTTGCGTATTTCAAAGCACTAGCATGGAGCCCCGCATCCCATTTGAGAGCTGGAATGGACTTTTCAGCTCGAAATTTATTATGCAGTGAGAGGGCTTTTTGCTGGTCGTTGGTGAGAGCGAGGTTCTCCAGAACGGTTTCAGAAGCGAAGACATCATTTTCAGGGCCGTCCCGAAAGGTGATGTCATTGCTGACTTCGGGGACGGGGTTTGCCAGAACGGTCTGGAGGGAGAAGAGGAGGGCTGCCTTGACGAAGAGAGTAGAGAACTGCATGTTGTTTGTTTGTAGAGAGCGCGTTGATGGAGAAAGTGTTCGGTATTTAGTATATATTGCACGAGATTGATTAGGGGCAGTGTGGCATCTCGAAATTACTTAGGACCTCCTGCTTGTTTAAATAGGTGTGAGATCGCTGAGTCAAATCCCTCACATCATCACCGGAATCCGAGAGTGCGCCACCAAAGGACATTTGGGCTTAGCTAACTGAAACAATGATCAGATGCAAAGTCCGAGGCAGGCTGACGATCTCAATGGTCACGTTGGCAGGTAAAACACAGCCTACCAACGAAAGATCTTTCGGCAGTTACTTGATCAAGAACACTGTCGCAATTTCGAAGGTGTAAATACGCCCAAGAACGACCCCGTATCCCTTATTACGTATCTAAGTTGTTTAACTCAGGGCCCTTCTGATGGTAAATAGACAAAATGCATCGATATGTTAGAGTTTCCTATCAAGCGGTTTGATTTGCGCAGCCTAGACTTCACCTGAGGGGTAGCATCCTGCTTGTGAGAATCAAGTTCAAGGTTCTTATCTCATCCGATAGCTGATTTGACAAAATTGCAACTGAAAGTACTCCGCGGAAAGTCAAACGCCACCGTCTTTGGGGCCACAAACTGACAAAGAACTTCTGATTAATATCCAGCCCACATTCCTGTGATAGGCCCTCATGATCACCCAAAGACCCGAAATGCTTATATATCAAAACCAACCTGCCACACTCTGCAATGTGTCAGTATGGTATTATATAATAGCACTTTATTTGAATGTCAATGTTCATTAAAGATGAAGGTCGGCATCTTATTTTGAGACGGCTGGCTGAAATAGAGGTTGTTGCGTAGCAACAGCACAACACACACAACATCAATTGAATACACACACATCATCAATCGAATACACACACATAATCAGTTGAATACACACACATCATTGACCAAAATAAGCACTTACCATTAAACGTATTCATTTGAATCCAACAAATACCGTCCTAAAAGACAAGACTAGTTTGAGAAATGCTATCTCTTCGACTCTCTATGGCAGAAATCTTTCTTCCACTTTCTTCATATCGGGGTAAATCGGATTTTATGGCCCATAGGGGTTTCTAGTATCACAGAGGCCGAAGATTAACTTTTCGTTTCAAACCCCACAATTCTATTGATTTAACAGGTGTTGACCGCGCGTATATTCCTCGTAAATATGTGGCTAGAGGGCCTCTATATGCAAGGGGGGAAGAGTAATTAAATTCTCTTTAATATTCACTAACCACCGAGAATGATACCAAACCTTTTTGTTCCCTTAAAAACCTTTCAGTCCACGATAGTATAAATTTGACATAAACTGGGCACGTTCAAGACAATAGCGATAGACTTCATCACGTGTCGATGGACACTTATTGCCAAAGGGAGAAACTAAATCGAAGTGGTACATGACGGAGATGTGGTATGCTGGAACCTTGAGCATTGTTTGGTGGACGGTTACAGCCGATGATCCGAAATGGGTTCCTGTCAAAGTGTCCCTTTCCCCGTCCCCGTAGTGTCTACTCACAAGATGCCTTTTGGCTGCACGAACAGAACAAGTCCAAAGACACACCTATAGGTGTGGATGAGTAGTCTGTAGCTAGTAAGAATGTTGATAGTCAGAATATATTTTGAATTTACGCCAGCCTTAGAGTTCGTTTCACCCAAAAACAGATCAATCAATTCCCTATTGTTAGAACAAGACAGAACATAGGTAGGCAGAGATCCAGATATCTATGCATGCTGCTCTCTTGAGGCCCCGATAAATCAATCATCTAAATCAACGCCTGCGCTAGAGTCACCAAATACAATATATCCACGCCCATTCGAAGCCGACCAGCCGTGAGGTAGGCCCTACCGGAAATCGTTTAAAGACACCCGTTCCATTTGAGCGAGCCGTAAGGAATGGTCACAGATAGATGACCTGTACAGGGCGTTTTGGGTCAAACACCAGACCTTGCTCCATCAGCTTCCTCCTCTCATCGAGCCACTTCCGCCATTTCCGATACCCTGTCTCCCGCCTCAAGGAGTATTCAGGAGGCTCGGTCCTAGGATGCACCGGCATCTGCATCGTCTTCACCCGTTCGGCCACGTCGAAACTCGTATGAAGTTCACCATTTACCATAAAATCTATGGTATCACGTACCCCCTCCAGCACAATCGCGCCATACTCTAGGCTTTCAGAGTTCAAGTCCCAGAGCATTCTAAACCCCCAGAGCATGTGCTCGACCAGCCTCGTGTCTGGGGCTATCTGCACGCCATGAAGTTGGTCTTTGAGCACGCCAGCTCTATGCCACAAATGATTGGTTTGAAACTCTTCGTTGCTTGCGATGATGCTACTATGCTCAACACCGTCCGTCGGAGACAAAACATCAATCAAAATTCTCTTAATGGCGTATGGTGAAGACGGATCAAATGCATTCGAGGACGGTTCGAGAAAACCCGGGCCGGACCGTAAAAGCGCGGCCAGCAAGAAGTGGAAACTTAATATCCCACCGCTCGAGCTTTCATCGTAGGCATTAAGAAATAGACTACCTTTAAATTTCTCGTCCAAATCCTGCGTAGGCTCGAAGATCCTGAAAGTCGCGTGGACAGAATCAATGTACTGCGTCCTGGGGAGCGCGGGGATAGACCAAGTTGTCCAGAAGCCGCGGTCCTTAACGAACATGATGTCGACGTGGTAATTAGTGCCAAAAAGCTGAAGAACCTTTTGGACATCCGCGCAAAATTGCCGGTTCACCAACAGGAGCGGCAACGCGAGGTTCTTAGGAGGCAGCTGCCAGATGCAGTAGTCATACCAGAACCCATCGCGGGGATTGCTACGGTCACGCTGACTTGCGGATGGGGATTCGGGAGGCGTCTGCCAAGAGCATATGGCAAGATCGAGTATTCGCTGTCGAAGTTCGGTTGGGAGTTCAAGAAAAGCCATCGTCAATTTTAGTGCTGCTTTGCGTTGTTCGAATTTCTTAGTGGTGTTAGATTGTTGGCCGATGGCATCGAGCATGGATTCAATTAGCTTAAAGGAATGCAAGGGGATTTAAGTAGACGAAGAAGGCTCGCTCTTTACGGTGCCTAGATCACATAGAAGCTTAACAGGAACAGACTTTCTTGTAAAAGTAACACCAGAGTCTATTTCTTTCCTTGAAACCAAGGAGTATTATATAATCTGGGCCAACGGCGAGCTGGGCTGAGCTAGAAGCTGGCTGTGGCGATACGGATTAAACTACTCCATTCTAAATCTAAGTTATCATAAAGTAATAAGAATGTAGTAAAAGGCAACATAGTGAGAGGCGAAAGACTTGAGGCTCAGATATCATGTCAATAGTAATGTCCATCTTTTGGAGCCATGCTGGTCTCATGCGTGGCGCGGTCATAACATCTTCCAGACTGCCATATGCTACAAGCTCAGGAGTTATTATTGGGTATGTTCCTGGATTCATCGCATGAGTCCACTCTTAAAGTTATCACGGACTTCTGATGTATCCTTTGTGTCATACGCTCGTCATGCCAGCCAAAATACATAAAATCCATAGCACATCTTCTCGTGTCGCTCTCCGTCGAATGCCGTACCACTCGACCAAAGACTCAGCTTCTGTCGAAAAGCCGTAACAAATATCGGTCGATTATCCGTGTTTCTGAGTACTTCACTTTATGTTTGTTCTCTTTTATGTCTTGTTCTGTTTTTTAGTCAATGCTTAGGTACGACAGTTGGTGACAGATATATGGAAGAATAAGAATGGATGATTAGCGAATATAGAATGTGCCGGACTTATATGTCTGGGTATTATTTGTCAAAAGAAGGTGATGTGAATTACGGGCCCGGGAGAGCCCTGAACTCAGAACCTGTTCTAAATCATTCAATAACCTAGATACCCTAGATGTAAAGAAACGTTCGTAAAACTCAACGGAGTGTCAATACTGTAACGCTTGGGTATTTTAAAAGGTGTCAAAGAAAGCTACAGTCAGAAAACAGTTATGGATCTTAACCGGCCGGAAGGCGGAGAGGAAAATGTTGTAATATCCACGCTCAGTCTTTTATCAACACCGGTAATACCGCAAGGCCTCGGAACTATTACCAAAGTTCCAAATGAGATAAAAGCGGTGTAGTGCTTCGGACCATTTCATCCTTGCACCTTCTGTTACAGATGGTCCTGTCTTACACTGCTAAACTGATTACGGTGCGTTGTTTCGGCCGCGGCACAGTGAGTAATGGAAGCTTGCCCTGATTGATCAGCATTTGTCATCGTCCTGAGTTTCTACCGTTCCAATATCCCACTAATCTCCGTGCCCTATAAGGCGATTTGTGAATTGCCAAAGAACCTGTTTTCGGTGGCTATTCCGGGCGGATGTTCCCAATATCCACTTCTGTCCGCCGCAACTCACGGACCACTGCCGGGGCCTGGGTCTGCGACTGTGTCTGCGTATGTCATGTATGTTTGGGGCGACTTATGCGCCAGAGGGCGCTTGTTACTGACTTGAGTCGAGGAAGAGGCCTGTAAGGGGTGCGAGAGTTATAAGTATTTGGCGCTTGGGCTCGCTCCGAGATTATGGCTCAGATCTCTACACTTTGTAGACTGCAGGACTTGCTGGATCAAGAGTGACTGCGATTATACGCACAGCCTGCTACTATTGGTAGATGGACTTGACTGTCACCGGGTTTCAAGAGAACGACTTCGCCGTGCATTCACATGCTTGATTTAGGCTTATTTCCCGTCCAAGTTGTAAGTTGTAACAGCCGCCCGCCACGGTATAATGCCGGTGGAAGGATGACCCGCAAAAGCTGGCGTGCCGCCCATGGGGAGCAAGGGGGATGACATTGACTGATCCTATAGGATCTCTGTCTCCAAACGCTAGGCAATATGTGCCGTGAGCTAACAAGGGTTATCCTAGACATGGTCGAGCAAGATGGTTGTCATGAAAGTGTCATGAAAGCTCGGTATTTCTGCAACCGTCAAAGATCGACTTTATATAAGACACGACAGCTTCCGGCAGATCTAGACACCAACAATCAAGCTTACATCACTCACCCATCTATTTCATCTGATAAACTTGTTTCAGAAGTCTAACATCGAAATGGCCATTCGAACAGCAGTCATCCTCTCTTTGATCGGGAGCACTTTTGCTCAGATCAGCAGGTCTTGTGTGGATATCGCTCTTGACTCTGCCACCAACGTGCTGTCAGCCAAGTGCACACCCGCTGACCACTCAGCTGCCGTCCCGACATCCTTGGACCTTAACCTTTGCATTGGCTACGACGGTACCCAACTCACGGTGAGGACCCTCCTTCCCAGGCGTAGCTGTTAGATTATGATGGAAAATCTAACAAGACGATTATTTAGGCTACTCGCCCAGGTAACTTTGGTACAAGCTGCAGCGGTTGTTCTCTTTACACGGGCCCAGATCCATGGTACAGTACTGAGGTCTACTGGATCAGCTGCACTTGCACTGGCCAGAGCGCCGCGTCGACTATTAATCTTGGTAAGTCATCATATTGTGAATCCAGGGTATGAGCACGTGGCTAATTATATTCACCAGAGGTCGCAAGTGCGCATCAGTATATAACGAACAACAATGGAAAGCTCACCTGCTGAGTTACGGGTTTGATGAAAAGGCAGAATGCTTGGTTGTTCGGTATAGGGAAAAGATTCTTCAGCACGAGATTCATACGGTTGCTCGCTATCACAGTCAGGGGGTACTGTCATAGAATTGATGCCGATAATTTTTATTATACAATTCCGTTGTCCTACTCATGGAATTGATTGGTGATCGCTTGTCCTGTCACGTTGTTTCACCCCAGCTACCCTTCCACGCTCTTATGGAACCGCGTAAACCTCTTTTACGAAAAAATTCCTGGTCGGCTTTCCCCTCTTTTAGCCCTCTTGCCGGACCAGGATGAGAGCAATATGTGAGGGCTACCTGTGGATGTCTCTGGTAAATGACCTCGCCGTCTTCACTAAAGTGGCTGGAACGCTGATTGGAGTCCCATTCAAGATATCGCGGCTTTGTACGAATCTTATTCATGGGTATGTAATGTCTGGTTTCCCCCCAGGTAGCGCCATGCGGAACGACCAGCCTTGCAACGCGTGAATCTCCGATACGACCCAGGGCAGCCATATGGTTGGCACAACGGGAATCCAGAACTCGTAAATCTCACTCCTTAGAATCTCCACTCCCATGGCCCAGGAATGCCGAGCGCTGTCTCTGTCCCCGATACTCAGCTGAGCGTGAGCCACGGATAAGTATATCATGGCTGCTATAAATCCATGCCTCGACTTGAGGGTGTGCATTCGCTCAACCTCTTGTAGAGCAAACTCCATCGTGATATAGCCTCTTCGATTTCAGGCCGCATGTGGGCTACTCGTGCTTCGGCTAGGAGTAGCCGCATATGGAGTTGTTGGTCGTGGAGGTCATCTAACTTCAGTGGTACGATAATGTAGAGTTCCTTGAGCAATTCTTCCGCAACATCTAGCCTGTTCAGCCCAATATTGGCTTCTGCTGATGCTAGCAACAAACGTCGAAATGAACGGCGTTGTCGTTCGCTATCTTCAACACTGTTGAGTTCCGCCTGAACGAGATGCAATGCCTCGGAGTATTCTTTCATTTCGCAATGCACGTCTGCCAATCTTCCAGCTATGATATGTCGTGTTCCAGAACGTATTGGCTTAGTCATATTCAGAGACAGAAATTGCTCCTCCGAGATTCTTGCGGCACTAAAGTTACCAACCGATTGGAAGAATCGTGACGCAGCAGTCTGAAGCCTGGATGTCACCTCTATCTCCAACGTGGATAAAGGTTGCTTCGCCTCCCATTTGTAGATAAATGAGGGCACATCGCTGTCATAGCACTTAATCTTGTTCTCAATTAGAGAAATATGAAGACGCCCCAGGATGGCGTGGTCACGCCGCGTCAACCGACGGACCCCGCCACATGAAGTCCCGTATCTGCGCCTCGGCTTTGGCAAGATCCCCATCAATACGGTAGAGGATACTTTGAAAAAGTACTACTGACGCATGAAGTTAGTACGGCATCGGTTTCCTCAGCAGTGACCCGGCCTGCTCGACCGCAACACGACGGATCATCACAGAGTCTCTCTCGCAAAAGTAGAGGATTCCTTCAAGGACTTGTGATCTTTGTACGGCAGATATAGTGTACCTTTTGAGCAGCTTTTCATAAACTTCCCACATTGATTTCTTCAACGATGAACACCTGACAAAAATTAGTTGGCTAGACGTTTTATAGCTGGGGCGCATTCCATACCAATTTGTATTGCCTTCGTAACATGGGGGGTAAGCTAAGCACATGAGCCTGAGTGCCATATCTCCAAGATGATTCATTGTTTGAGGCAGTAGACATTGAGAAAACGAAGTTTGAATATCAGTACGCAATGACCATGTGACTGTCCCGTCATCCAAGAATTGATGTGTCACGTTTGGGCTCGCCATTAGGTCACTGAACCTCCCCCTATCCGAGAGAAGATTCACCAATTCAGGAGAAACTTTTAACTCGGAGGCTGTGACCCTTTCTATCTCCCCGTCGGCAGTCCATCGTCTCTGTGGAAATTCAACACTACTTAGAAGCAGATCTGGAATACTTTCGCCGCCCAATGCATAGAGAAGCAGCAGCAGCTGGTTTTCGCCCGAGAGAAATTCATTATATGAGACGGAAAGATTGAGATAAGAACATAAGTTAGAAGAATCCGCAGGCCAAGTTAGATGTATAAGAGAGCATTCCCGCAGAACGTACTAACCCGTAAGCTGGCTTATGATGAGGTGCCTCACGAATTCGGTGTACAGGTCAGTCCGGGGAGCGAGGAGTTTCAGATGGAACTATTTCTTTCTCTATTCGAATAGCGCTAATTAGATATCAATAGGGGCTCCATGGCATGCTCGATTTTTATTTTCATCGGAGCTGTAGTTAGCGCAGCGGGATCCAACCAAGATACCTTCAGCCTTGTCCTTGCCGGCCGAATTATCATGGGCTTTGGAAGCACAGTCATTGAAACTTGCACTTCCAAGATAAGTCTCCCTTTAAGGTGATAAGTACCTTGATCTTTGAATTGACATCTCTTGCGAAGATTCTTGCCCGTTGGTTTCAACACAGAGGCCTTGGATTCGTTTACGGTTTGGATTTGTCCATCGGTAAGCACTGCAGACCTGCGAAAAATTGCCCGATGCAGCTTTTCTAACATTCATTGTAATTTTCAAGGCAAACATATTGTCCTCATTGCCAAAGCTACAGCTATCCCAATGCGGGATGCATCTAGTTTCTGGGGCTGGTCACTGTGGATTCCAGCCATCGTCTGTTTTGCCAACCTGCTACAGAATATCTTCTACTTTTGGTGGGCTCGTTCAAGGCCAGAGTGGACTCACATGCCAACCGGCCAGAAAGCAAAGCGACTTGAGAAAAAGCGCCTGAAAGAGCAAGCCAATGGCCAAGTGATCACCGACACGGCATCCGTTACGAGCCGAGCCAGCTGGACAAGTTATATTCCCGACTGGAGGGTGTTGACACGCGTGCCACGTTTCTTCTGGCTCGTGGTATGTACCCAGATACTCCAGGCTGGTGTAGTCGGTGGCTTCAGCGGCCTCAATGTTGACATCATTCGCGTGACCCAAGGCTCTACTGAGCAGATTGCTGGCTACACCTCCGCCGTTCAGCAAGTGATACCTGTTGTCTGCGCACCCATGGTCGGGACCTACTTCAACTTCTTTGGACACAGGATGCTCTTCGTTAGTTTGACTTACGCAATTTGGATTCTTTTATATTGCCTCATCGGATTTAGTAAGGTCAACGCCCTTGGCGGGATGGTCATTGCATCATTTGCTCAGCCATGAATGCCTTGCCGTTCATCGCCTCTATCCCCCTTATGGTCCCCAACCAGACGCAACTGGGCCTTGTCTTCGGCATCTGGAAGGCTTTCAATAACTGTGCAAAGGTCATTGTTGACATGATTGCTGGCAAGCTGCAAGACATAACCCCCGGAGGCACATATGAGCGTGTAATTGCCTTCTTTGTCGCCGTCAAGGGACTGGAGTTCTCCTAGGTCTCTTCTATGGTCTCCTTGATAGAAAGTACGTTAGTTTCCACCCCCATGAAAGCCATGATATTAAGCTAATATTAATTCTAGATATCTTGCGGGCATTCTAACTCTAAGTGAGAAGGAGCGTCTTGTGTTGGAGAGGGAGGGTAAGACTGAATTGTATATTGGCCAGAAGCCCGGGAAGCCGTTCACTATTGTGGGTCTTTCGATGCTCATTAATTTGGTGATCATTGCTTAGGTCCTTTTCATTATGTTCTCTATTTAGAGCAACCTTCTTTTCGGGAGTAGAGACAAAGACAGCCTGATCATGTTTGAAGTCTGGAAAGGTTTCACACAAAGGAGCCAAGCCCCTTGCAAAACATCATGGATCTAGCATGGTGAAGATATCGAGTAATTATTTTCATTGAGAAGCAGGTGTACGAATAAAAAAGAATGGCATTAATATGCGGAAACAAAACATCCAGATATCATTCGTAGCTTCTCCTAATAAACTTGTGCGCGGAACTACCGATTATCAAAATTGTCCTTGTCTGACCAACAACCCTCCTTGAGACACCGGCACTTCGAGTTGAATTGCCTCCTGGAGTTGGTTTCTTATATGGATACGCATGGCTTGAGACTTCGTGTTACTTGTCGCAGGGTCGTATTGGTACAGACAATTCCGGCTATTGTGAAGATCGTAGAACATCTCTATAGAGCCACTGTCGGCCCCTTAGTTCCTGTGGCGGCATAGATAATATTTCCCTTGTGTTTTTTGTTGTCCTGCCTTGAGGATTGAGCCTATGCAATGCAACAACGCTAAGTTGGACAATATAGTAGTTACCTCTATCTTTATCTATTCTGTTCATCTGCATTGCTGAGACCTTGATCTGAAAAGTAATAATGCAAAGGAGAATCCTCGTATATATATATATATCACTATTCATTGTGTTGAGTTGTCGGGCCCTGGCAGCTTTCATTGCTGTCAAACTATCTACTCAAACTCTTACATACCTATGTATATATCACTTTATGCACTGCTATACAACAAGAAGCTGTAACTAAAAGCAAGAACCGCCACGTAAAGACTTAATTCTCATACTCTGTGATTATCCGGGACTACATGTTGGTAATTTTGCAAAAAAACTTGACGGCAGTGAGCTGATATCAGTTTAATTGTAGAGTACATAGGGAGTTTTCTCGCATTAGACGAAATAAAGTTACTGAGGAAGATTATCCAATTTGTTCTTAGAAAAATTTCCGCTCAACCTGCCAGTAGATTCAGTAGCTGTTGCAGGGAAGTACTGCTCATTAACTGCTCTCGTGTAATCAAATGATGGACGACTGCTACGTGGCTTGGGGTACCCCAAGGGCCATAATCCCAATACCTGACAGACAGCTTATGCCTATCCTTATCCAGTTGTGCTTTTTCCTCCCACAATATCATCGCTTCATCACTTAATCTGGCGCCCCAGGTACTGTTAAGCGAGATTAGTGGCTCCCCTCCTTTCCTGAATCCATAGATGAATATACACGGTTCTTGTGGCCTAGCAGTCCACAACTCGAATATTTTGATGTTGGGCATTGCCTTAGCTGCAAGCGCCGCAGCACAGAGTAACCGATCATGACCCATTGGAGTCAAGTAAGAAGTATAGAGAGAGAGGGCCTCTAGATTACGCCAACGCATATCTCGTGGGGGTTTTATTGTTTCGGGTAAAAAGGCAAAGAAAAAATCCTGCGCATCAACACCCATTGCGGCATGAAGACTCTTCAGATTGCGACTTGACCTTGCTAGGGTCTGTCCCAGTGCCGGGTTCGCCCTCTTATGTTGGTTCCGTCTGTGATAAGTAGGGTTAAGGTCTTCGAAGAATGAGATGAACCTGAGGCTCCTTTTGGGCTTCAAGGCTTCAAAGAGTTGCTGATGCTCTTCGTCTCGAATATCCTTGCCTTTAAATGAAGCTGCATCTATACCTCGCCATGGCTCGTATTCAAACCTCACCAGGCGGTTGAGGGATTCAATAATTGGCACTAAGGCCTTGGCCACAGAGAAATGGCGAAAGAATTGCCGTCGGATCTTGAAGCTCTTAACAACGCCGACTTTTGGCAAAATCCGCCTCCATCGTCGAGCAGACGGGGCCCGGAGGTCAAAGCGCAGCCCCCTGGGATGTCCAAACACGCGTAGTAGGGCGTCATTTTTCACCCAACGAGTAGTATGCCCATTCTCCCACCGATGAAATTTATCTTTATAAATCCTGGGCGGCGGTGTATGCAGAGACCAGGCCGTATCGTTGGCCCTCACAGATAGGTCTTGACAGTAGTGATCAGTGTCGCTCGGCGAATGAACACTGAGTTCCAATGTGAGACCTCTCCGTTCTTGCTCGATTTCTTTGTTCCTAGGCCAGGTAGATAGTGTCCCCAGAAGGTCCCACACCGCGTTGGTGAAGATATATTTATTAGCAACATCTTCATCGGTAGACTCTGGTGTTCTGCATCGACTGCAGTCGTATGCTGGGAGTTCAATGCGCAGCCAGATCCACCGCACGAAGGATGTGCGCTGGTGACGGGCGAGGATTTTTCCGAACTGAGAAACGTCTTTTTGATGTAGTATTAGTCGTTTGTAATTTTCTTTTTCAAAATATGATTGCCATCCTTGACACACCACGGCATAGTTGGACAGTATATGCGGCCTAGCTATGTGGTCTGGAACGGCCGCGTCTGGGGATGCATTAGACTCGGGCTCGAGAAGCATCTCGAATACTCCTAGTTGAAGCTCGGGCGGTAGACTGCTCCAACTCATTTTTCGTGTGAAGACTTGCTTGTGAAGACTTTGATCTAGCTGCGCATAAGTATAGAGGGCGACCCTTGGTTTCGCGATGTTTGGTAGAAGTTGGGTGAGAATAAGACTAGGATGGAAAGGGGCATCTAGACTCTCTCGTATTTCTGCTGTGGCGTCATGCCGGCAAACAGCTCGTGCGGCTTTGATGCTAAGTTTTTGCCGACCTGTGACTGCAAAGCTTATAATCAGCATGGGTGGTTATTGTTATAGGACACCTGCTGGGATGAACCTATTAAGCTATGGTCTAGATATTCGTAGAAAGTATCCAGAGCTCGCAGAAATTCAGATGACAGAACCACTGGAGTTTTGATCTTGCCCCTCATGCTAGGTTTGGACAATGAAGTTCTACAAAATCTCGTCACGGGGACTTGTAAACTATGATGTCGATACTGTGACAAGCGACTGATATAAAACATGACGCCAGAGCTCTTTTCGTGCAAACTAGAGACCTCGTTTTCTTATTGATAATACCAAGCACGATCATAAGAAACGATGTATTTAGCTTGGTATCACGTCGAAATTTTAAACTAGACGCCCGAGAAGCTTTAGTATGCTATATTGTATTTCAGCCACGGGAGTAATTTGTATAGAAAATATTTAAGCGTATGAAAGTTCACAAGTGTGATCTTTTAACTTCTTAATTTTTTTCAAATCTTGATCGTTTTACTTGTTTAATACGAAACTATATTTCTTATTCACATTATCTATGATAAGTTTTCAGTAAATGAGTCAAGGGGAAAAGCTAAAGTTTTAGCCAAAGTTGTAAGGTTAAGTTCTAGGCGCACACCTTCCATCGAACTTTCAAAGGGATCCTTAATTTCTTTTACATTGTCGAATATAGCCCTAGATATATCCTTCTAGCGATGTAGATTAATAAAGAATGCATTTTGCCTGAACATACACCTACGACCAACCTATATCTCAAATGATTTTCCCCATGAACTTAGCTGGTACCTAACCTATAGGTGAAGATTTTACACTGCCCTTTATACCTCTTGACTCGTTATGTTATTCCACATCTAGAAACATATATTCGGAAGAGAAGGAGAATAAAGTTCAACAGCAATGGAGCTGCCAAGGCCCGACAACTCAACTCAATGAATAGGAATATATATTCATTTGGTCTACAATAACAACTCCCCTGCTGATCTGCCTTTGTAGGATATCTTTGAGAAATGCAAGACTCGGAATTATACTCATCAGACAAATAGTCGTCTCAGTTACACTACATGTCTCCAAATTGAGTATGTTTATCGTCTTTGTCCGGCAAGGCTTTGACCTGTGATTGATATGTCGGATGCATCTGTCCAATAATACCCTCTTATTGGTTGTCTAGGTAGGCCTCTTAAATTAGCCCAAAGATACTGAGAAAGAAGACTCAGATTCTGTAGGCTAAAGCAGGTATTCCAATATTAGTTCGCTACGGCTCTTCTTTTTTTTTTTCCGTCCATTTGTACCTTTTTCACACCTCACCTTTTCGTTGAAGTCAAACAAGTACCTCCTCGTAGGTCTTCACTCACTGATTATTAATTGCGCTCACGAACCATAGTCTTCAATCTATCAAACAATCTAAACAAGTTTTAAATACAATTCAGTCGATCTTCAAATAGTAGATAATCATCTTGAAATAGCACACGGACTTATCTGGACGCGGGGAGCAAGCTTACCCCTCAGGAGCGAGGGTTTTCGTGTGTCACTTATTGCTAAAATTTAGCCTGCCCTGGCGTGATTGCTACGCTGTGCCGCAATGTGCCACACATTTGCAGGTGGACAAAGACTTTGGTGTTGGAGGGTGACCGGCTGACCCCACACTAGTGAATGCTGAGATGCGAACTTATTTGTCTGTTGTTTTTGATTCAACGCTTGTCTCTGATCGTTAGTCATAAGCAACCAAACTAAATACTTACATAGGAAATACCCATCGAATATTCAATCATAAATCGCAGGGTTGGTTGCGGCCTTGATGGGTACAGGACTAGGAGAGAACCGAAGCCCGTAAGCCTACCAACTCCCACACTCAGGCGGCAAGTAGGATGAAGACCAACCCAGGAAGGTCTTAGCTTATCAATTAATTAGCGTTACGCACTGTTCAAAACGAAACAAAGCAGTTAGACCCAGACGAACCCCAGCATCAAAGGAACTTGTGTCAGTTCAGCATCGAGCTTCGTGATGTTGATATTGTATGCCGCCATCCTTCGATTTACTTACTGGTATCGTTTGGAGAGTTCTCTTGAATATTTGGAGTACTTATCTAAATTGGTATTCCTGGTCACTCTTTCGGTTTCCCTCTCGAATCAGTAGCACGTAACGTATCTCAATAAGTTGGCCGAGGCGCAGGCAGGAGGCTCGATAAACATCCAAGGCACAGACGCAGATCAACAGAGACAATCGAGGCAAAGAGGAGTAAAGAATATGATCTGAATTGTTTCATTTATTGAATTAAAACATCACTTTATCGTTAAATTCATTTCATCTAAGCTACACCGGCCGGACGGGCGACTTTAAGACTCCAGAGTGGTCGTAGCTGTTAACAAGATCAATCCCAGATCATCAGAGCCGGCAATCCACCTTTCCTGTCTGGCCCTTGAGGGATATTGCTTAAGAACTAGAAACGATACCGCCGGCAAGGACGGTGGGCTTCTGGTTGGAGAAGTTAGGGAGATCAGCAACGAGCTCGGCCTTCACGGGGCCATCACGGGCTGCCTGGAGCTTCTCCTTGTCGTCCCACTTGAGGATCAGACCGGCCTGGTAGGCGGGGACACCGCCGTCGGCGCCGTGGGAGTACTTGACGACCTCCCAGCCGACGAGGCCGAGGTCCTTGAGGGCGGCAGTGAGCTTGGGGACGTGAGTGCCGACAAAGTACTCAAAGTTGAACTTGATGTCGTCGTTGTTGGGGTAGAGGATAGTGAGGTTGATGGCGACCATTTTGAAGGTTGGTTTATGGGTGGTGGAAGGGATAGATTGTTGTATTGTTCTGAGGTGTTGGGATGAGGATAGAGGAAGAGAAACTGAAAATTAGAAGCTCGAGCAAGTGAGCTTCTTTATACTCTTTACGGAGCGAGACCGAATGGTGAATTCATGGCCAACTCGACTTTCCCCTCGTCGTAACTTACCTTTGCCCCTCCGTGCCCCTCGATGCCCCTCGTTTACACACGCATGCCTCGCAGGGAGCCTCGCAGGGATGGCAATCCGCAATTGGTGCACGCTTCGCAGGTAAAATCTGTCGGCTAACCATTTAAATTAAGAGGCGAGCCCTTAGCTCATGCCATTAGGTCCTCGGGTGACGAATCTGTCGTGCATTGAAGACCAAAATAGTCCATGTTTCGGCTCCGCAGGTTGTATCATGAGAACCTTTGGAGACGAAGGAGCGGTGAACGTGTTGGTTGGAACGTCGTAAACGTGATTGCCAAGAGTAGGTTTGTAGTAATACTTCGAAACTTATGTCAGACGGCAATATCATGGCATTGAATCCCACCCTCTCTCTACCGAAGAGGGTGCCAACTGAGCGGGGCATCATGAGGAGTGTGAAAGCCCGGTCCATGGGTACTCTTATGAACAAGCGCAGCTCCATTCTTGGCCGGATGCTTACTTGCAGCTTCCAATAGGCAAGCAAGTGCGTGACAGGAAATGGCACACTTAAGCACTCCCTTAACAAATATCTCACAGCATCTACTATGTTTCACGACTAGCCATGGAAATTAGTAAGATAAGATTAAAGGAAAACCGTATGAAGATATAAATATTAATAATAAATAATCTCTTCCTAGTATTAGATACTGATTTAGATTTGTGGGTGTTTGTTTCGGTGTTTATTGGGTCGTCAATTGGGTGCGCAATTTCCAGTCCTTTTGTCACCCGCTTAGCAGGGCAGTATCAGAGCAACATATCCTGTCTCACACGTGCGCAACTCTTGGAGTTGGAGAAAAAGAAACCTGTCGAAGCTGAGCGGCGACTTTTACATTCGTATTTAGAATTACGTAGATAGCCTAGAGACGAATAAATTTTACCTTGGGAGTCAGGTAAACTAGTTTAGCTTTAGAATTGATCAATGCAAGTAACTTCACCCGGAAGTGCATATAGATTTCAAAAACATGATTCTAGGCACTAGATCTTCGCTACTGATGTATGGATTGACATAAATTATGTTTTCTTTCCGCTGAATGGTCTCAGTCAATGGAGACAAGGAGAAGTTCCTCCCCTTGTTGCTCCAGGGTAGTTGTGATTAAATATTGAGACCCTCTCGGATCTCATCTAGACTCATGCCATGGGAGAGGCAGCCTTATTTATAAGATAATAATCATGGACAGATATACTGCTATGAGCGTACTTATAATAGATATATAGTAGTTTATTCTCAAATAAAATTTTAGACTAGATTAATTAGTCTTCTTTTTGGCAGGTGTTCCTTCAGCCAGCTGCTATCACTAAGTTACATGATGTTGTGCTTTTATTCTGATGGATAATCTTTCGATACATAAAATAAAGAGCTACAGTGAGTGCTTACCCTCTAGTCGTGGAGGTAATGGCCATTGAGAATCCTACATAAAGGAGTGAGTCTGTTGAAGCTAATATAAGCGTAATTCATGTTGTCTACCGACCATCTTAGAGTAATTTCTTCATTCCGCACTCCAAGGTTGCCCGCAACTCTTCACCAACTGAGTCTTTTGTAAATGCTTCCGCCAGGGCTGTGAAATTCAATGATTCTGTCAGTTCCAACACCATTGAGATTTCCTCAATAATCTTGTGTATGATACCGTGCCTGCACCATGAGATTTTCTGTGATTGAAGAAATTTTGGCGAGGTTGATGTCGGCATCTCTCGCGAAACTTGGACATAATCTCATCATAAGCAATCCGATAGCGTTGAAGGGTTTTAGGTGAGTCCTCCCAACAACCAACCGGCTCAACGGCCTCGTCCATGGACTTTTGGTAGTCGTATCGCCAGGTCCCAATCTTTTGTAAGCCAACCGGGATAGGTTTCATTTCCATAGCTCCTGGCAGAACAACACACAGCATCCTAGTCAATGATGCTAAGTAGCTGGCCCTCTTCAGAGACAAGGATATTTTGTATGTCAAAATCAGGGTGTGCTAAAACATATGGTTTAACATTTTTCGGTTCCGGAATCCACTTGATTAGTTCTTTCAGCAGCAAACTGGCTCCTCATGCAAAGAGCTTTGTGCTTAGATGGTGTAAGTCTTGAAAGAAGTTGTACTGCTGCTGAGAGTCTTCGAAGGCTGGCACCTCGATATAGATAGGGTCCTTGCTGTCATCTTCATTTTTCCATCGATCAAGCATTTCTTGATGATCGAGACAGCGCGACTGATCAACACCGGAAGGATTGCCCAATTCGTCAAATTTGACAATGCTAGAGGAGCTAAAGGAGAATTTTCTCAACTGAGACATCGCTGCATCGACATCACTCAGTGCCCGCATGCGATGCGCATGGGTTGTCTCCATATCAACACCGCTCAAGCGATGTCCGAACCAGACATCATATAAAGACTTGCCGGAGATAAATGACAAGAGAATGGATGGGCAATTGGCGTCATTCTCTTCTTCTCATTCGGGTCGATTGATTCAACGCACTTTATGAATGGTTCGCTCCCGTCTCCCTATCCATCCCACCAAACACTGCTTCCGGAGGGGTCGATTTCGCTCATTTTTTGGTTCAGCAGCTCATCATCCGGCTCAGCCCTTCTTTTTATCATTCAGGGAGCGCGAGCCTCATCCGTTCGCATAGAAACTTCTGCCACAAGAGGTGACGTGACCTGCGCAAGTTGTTGCCTCATAAACTTCGAACGGATGGTAACTTGATGATATCCGAGCACTCTGTCAGTTGACAATGTTGCTTGTCGCAGGGCTTGCTTATAGATAGCTCATAGCATGAACAACACACGTCCAGCTTGATGAAAAAGATGTAAGCAACCAAGGATGTCAAAGATCAGCTGTCATTCATACCCGAGGCAGTGCGATATAGGATGAGAAACAAATCGCCAGGCTGGGCGCAAGCCTCATGACTGAGCAAAAAGGCCGAAAATTGATGAGTGGTAATGCTGGATGCGGTAGAAAAACTTCATCATACAAGTTAATGCCAGATTCTGGTCGAGAGTGGCCTTCTGGTCCATATAGTCCCAGATCATATCCAGATTACGCTCAGCTTGTCACATCTTGTCCGTCTTCGTCTTCGTTTTGCGCTTCGCAGATGGATGATCGTATTTGTGGTCTGTCGGATCACATAAAAAGTAACCGGCCGCATGCCAGCGCTTCTCCATACTAAGCTTGAGGTTCTGACCACTCGATATGTCATGTTCATGTGGCTCTCGGTCCTCGGTCCATAGTTGATACCTGCAGACCTTTCGTGGGGGCTTGAATCAATTTTTGCAGAAAAAAAAATGGCTGACGGAACTAAATGAGATTTTCCTCTGGTTGATGAAAAGCCTCAGTTTTGCCAGTGAGTTTTCTTCAGTCTTTCCTCCCTGAGGTTCTTCTTCTACCTCTTCCTCTGCCATCCGGACCTGTGCAGAGAAAATTTGGACATAAGTCTCACTGTTCCATTTGAGACTCATCAAACTCTCTCGATTTGGTCAAAGTGTTCATATGAGCTGCCAACACATATGCGAACCCTCGGTCATTTTCCCCGTGGAAGTCATTAGCGAGATACAAGCGTCATGCCCGAGGAGTCTTGAAAATCATTCATGTAGTACTTCTGTTTTGTGCTTTGTCTTCCTGGTCGCAATTCAGATGGTTGATCAAACATCAGGAGAGTTTAACTGCAAGGTTCAAAACAATAAGAGAAGATGCCAGAATCCCACATCTCAACACAATGAATAGCTGATCGAATCTCAGCTGTAGCAACCCGGGAAGTCATCTTCATCAGACGCGTACCTTGGCAACTGAATTGAATCACAGATTTTCGATGACTCCAATGATCTTTCCCGCTTGTATGTGCAACCAACACGATACCAGAGATGAGGGTCCTTCTGGACCAACGGGTTTTCAAGATCCTCAGCCCACTTATCGCACTCGTCAGAGGTGATAGTTGAGGACGCGGCGGTTAGGCCCGTTGCAGATGAGGTGGATATCCATATCCAAGAGATCTGTGAATGACTGTAATATCTCGGGTTTGTCCTCCCATCCATCAGTCTCCTCACTCCAGAGGACAATCATATACTGCGCAAAAAAAATCGAACACTAATCTAGAGGACCTGCGGAGACAGTCCAAATTTTTGCGCTCGATGTAGATCGCGCGCGACACGAGCCAGAGGACTCGCACCGCGGTGGCGAGTCCGACCACCATAGAATTAATTTGTCCAACGGACAAAGCGCTGGAGCTGGCCTCTATACCAGTATATATGGCTCTTTGGACGGCTACCATCGACATAAATGAGAGTACAGCGTGGATGGTGTACGAGAATGTGACTGTGGCCCGGTATTTCGAGTAGAAGAGTGGATGAATGTGTTCGATACGGCGCCCTGCTCCGTCGCCGAGCCTTGCTGAGCAGTGAAGCGGGAAGTTTGGAAAGCAAACAAACCGGACACGACCTACAATGGAATTCGCCCATGAGGAAGTTGGCTGCATTCTTGGTCTGGGCCATTTTTTTAGACACTCAACGTTAGTTTGGTATTCCATTAGCTTGGATAAGTGATCACACTTGTGTTTTTGCTCCGTCAGCCCAAGGATCGAATGTGATGACTGAAGTGACTCGGGAGTTGAGATGAATGATTGACACTTGTTCCTCCCGTGGAACCGCTCAAGAGAACGGCTTGAAGAACCAACTCAGGGAGAACTTCGCGGACTGTTCCTTCGATGCGTCCAATGAGTTGCGCATATTTGGTACCGTTTCTCCGGACAAATTGTTAGCAACCTCCTCCTAATGCCCCCCCTCTACCGGCGGGGACCAATCTTGTCTATCTGTTAAACTGCGAAAGCAATTGTAATGGCCAATGGCGTCACCATCGGCTGGAGGTCGACAGCCAGGATAGCGAATCCAAGAAAGTCAATCGACCCCAAAGAGCTCTCAAATATTGTCGATGAGTAACAGGCAAGGAACTCACCCGAGCCGCTCGTGTTACCTGATGCGAGTTGATGCAGGTTGGTTTGGTGCGCTTCCTTGTCCCTCCCTTGCTTCGTTTTTCTGCTTTTATAAGAAACTCTGTTGCCATAGATTTAAGCAGATATTTGAATCCAGAGACCATTTAGACTCAGGGTCTAGGTTTTCGGATATCAAGCACGTATCTTTTCCTTGCCATTTTCCGTTCACCTGACTTCCTGCCACAAAAAGTAGTTGTCTTTGTCAAAGTAGCTTCAGCAGAAGCATAGGGCCTTAGATTCGAGTCTTTCGGCTCTGTTTCCACACTTCGATTAGTGCTAGCGGCGTAGGCGAGGCGATTGAGCTTCCACCCATGGCTTGTTTCTGCGCTTCATCATCATCTGGATCGGCTTTCTTGGCTTTCTCTGCGAGCTTTGTACGCTTCCAAGTCTAGAACTTCTCGGGCAGGTCCAGTCTCTGTTCCAGTTCGTCTACTGGAAGAAGATCTCTTGGCTCTTCCTACTCAGGCCAATACTTCAGATATTCTGAAAGTTGGCTGATCATCTCTGGCCTCGTTTTGCAGTCTTTCAGGAAAGTATTTATGCCATTACGGATTACTGTGTTGGTTGGTTCTGGCTTGGTTTTCGCTCGGGAGGCCGCGCGACGACTAGAGGCCAAGCACGATATCAATGATGACGACCAAGGCCGGTTCACCAAAATGCTTTACAAGACGTAAAGTGTTGGAGGAATCAAGCCCCCACAAACTAGATGACACTCTAACTCGTCGAGAAAGGCAAGTTGCCGCGATTCAGAATCACTGCAAGCGTATCTTTAAGCATGGCGAGTTTGGTTTGTATCAAGCCTACTGCAATCGGAAGTTCGAACCAGGTCACCAAGGAGAGGTACCAGCGTTGTCAGTCCTCGTCTCCCAGAGTTTGCAAAAAGCTCTTCATAATAATCACCACCCATATCCAAAGAAGATACATGGAAATGCTTGGGCTTCATATGCAATGGACCAACGATGCTTTCTGAGAGTATACACATCAATCAAAGCTCCAGTCCTTTTGATTCACTGTCAAGACCTTGGTATCGAATTTTTCCGGGCTAATAAGTCTCTAAGTGATCTTCCCCGAATTGATACTGTTATTTCTTGAGGATATCACCTTGAAGAGTAGCAGCTTAATTATAGTATCCCAGGATAAGTATACTTCTGCTACTTCTTCTGTGGCTGTTGTTGTCTCATAGATGTTATCATCTAATAACACTTCAAGTATCTCTTTGGCTCTTTCCGCTATGTATTCAGCTTCGCAAAGTTTTCCCAGAGACCTCACGGTCGATGAGGCTCCATCCATAGCAAGGATGCAAAATGAGAAGTGAAGGAAACAGAAGGAAGTTAAAGCGAGTTGTCCCAAGGCTCCATTTCCTCTCCGACAACCGTAAGCCCCTGATCACCGAAGGCTCTAATGTTTGACTTTAACCTCTGAATAAGCTCGTCCCTCTTAATGTCATCCTTTTCGGTTGCAACAAGCTTGCTGCCATTGACACGTAACTCTTGTACGTACGCCCCCAGATTAGGTTGATCAGTCTCACCGCCCATCGAGGCGTCGACCGCCTTTGGACAGAGCGAGGAGAATACACCATCACAGCATAGGGTGCCTCGACACATATCACAGCGATCAGCGCCAATGCGTGGCCCGTAATCGACGACTGCCTTGCCACTAATAACATATGGTGCAATAAAACATTCCATCCGTCTGATCATTTCTTGATTATCCAGCTCCCGTGGCAAGGCTCCGACAAATCGAGCAATCTTGGCATATAGTTCATCGGGGAAGAGGCGAACCACAACAGTCCGTTGCAAGCACATTAGAGCGGTGACAATAGACACGCCCCACTGGGTAGCATCAATACCATCTTCTGAGATCTGGAAAGCATGAGACCCAACAGAGATAACGCATACTTGCGGTCTAACCATGAGGCTATCGATTATGATGAAGAAGATGTTGCGATGAGCGCCCTCGAAGAGACAGTAAAATTCCACAGTGCAATTTATATGGAGATATTCGAATCTCGACGGTATACAACCGAGACGTATTTATGGAACCAGCATTCGTTACCTTCAATAGGTCCTCTCTAAGCAGTGAGGTGAGTCTCAAGCTCGGCGTCAACTAGCCGAGAGAGACCTATGCTTGATAGTAGAGCCTCCTTTGGGATCCGCTAATGCGTCTCAACTCAACAGACCTACTCGTGAACGCGAGTTTTGCCGTAGTGCTATGTGCGTCATAGCTAGAGTCCCACACAATTAAAGAGTCGTGGGGTATGTTGTGTAGATACAATTTATCCAGGCGGGCTTACATCTCCAAACCCGCCAGCGGTTTGGGTTCTTGGGAGACTTGGGACAAGCATGGAAGCAACCGAGCAATCATACCTGTCGGTGGTCAGATGTCGGTGTAACACATGAACTCTCGTGCCAGAGAACGAAGATTCGAGGGAGCTTCGGACATTGAGGGCGTGTGAGCTAGCTCTATCTTCGGAACCAAGCGTTCGTTTCAAGGAATCAAACGAATAGCGGCACAAGAGCCACTTGAAACCTTGTCCCTCGGAGATGAAGCAACATTTGTTCCATGTTCAAGGTTGATTCCTTTGGCAAAATGGGGCTCATTATGTCCACTGCCACGTATTGCTTCTGCAGATAGTTGGCCTTGCCCCTCCTGTCTCTTCTGCAATGTCCAGATATAGTCTAGTGACTGCCCCCAGGGATAAATCTTGCGCGTCATGATGATACTCCGCACCAAGGTGAGTACTTGGCTTAGCCTTGAAGAAATGGGCTTAGAGGTCACTTAGTCTTCGCGGCTGGTAAGGAAGAGTTGCTTTGAATCTGTGGAGGAACCCAAGACAGTCAGACAAGGGAGACCAAACTTGGCGATGAATGGTCCTTCTTTGCCTCTGTATGAGAGAAGTCCTTGGTATTGGGGCTTTCCACACCATTATACCACTTCTCTTTTCCCGCGACCTAGGAGAGTGGTGTCGTGGAACTGAAAAAGTATGCGCTGAGATTGCTTGATAGTGAATTTTCGCTTCCGGCATAGGAAAATCAGCCGTACTATATCCCAACGATAGGCATATAATATCGGCCTTTTTCTCGTTCGTAGCCCAATGTAGAGTCTGCACCCTGATGTTAGATCTTGCCAGAACTAGATGCTAATGGGAACTCACCCCCGCAAGTCTCTCTGCCATGCCGTCAGGATTATCCCTGCGTTCGCATATCTTCCCGATGATGATTTCAGCGCTAGGCGCAACTCCTGTCGTGCGTTCGGCTACATTTGTCCCATGCATGTCATCGTCTTGATCCCAAGGAGAGCCGATGAAACTCTTGCATTCTGCCTGATTTATCCGCGACCTCGGCAGCTTCAAACAGACGCTCCCTCGAGGAAACCAAGTTCCCAGATGTGACTGCATGTGGTAGTAGGGCCAGAAATTTGTGTATGGTGTCTACTCGACACAAACACCGCGCTGTGTCAAAGCGACCAAACATCCGCGGCTCTCTATTCATATGCGACCTCCAGTCATATGGCGGGGTTGTTGCGCCTCATATAGACTCTACTGCGGCTCCACAGTCAACAGAACGGCCCCATGAACAGTTCTTTGAGATCCATGAAATCGTCACCTTGAGGAGCCGTGCCTGGGTCTCTTCAATCACTCGGGCCGTGCCCTACAAGGCCATCTTCTGTGCCGTCCCGATGGTTGGTCCCGCCCGAGACAATGCCTGGGTGAGCCCCTTGGTGTCCTAGCATAGCTTCACTACTGCCCGCATCCCCCTTTCGTCATTCGCACTCGAAAGGAAGAGACTGATCATGCTATTCCTCCTGGCCGTTGCTTTACTTGAGTTCTCCCAGCTCTGCGAACTAGGCTTCTTGTATGTGCGCAGTTCTTCCCACTTATTAGGACCCTGGCATATATTGTCGATATAAGCGCTGCTGTGCCAGGACCCGAAAATCTTTTGGTAGCCTTTATGTTGTGGCAGTTCCTGAGGGTAATGATCTAAAACTGCGTATTAAATCTTTGACACTTGATGATCCCGTTTACGTAACCAACCCAGAAAATAAATTTCAATGTTTCCGAGCAATCGACAGGTCTTAACATCAGTGGTCGGCAAATAGAGCAACTGGTAGGACATTGGTGGCGAGGATGCAATCCAAATATCCGTCTCTCGTGTCTGAGAACCAAATTCAAAGTTTGCCAGGGTATGTGAAACGAAAAAGGAAAGCTTGAAATTTGAGGGCTGGCAAGTGTTGAACATTCATGTCAGACCTGCATCGATGAAGGCCGTATGGCTTGATCGATTGTAGCCAGTTCAGGAGACCTCCACCATACAATGAGTGTTGGCAGGCAGGGGACTTCGAGTGTAGGTTCATAGAGGTAATGTATCCTGAAAGGACAGGAATTCGATTCTCCTGAGGCGAAGCCAGGTTAGCACAGTTTCCGTCAGGTCACTGAAGAGCAAAGCGATGTTTCTTATTTGTAGCATCCTCCCCGGCTTGGTCTTGATTTTTTATGGCTATGACCGCGCAAAACCGAGTCTTGTAGTAGCCCGTGGTGAGATGGTCTGGCTAGGAGTCTGTGATCGGCTGGCGCAGCCGTATGGGTTACGCTCTCATTAACTGGTCGAGGATCGCGAAGACGGCAAAGTTGGCGTTGATATCCAGTATGTGACTCCATGTTGTCTCAAAGAAAACGGCCTCACGTGCGCTGTTCAACACCAGCTCTCTTTTCAGCGAGTGCAGTCTAGTTTGCCGCTTCGATGCCTGGGCTTTGCGGAACCCAACTAAAAGGGGGCGAAACGAGGGGGTTTGTAGGGGGGCATGTGGGTTGCGGATGTGTACTAGGGGCGGGAGTAGACGGATAATGTTCGCGAGACATACGACTTGTTACTACATCGAAATTTGGAGTTCGAAGAGCCCCATATGATTCTAGCAAGTTCAAGGCCGCATTATCTTCTGGCTCTGTGGCAGAAGCCGACTCAGGGCATTGTTGACTCATTGTCGATCCCTCTTATTTTGTTCAAACGCGAAAAGACGCGGTTAAACTCTCTTTCCTCGGCCTAGGGTGAATTTCACTACCAGCATTCTTCAAATCGTCCCGTTTGATGTGAGAGAGTTTGAGTACAGAGTGCCAGGCCCGACATCTCAACACAATCTAGGGTCCCATCACTACTGTTAGATGATAGGGTATGGCTCAGATTAGAGGATATGCGGTGTTGGACCCTGTTCATTATCAGGAATGTGTGATGTGAGCGAATGACAGCGGCCTTCGCACAAAAATCATTACTTTGTTTTCGCTCGTGATGACGCCCGATGACTGGAGGAAGCCGACATTGTTATATTATGTACCCGGCCGGATCGGTAGTTTTGCATGTCGTGAAGTTCCTTTTGCCCAGTATGCAGTGACGTTTTTTTAGCAGTACCATATTGTTCTAAGCGGCAACTCTCCCACCCGACATAAAATGGGTCATCGGAATGGGCATATTTTGGTGTTTTGCCACGACCTAAAGGGGCCAGCATATATTGGCACCAGAATCTAGGTTGCTCTCGTTCGATGGTATCTCATCTACCCCTTTCATTCGACAGCCACATTCGTCCAACTTCATCAATATCTTCACGGGGTAGATTGGCCGACAGTGCCTAGCCCTCACGCCCAGTATTCCAACCATAAATAGACGGGAAGAGGGAATAGGAGGTTTAAGATGATGTTGAGCACGAGAGAAAAGAAAAATATGTCCATGCTGACGCTGCAGCCGGAGCGATGATAAAGTTGTCTTGAATGAGAGGGTGAGGGGGTGACTGGAGTTTCCGATGGTCAGGTGAAAATATGTGCCCTCCCTTTGCGGAAAGTAACTTTTAAAGATCGTGGAACTTCCCGAATGCTCTTACTCTTGCTCTCGGTCGCAGCCATGCTTCATTTGAGTGATGTTAAATTCATTCATCGTGAGAGCCTCACGGCCAGCTCCCAATATGGTTGAGACCAGCGGCAAGAGTCGCAGAGTAACTTGCAGGGCTGGCGACCCCAAGACCATCAGCGGTCTTCCTCATGATTCCGAAGTATTGTAGTTGGACCAGGGCCGCGACAGTAGGACCATTGTGATTGCTTTGAATTAACTTCTCTATATCGGAACGTACGAGCATTCGAGTCCAATTATTCGGAGATTTCGTAGTTCTCTGTTCAAAAAAAGGGGGGGGGGGGCTCCGAGTTCCACAGTCGAGAAGAATGTCCTGTTCCACGAGTGTTGCACCATGACCGTGACTACATTGCACAATCAAATGAACAAGCAATGGCTAGGAACCACTTCTAAGAGCAAGAATTACTGCGTCTTCGCCAAGAAGTAGTTAAAAGCTGTGGTCTGGCAGCACAATCGACTGCGACTGAAGACACATCTCCATCGCCTGAGTCATGAGCACGAGGGAAGTCTGTGCATTGTTATCAAACTCAAACGCCCGTGATAAGACACCAGCGTCTGAAGGCACAATACTAACAATCAAAGCCCACTCCTATGAGCATAATTCAGTCCAATATTCCAGTCAATCAGCCTTTGCAGATCCATCGGCCTTCCTTGATCCAGGCATCGTGCATAACCAACTAAGGTATTGCGTAAAAACGAACTCTACCACGTCAAGAAAATAATATTCAGTTCCAGCTTCTTCGAGAGCACAAGAACAATCGTAATCGGGTTCACATTTGCCACAAGACATATCGATATTTGCTCGGGCTCGGGCTCGGATCTTGATACTTCGGCTTCCATCTTATGATTAGATATTCTCCCCTATACCCAAGAATGTCGTGAGTCATTCGTGCCATGGTCTTGCTTTGAAGTTCATCGTAATAAGTGGCGATGAAATCATGAAACTCAACCGGTGGGCGTCCTGGCATAAGAAGACGAGCAGGAGAATTTCTTAACATAAATAGCAGTCCAATCGAATGAGGTTCTTCAATTGTATTACCAGCACCACGTAATAGGGAGAGTCTGTTGGTAGACCCCACAGATCCAGCCCTCATCTTAGACTTGAGTGTCGAAGTAGCCAATCCTATGATGATCCAGAGTTGGATCGATTTCTCTCCGATCAAAACTTGCCTGCGAACAGAATTTATTTCTGGGTCTCGTCCGTTACCCAGTTGTAGATAAACCAGATGAGAAGGATAGATAAGCTTGACAAAGAACTGGATCTGGGCCGAAAGATCGTCCCATACTTTCGTGTGCAACTCGTATTCTGAAGTAGGTAGAAAAGCTCCATGGGTCCAACTTTTTATCGCATCTTTAGAGCCGAATACTTTCACATGGCCTTCCTGGGTCATTGCTCTTCTTGCCGGTGACTGCCTGCGTCTCTTTGTACAGGGTGGTCGGCATCATCGGCACTGTCAGCATCGTTTCCAAGTTCCCTCGTTTCTGTCCGAGCTAGCCCCCACAACTCAGCTTCTTCCATGGTGGACTCGGCTTCTTCTATGGTGGGTTCATCTTCTTCAACAGACGCCCTAATCTCGTCGCCGATAGTTGAGCCACCCATTACTATCGGTCGCCAATATTGTTAAGATAGAACCGGGCCTCTACGCCTGGCTCAACCACGTGACGGCTCTTCCCCGGCCTTCCAGTGATATTCGTCGCGGTCTGGCTGCCTGCCAGACAATAGCACTGATGATGAGTGCCGGGACACCAATGGGGGCAGATGGTCATCACTCAAACTTCGAAATATGTGATTGATTGGCTGAGCCAGTGTAGCACCATTTTCTCACCAAAACGCGATAGCACTCTAAACAATCAAGGCATCGGTGCCAGATATTGAAGAACTCAACAGTTCCTAGGCTGGAAGCCACACCATTCCTATAAATAGTGGCAGTTGGTGCGATGTTCTGCGCTGGCAAGGTCGGACGCGAAGGAAAGGAACGACATTACACACCATCCAGGGCGTATTCGCAAGTTTCTTTCAAGGACTTGATCCATAACATCATCGCCAAATGAAATCTCGTGCCCTCTAAACAAAGATTTGCGCTCACAGCCATCCATTTTTGTAAGTATTTCAACAGTTCTGTCCCAATACCACACATCTTCAAGATAACCCAGCTATTAGGCGAGGTGGATAGATATGCAGGCGCGCTGTACTCCAATCTGTTGGTTTTGGATTTGCGAAGGTTATATGGAGCCCGAGTGAAGGGCCTGTCTTGCATGGGACATCATGATTTCTCAATTCCTCCTATGAGGCGGTAAGAGATGGCCGCGGGTAGAAATTTCTCATGCAATTTCTCTTCTGGCTCATGTCGCCTCATTTCGTAGAACAGAGTCAAAAAAAAAAAAACCAATGCCGCGGATGGTTGTCGGGTGATTAATGCCGATGCTCGTTCTTTGGAAAAAGACTTTTTATATAAAATGGTCTCAAAAGTCATTATCAGCTGTCCATATTTGGCCTGCCCAGCTGTTTATTTATGTTATATAGAACACCCGCACGTCTTGGTTGAGATTCCACATCGGTGTGCTTAATCTCTTCAAATGTCGTAGCAAGTCCAGGATCAATAAGATATAGCATGTTGCCGTTCTGTCCAGACCCCATAGCAAAGTTGGTCAGCTTGATATCATTATGGATGATGCCTTTCCTGTGAAGGCCTTGCAGACGCTTGAGCGCCTGGAGCACCTGGAGCGATATTGCACAGAGTATCCAGAGAGAAAGAGTGGCCGCAGTACTCCCACAGATTCCATAATGACGGTCCAAGCAGGTCAGTCACCAGAGCGTCGTAGAACCCGCCTTGAGTCGTACCCGTCCAAAGCAGTTCGAGGGAGCTATCTTGAGGTGGCCGAGGGTATAGCCGTCCATATTTATCTTCTCTTTCGAAGATCGAGCCGAGTATGAAGCAATTCTGAGTGGCAGGACCCAGGGCTTCTATCTGAATGAATCTTCAAGGTTTGCGGTCTACGGGCTATCACTCTCAGATATCCCCTTCGAGCACCATATCCTTCTCTCTCCATTGTGTACCATCGCCGAGGTAAAACTTATGGGGTTGGGTCGTTATACTTAGTTTTGTACCACCAGCGATTCGTCCGTGGGTTGACCTAGAGGTCGATGTTGACCTGGGATCAAAGGCATTGGACCAATCGCAGTTTCAATCGGGGCCACCAATACGAGGAAGGTAGAGCAGATGACTTTTGCGTTCCCGACGTCATGGCGATCATGGATCATCCCTTCAAATCAAAAGGCTACAATTGGATTGTGATAAAAAAGCCCGGGCTTGCATGTGATTCGTCATGTATATGTAAAGTGAATAATGTACGTAAATTTACATCCAGATAAACCGTCTATGGAGATCAGATGACCGGGGAAGGCGTCAAAGGGCAAAGATTAGGTCAACGTGCAGATGCCATTCTGGCAGGATTCAGAAGCCAGAGGCTGGCTTGGTTTGGTGGGTGCTCGTATTGTACGTTCCGGTTTTAAGTCTGAGTCTAAGAAGAATTTTGTTGCTGGTTCTTGCGTTCTTTTGGCCTCCAACGTGAGCTGTGTCGTCGAAATGGTTCAATTCGATCCAACACATCGATTTCGGATGAAGAAAAGCCTGTCAGTGTTGGCGGCATCGTGAGCATCTGTGACTTTGTCAGCATTTCTGTTAGAATATATTCTTGATCTAGGTCAAAGGATCCTACCTATGATCCGCGGTCTCGATCAAGCATTGACAACGATGTACACGCTTCTCTCTCTTCGTGGACGTCTAACAAGTACAGTTTAGGCCTCTATGTACTAGGAGACAATCTAGTTCGTCGAGAAAGGCCTGGACGTCTTGTCGGTTCTGCTTCTTGGCTGCCCTGCTGCCCTTCCTCACCATCCGGGTCCTGCCCTTCTCCGCTAGTATCTTGGTTTACTTCGCGCTGGGTAAGCTGCTGGATATTTTGGCATAGAAATGCGGGAAGTTCGATCAAGAGAATGATCGACAGGAGAACTAGTGTCAGGCTTGCTCCTGTTAGCCTCATAGCTCTTGGGGCCAGTGCTCAATCAAAATTGTGGATAAGTTAGATGGAGCTGTGTTGGAAATTGATAAAGAGGTGTAAATAGTACACTATCTGACTCTGCATGTGACTTTGCCCCGAGCGTTTGAGACCATGGTGCATCTTGAAAGCCTTTGGCCAAGGTCATCGAAAGCCAATCCATCTCGCAGCCAGATATGAGAGGCCTTGCGCTTGGCTGATTCGCAAGATGGTCGTTGATGAAATATCTGATGCCAGTTATCCAGAATAGGGCGATTATATGCACCAATTGCAATACAGGATGCATACAGTACAGCCCAAACAACTGTAAGATAAATGTAATAACGCAGCAAACGCTCGAAAGGTCACAGAATCTAGTCAGCGACGGACTAACCTCCTGCCTCTCAGTAGGTGAGTGCTTACGCGGGATCTCGCGGGGAGTTCCCGAGCACTGGTTGCCTCTGTTGATGCGACTCGGGTGCCCTTTGTGAGTGAGATTTGACGGTTTCGGGACCGACCTCCAAGAAACTGTTCAACTCTTCCATAGCAACCTCACAATCTTCAAGGTTATCATAGCGGTGACAATGATTCTCGATTGGAGTTGGATGTAATGTCACTCCTCTTCTCGAAATCAAGATGGTCCTAAAACCTTGCCGGAGCCCTCCATCGAAAATCAGTAACAAGCGCTAAACATCGCTAAACAAAGGGAATCATAGTAGCCATCGCGGCTAAAATGAAGGACGCGCCATCCTGATCCCCATAATATTCAAGAATAGTCGAGTTTGGTGACAAATTGACGATATAATTGTAGCCCGAATAGGTCGTTATCATCTTCGTCAGGCAAGTTTCTTAATTCTTGCCTGGCGTACATGTCGATGGCCTGATCAATCCATACACCTCCACCCAGAGTCGAATTGAGATCCTGGATTTGAAATGTATCCTCGGTCGTGTTCAGCGCCGGAATGCGGTACAAAACGGCATCCTGCTGCAGACCTCTTTGTATTTGGCCTCTCTCCCGGCCAGCCGAACAGTCAACATTCTGATTCTCGGCTGGACCAAATGAGCCATAGTGACCGCTCTTTCTCGAGTGATAACATAATATTTCTGCTCCGCTAGGCAGATGGAGTGAGTTCGAAAATTGTTGGTCGTTGATCGTCGACTACCGTAGTTTTGAAGCTGGTGGAAACGTTTCATGATGGAAATTGGTAGCAGATGTTGATCAAGACTTGCCCGCTTGCCCGTCCCGGATCATATCCAGATTAGACTCTGCTTGTCTGCACACCTTCTCGGTTCCAGAAAGGGCGAGTTTCCCCCTTATTTCAACCTTTCGGCGGCTTCCAAGACCCGACACGAGGCACATATTTGATAGCCTCGCGAGACAACGTGAGATCCAACAGCACCTCTCGACATTTCCCTACAAGGTAGCAGCAATGAGAGGTATCTTTCTCCTTCTTCTTCCGTCGCTTGACAGGATAACATTACTGGTGGTCTAGCCCAAATTCGACTGACCACCCGTAGAATGAACAACACATGGCAGACATGGTCCCCACATAGGGTGGCTTTGGTGGCAAAGCATTCAGTTCTCTTCATCGTTTGATTGAAGTCTTTCTCCTTTTGCCGGCCCTCAGAAAGCGTGTGCTAACCCCGTGCTCAAGAGCTGAACTCGATATTTTGCCAGCCATAGTTCCCAATCCCTGCTTCTGAGGCCGTTCTTGTGAGCTTCGGGCCAAGATCTTCTTCTGTTCTGGGCTCCTCCATTACCACTCCATCACTAGTCATTGCTCTCCAGGCCAGCCTCCAATTTCGGCTTCGCGCTGGAGCTCCCACATCATTTCCCTCTCCGCAACTAGGATTCATCCCTTTCTCTGTCTTTACGTTGCTCTGGCTTCAGCATCAGCAGCTATCCAGAGGCGAGAAATATTTTTTTCTATTTGACGTTGCATTTAGTCCACAATTTGATACGTCCCTTCAGATTCGGCCATGTCCACTCGTCTTTAGCTCTTTTAGTGTTGGTCGAGCGACAAGCGATGGATGGTTTGTCTTGTGTGAGAGCTCTTTGCAACCAAATAACCACATATAAACAAATTTGTCGGTACCCCAAGATGTCTTTCGCTCACAAGAATCATGTGGTATTCCGGTCGCTTCAAAAATCTCTTGGGAACTTGATAGCTCGTCTGATTCCAATAGCGGCAGCAAAGGAGCAGAGAACACCACGCCCTGGTCTCCGACTCCATCGAGAGCAATTTTGGGTAAAAATTTCTCGAAGATATGAGTTCTCGAGGGCAAACTGAGTCCGCCGTATACCCTTAGATGGATTTCGAAAGTTGAAAGACTGCTGTTCTTCGTTAGACTTTGAGAGGAACAAAGGGTTGGCTGACTTCATGTTGGATGATAGAGTGCTTTGAGTCTCACTTCACCAAGCCAAGGATGTGCTCAGATTGTCGTGAAAGTCAATGGTGCAGCTCGAGCTTGGCTGTTATCTTTCTCCTGATTTCATTTCTCTCTCCAAAGCCCTCGTACCTGTCGTGCGAGGTGGTAGCCGAACCCGCTTTACCTCGAAGTCCGATCATAACACCATTCCTGCGACTTCCCCTTTGCTCACTCCCTCAAGTTTAACAATGACCACTTCCGTATTTGTTCCTGAAAATAGCGGTCCAAGCAGCTGTATGTCCACGCCAAGAAGGGGAGCTATTCGGGTGTTCCATCTTGAAGAACCCATGCTCCGTGGTTTGCTTACCACAACCCCTAGGGCATCAATCCCAGGAGGACGGTGAAGGCCACTTTCGTTCTACCGTGATCGCTGTGAGGCCCATATGGCAACAATGACTGGCTAAGCCTTGTGTAAGGGCCTTCACGCGTCGCCAGTGTGAGAAGAAATTTGGCGCACCCTTAGTTGTTTGACATCTCTGCTTCCCAGTGAACATCTTGAGTTTGAGGTATCAAGTAGGCAGCAACATGAGCTCCGAGCTGCTGGAACTGCCTTACTCCTCACTTAGGATGGAGCGACAACCCTTCGACTACCCCCCAACCTAAGAAAGTTGTCCTATTCAGACCCTGCCGTCGTCTTTGAAAGATGAAATGTCGGTCTTCTCCAGACCATCGCCGCGGCCGTAGGTTCGTCACTCTAGTCTTCTTCCTTTTTTTCCTGTTTTTCCTTTTTTTTTTTTTTTTTTTTTTTTAGCTTTGTATTCTCCATAAGTATAGCCTCTGAGGATCCATCCCGTGATCGCCATAAACTCCTATCCTTCTCGCGTAGCTGGAAAAGATGATGAGATGCCAGGAGTCCCGGCATAACAAGTACAACGATGGTAGAGGCACCGGAGGCACGGCAGGGATATAATGGCATGCTCATTTGGAGGGGGGTTTGATACGCAAAGTTGCATAAATGGCCTGTTGTCATCTGGTTTTCACTGTCACTTCTCGCTACATGATTCCACTTGCTGCATGCTATCTTGCAGGAGACCCCAAATGTTTTCAAAATGCCTCCTTGATCTTCGTGTCAACCTCTTTCAGGATGAAGCATAATCACGGGAATGATTGCCATTGCATGAGTGCGTAATAGCTGTGCTTCTCCGCGATTGTTCGATGGTCTCGAGCAATCTGGATCATAGATCGTGATGGGTGTTCCAGACATCGCCACACAGAATTGTTAGCTACATTATTATGTTCGATGAACCTTGAAACCAAGAACCCAATAGGTCATCCTGTATGCCTAAGACGAGCAAAGAAGACGACCATCAAATGAGCTTCATACATGTGCAGTGGCGCTTGTTCCGTCTTTTTCCGCATACGTGACATAGAGCCTTGCTCGTGTACCACTTGCAATCAGTCCAAAAACATGCCCGTCGAGATTGTCAGCCGCGATATCAAGACCCCAGTAACGGAAGTTCCTCCCGCATCACGCCTCGCCGACTAGCAGCTGCGCCTCTTGATCTTGAGGCTCGATCTCTGCGCTTCCCTCGAGCTCGGGTCCCGCCTCGAGCTGTAAGCATTTACTGGGGGAGTTGCTGAGCTCTCAGCGACCTCATCGCCCTCTTCGACCTCGGACTGTGAAACTGGGGGAAGGACTACTCCTGCAACTGCTCCTGGACGGCCGTTAGTCGAGGGTCCCCATACTGAGTCCCCTGCTCGGCCTGCTCTCTGACTTGCACAGTCCGGTCCTGGGGGGAAGTCCATAGGCAGGTGGTGCTCGTGCTGTAGGACACGAGTTGGATTGAATTAGAGGAGACGAGTGTTGAGGAAGTGGCTGGTCTGCAGGTCCGGCCTCCTACGCGTCTCCGCTTGGTAGACGAGTATTGTCCACATCCGCCTCCAGGCTATCATTGTAGTCTGGCCCACTCCCAACCCAATCCTCGCCAATGTCACCGGGCGCTTGTGTCTTTCGTCTGGGACGAGCTTTGTTAGGCCGAACCCCTGCCGTTGCCACAGACGGTCCTGGCGCCTCCAGCTAGTAAGGCCAAGTCATAGATGATTCGCTTCGGTGAGAATACAGGTAGGTAGGAAAGATTCTGTTTCCAAAAATGAATGAAAGAGCGCGTTGAAACTATTATAGCGAGGTGGTAGATGGGCAGTTAGCGTCATGGCCTGCCTTCGCACGTGCTGCCTTCCTAGATCTTCCAGTTAGATCTCCTGTAGACGGTTTTTTCCTTTCCCCTTTCTCCAAGAGATTGATGGACAGCACAAGTTTTTAGAACTTCCATTAAGTAACTGAGCCGAATCCCAGCCAAAACGCGACGGCGGGATTTTAAGACGCCATTGATAAACGCGCTCTCCATGGTATGGACCCTGCCATTGATATCCCTACTGTCCTTGGGATCCCTGCTGTCCTTTCTCCATACAGATTTGGCATACGGGACATGGTTTTAGGTTTGACATCCCGGGAAACTTGAACCGGGAATGTCACGGTCTCCAAATCGTTTGATAGAATCCTGGCTCGTCGACCTCGCCTTGTAGATTTAATCCTTAGGTATGGTCTCTTACTCGTCCCCGCTTTGGTGGACGAGTATCTTCCACGTCCGGCTCCAAGTCATTATCTAGGTGTGATTCTCTCTGAAGTCGGTACTCTGCATTGTCTGCTAATGCCCGTGTTGTGGTAGACCGCTAAGCCCCTGCTGTTGTTGTTGTGGATGATCCTAACGCCTCGATTAAGGCCTTGGCTTCCGGTGCCACATTCTCCCTAAGTCTTTCTCGGTTTTGAGTAGCTGGGACTTATTCAATTCTCCCTGTTTGCCTCGTTGTTTGGTTCATATTCCCAAAAAGAGCTACTTGCTTGTCCGTCATTGATGGGATAAATATTGTTTAGGAACAGCTCTTTGTTCACATCTCCATGCCCCTTTCTGGGTTTAGCTATAAGATCCCTCTCCATAAGTTGTAGGAAATCACGTTGTCTCTTGGGAGAATCGTGCCGGCGCACCCCCTCGCGAGGTTGATGAAGGGTTAGTCTGAGCGTCACCATGGGGCAATGTAGACGATACAATTGGTGTTCGGTCAATAGGAGATGCCGCGTCTCCCGCATGTAAGCTGTCTGGTACGGGTAACAAAAAACGGCAAAGAGGACAAGCTGGGAAAGCTTGCTCGGGGCTTCATTTTCTGCCTCTCCACGTGTGCTGCCTCCCCATCCAGCTCCAGAGAAACAAATGTCTTGCGAAAGCTACCGCCACCAAGGACCGAAGTCTCGCAGGCGATCTTTGTGTTTCCTGCCGTGCCTTGTTCTCCCTATTCACCAGGAAGAGCGGGCACAGAAGCAACTTGAGGCCATCTGCATTTCAGAAAGAACAGAACTCCGCTAAATCTTGGTTCTGTTACCCAAATCTCTAGCCCGCAGCTATATCATTATATGAGCCTTGCTAGGAGAAGAGCTGCTGCTCTTTTGCTCAGCCCACGGTAAAGCCTTCAGCGACTGGCACGCCAAACAAGAGAAAATTGTAACCCTAAAATGGCAAGAGTTCCAATTCATCATCCAGACCGAAGCCGAGGCAACTAGCCAGGCTGCAAGAGACGCGTTCCGAAAGACCACAAGGGCAGATCTGGTGTGTGTCCGTACGATGGGTAATGTTGCTAGATCCCCTACCCTGTTGTTGACAGCCTCATCATGACATTCTTGATGAGTAAATGGCACGCCAGGTTGGAGTATGGCTTTTTCTGAGTTCTTCATACTGCTTGCCGGGGTTTCCTACTCCAGAACTGTCAGAAAAGCGGTGCTTCTCGACAGCAGCAGCCCTGCAACATCCCCCTCGCCAATATCTCAAACTAGTTGCAAACTAGCCATTTATTCTATGTTCCAATATTAGAAACACAGTGGAATGAAAACAACGGTGTTTCTCGTGCTTGTAGGCTGTGTTTTGCTGTGTCCGTACAATGAGGTTCCATCAGGCTAGCGATACAACGATTCCCGGCGGATCCTCGCTCATCGGCCCAAGTTGCAGTGCTGCCGCCGTGAGGAGTAACATGAATCTCGTTTTCCACTGAGCGGCTGTCCGTAGAAATTCCCACTAGTCACGGGTGGTACGTTCTAAAATGGGGTTGTCAGGATAGTAGGGCGCCGGAAGGATCCTTATGAGGCTTTCTTTGGCCTGACTTGGGACGGCTGGGTGCGTGCGACCTGTGGTTGACTTCAGTTTGGCGTCAGATGATTGGTTTCCGACACAGTCCAGCGATCAGAGTTGTAGAACGCTGAGACGAAACTCGGGTGGTGTGAAGCCAAAGATGAATTGCGAGCATTAAATGCGGTCAAGTATAAAGTGATCGTTGCCGTGTAGAAAGCCAAAAGGAATCAGAACCTGATCCTGAGGTTTGTAACGTCTACCCCTCATCTTCTTAGATCAATTCTAGAAGTGTTGTTGCTTCATTATTCGTGTCAGTGCTAGCAGCACCATTTCTCGTATTGCTTGCCCTTGACATTTGACACATTCTCGTCCTGCCATGTAGTATGTCTCATGAGTTGAACATCGCACTACATGGGTCTTAGTTGTATTCTTTTCATTTCGATGACGGCGATTTTTTGCCGTCCTTACACCCACCCTCTCCGTTTCTATCTCCCTAACACAGCGGTTGGTGTGGCTGCTTTCTCACAAGTAGGACTTGAACACACATTAGCGAAACACCATCTGCCGAGGGGAGAGAGATTCAACCTACCAATGGCGACTACCCGTCTTCAACACACATCTGATGTGTCGTCCACGTGTGGATGTGAAATGCTGCTTCACAGTAATTGCGAGAAGATTTCTGCCAAGGACTACAGGGCCCCTTTGCAAATACAGTGTTCAGCAGCGATTCGAGCTTAATTCTGAGATGGCAACGTTACAGGGCAATCGTGAGGGTTTGAGGGTCCCAGTGGTGTCATTGCTTGGGCGTACCAGCAACGATTCGGAGGTTTCCGTCTCTTCCTCACTGGTGCTATCCTCTCACAGTCCCAACGTTCAGATCAGCTTCCTCCTACTCTCAATGTGGCACGAGTTCTCGGCCTAAAAGCTCTCCTTCTGATGCTCCATTTCTTCTCCCCAAAGCAGCCACAAGCCGCTGTATTAGGGAGATAGAAACGGAGAGGTTGGGTGCAAGGAAGGCAAAAAATCGCCGTCGTCGGAATGAAAAGAATACAACTAACTAAGTGCTGCCTGTGTGCAATCTCATCGGCCTCATCAATCTCTGCCGAAATCAGAGGAGAGTGTCTCTGGGATGAGTCCCTTGATGCTAGCAGGACTAACATCCATCCCTTCACCAAGTAAATCTTTTACTTTCTCTTGCGCTTGTGCTGCTTTCCGCCCGAAGATGGGAGATCGAAACCGTTGATCGGTTATCCGCTGTCTCTCCTGGCACGAGAATCCAACGAGGAATAGTCGAGATCGTGGGTCAAGCTTGCCAGCGCCTTGGTTAAGGGATAAAGATTGATAGGCCACTCCGCACATTGGCTTCCTGTTCTCCCATAGCCCGACGTCGTTGCATGTCTTCGTCTCGGGCCCACGGAAGCGCATCGCATAACAAGCTCCTTCGGGCAAAAGTCATTACGGCACAAGTTCCGTTGTCCAGATAGGCAGAATGCTTGAGCCTGCTCCTCTCTCGAGACCCAAGAGTCGGATGTTTGTTGGCTTCCTGTTGTTGTTCCAAATTGAATATTGGATCAAGCAAACAAACACCCAATGTCATGGATGCTTGATGCCAGATCGTTAAAAGCCCTTCATAGTGTTCTGCCGCTCCTTTAGCAACTGGTGCAAGCCAATCTGCATCGCTCTCCTCCACCCCCGCAGCTTGATCACTTGGGAGGCAATATTAAAGATGTGTACTTGTCACATCGACACCTCTACTGAGTGTCTCTCTCTCCCGAAACCAGTTGTGAACCAGCCATTTTTTCTGTTCGAAAACATCCTACTAATGCAAGGTAATAGGTAAGGCAACGGTGTATTTCGGCTCTTGCGTGTTGTGCTTTGCTAGCTTTCCACGGTCGAGCAGCTTTAATACATTCGAGCCAGGGTGAAAAGACATCTGGAAGTTGTCCCGCTACCTCCGAGAAATAAATCCGCCAGGCCACCGGACACAACATCGCCAAGCCTTGTCGGATGGCAGCTGGACACACCATAGCCAGACCTTGTCGGATGGGAAAACTAGAATTCTAGGACTGTTCTTCGTCTTCCTGTTGGATCCTCGTCCTAAAAACAACACGAATTGCCTCAGCTTCTGGTCCAGATCGTGGGCGGACTCTTGCACCTCTGCTATTACCTCCCCTCAAGGCAGGATGGATGTTGTACGATGTGAGGATGCCCTTTTATGATCAATATGCAGGCCAGGCCACAGTTCGAGCAGCGCGATTGACGTGATGACCAGGCTCGAGCTGAGGGGTTTTTTTTTTCAAAGTAGCAAGGAGGCAAAACCAAGACATTGCTCTGAAGAGGGTGGATCGATGCTCCTAAAACACCGTCGTTCGCAAGTCGTTTCGTTTCGCGGGTCGACGCATTTCCCGAGGATAGGCTGATAAAGCTGCTTCCCAACTGTTTCAGACGCATCCCATCGCTGCGCTATATTTGTATTCGGAAGGTGAACTCCAAGTGCCGCGTCGTATCAGCCTCTAGGTTGAAGGTTGAAGGCACAGACACCAGACACAGGAGCATACATTTCCAACTGCTCACGCTGGACCAACCCATGCCAGCCACAATCCTATCACAAGCCCCCCTAACGCGTCATAA